GGCATTTGGCAATAGACCCGCCGCCTCAAGCCGTGGCCGCATCCCAGCCCGTTCCGCGACCGCATAGATCGAATCGCGAAGGGTATAGTGCATGCGAGTGCGAGCTCCTCCTGCCATACATGTCATCGAATGATGTCCCAAAGAATCCATGGCTTGATGACAGAACGGACAGTGCCCTCCCGAAGTCAGAGTTTCCAATCCAAGTCGCAGAGAGAGAGAGTCAAGGACTGCAACATTAGAGAGGAGAGTATCTGAACTCATGTTAGGCGTTCCGATGAGCCAACCATCGCCCCATGGGAGTTGACATGCTCGAATCCTGAGCGCGTCGCTCGTGGAGGATCCTTGTATGAGACAGTCGCTACTTTTCTGAATGGCTACCTGAACCAATTCACGATGATTCGGGCAAGTCGTACCATGAACCTGGGAAACATTTGGGAGAAAAGGGGCGAGGTTCTGAAAAGCATGGGTATCAGCAGGATCAGGATGGGCATGGATGATTTCTTTCAATATCTCTTTGATAGAGCCAGAGACCTGTCGAACGGAACAAAAGAAAGCCAAGTCACTCCGGTGAACCACGCCCCCACTCACCCGAAGCTCATCCACACTAAGCCCAAGACCTCCGAGTTTCGTGGGCAATGTTGCCTGCTGCCATTGACTGTCTGTCAGTTCTTGTGCGACGAGTCTCTGCAGCGTAGTGCGGAGTTTGCCACTATGAGCCTCCAAAACCGGCGCAAGATGACGCCTCGGAACAGTCCTCGCGTAATACGCCAATTTCGGGAAGCTCAAACATTGCTTCATGAGATGGAGGGAGATATGTTTGTGGGGGAGTGTCTCAATGGCAGTGAGGGCTTGATCGAGGTCACCGACCTTCGTGCGATTCCACTCATCGTACAATGATGTTGGACCAATCAGGGGTACCTGCAGCATCTGAACATTAGTTCCTTTGATGATGTTAATTCCCAGTGCCGTGAACGGCCGCAAGTCGCCTTGGAAATCGTCCCCGGCAAGGATATGTAACTTTGTCTTACTCAAATCGAAGTGTAGGCCGTACTTCCCTGCGAGCGCGAGCTCCTGTTCAAAGATCGCCCAAACCAGTGAGATCGGACCCCCGCAGAAGCCGTCATCAGCAAACTCAGGGTCGAAGCACTCGGCCGCCCCCCTTACATTAGCGCACGCCTCCTCGTACATACGCTTGCGTGCAAGGCAGAAGAGCGGTCCCATGAGCGGACAACCCTGTTGGCCTCTGGCTGACTGCATACACCGACCATGGTAAACTAAGTGGCTCGGTACCCCGTAGCAGAACTCGGCAAACTTGCTGGAGGCGTGGGCGAAGCGATAACACTCGTCCAAAAACATGTGAGTGTGCACACTATTGAAGGCGTTGGAGACATCTCTTTGGAGCAATACATAGTCTCTTCTATGGGAATTCAATCGCAACCAAGCCCTAGTAGCATGAATCATGGCCTCAGCGCCGGACCGCACGCCAACGGCAAATTGCTGGGGGGCAAGACGCTCCTGAATCCGAACCTTATCCAAGAGAAACGTGGTTTTGAAGCATAATTTCCGCCAAGTAGTGCCCATCACAATCGGACGAGCATCTTGCGAAAGCGGAATGGCTTGTCCCTGTCCATCCCTTTTACCTATTCCCACTAGGGTTCCACCCCCTATCCATGGACGCAGCTCGAGCGGCGCACGTCCATCAACGAGAAGCTGGACGAAATCCCTCAGAACCCCTAAGAAGGTATCGCCTCCTGGGCTTTCGAGCAAGAGGCGAAGGAAGTCAGCCCGGAGACCGTCCGGCCCGGGCCCCTTCCCATGTTCGAAGGAACGCAACGCCTGGGCAACCACTTCCTCGGGGAGTTCTGGGGGAGTTGCTGGCGCGAGTGCGGGGTGCCGAGGGGGCTGCACGGGATCGGGAAACTTGCTTGCCAATTTAAGTTGAACTGCTGGGGTATCGTGCGCGAGTCCTGGTGATAGCAGACGTTGAAGAGCCTGGCCAGAACGGCCCAACATGACCATACGTTCAACATCTCTCTGCGTCTGTTCGGGCTTAGGGCCTGCGGAGGTCGGTTGAGGCTGAGCGCGTTGGTTAGCTTGGAGCGCTTCATGCCAAAGGGAAGCCCTTTCCCCTAATTTCCAGCGGATGAGAAGGGCACGAGAGAAATGGAGGGATTGGCGGGGTCTCTTGCCTCTGCCAAATTGGCGTAACACAACTTTCGGAAACATGAGTAGCTCAAGCCAAGCAACACGCGCTGCCTGCTTCTCGGGGGAGTCCGAGTCCGTTGCCCATGCGTCCCATCGGTTCGTTTGCAATACTCTAACCAAACACTTACCAAATTCTTCTCTAGCCATGACGACCAATGACTTAGGATAGACCTCCTTCGTGAAGACCGCTTGGGTGAAAATATCTTGTAAAGATGGGAGCGGAGAGAGGTCTTCGGATGAGGCACATACGTTGACATTGGTAGTCAGGAGCCTAGGCCAACATCGAGAATGGACCCCTTCATGACGTTGCATACTAGCAGTCAAACCACAAACCCTACAGCAACCGAGCCTTCTATCCCGGAGTCATTGTTGAGATGGTCGCCCCTCCAATTCACCAGAAAGATGACGCATCGGGCTCGGGTGGGGCCGCCACGGCATATGCCGAGTACAAGCGTCGGGATAGTAATATTGAGATGGCCTGCCAGGCTCAGAACATGGGATTTCAAAAGCTCTAAGGTGCAAGAGACTTGTGCTCCCAAAAGCACCAATTCATATCTAAATCTTCATTGAGAGAGATTCGGCGGCGCCATAGAGACTTCTATCCCCAAAGCACCACTTGAAAGGAGACGTATGCTCCCATGATATCGGATGCCCTAACATCCAGACACACAAAAGGCAGCAACGAAAGCAATCAAGGGACCCAAGGCACATTAAAAGCCCGCCACCACCCCGAATTAAGCCCCAGGTCCCACGATCGCGGGAGACGAGAAGAACACAGTTGGCATCCGAATTCCCATCTTGAAATGAACAACGAACGTGAAACACGAGAAATGAAACAACCTCCTTCGACAGCAGTATTCTTTGATACCATGAGAACTATCGATCATCTCAAGACCTGCGCGAGGGGCCTGGGGCGAGGAACATCATTTTCCTATAGAAAAAGCCAGCGCCGATCACCACCCTGGTAAACGTAAGTAATCTTCAAGCAAGCACGAAATTCTCTGCAAGTATCTCAGGCTCCCGGCGATGAACCGTGCGACGGCGCTCCAAGCAGACATGCACATGGCGTTGCAAGAGTATAGAAATACGCTCCTGCAACAGGCTCCGCGTTCGGCCTGGCGGCCGTCCGAGGGGTTCATCTGCAGCTTTGCACAACGAGTCCAGTATACGTCGTCCCTCTACATTCAAACCACCGGCATAGTCGAACACAATCGGTTCAAAACCTATCCCTTGCTCATGACAACGTTGCTGGATTTGTCGATTCGTTCGCTTCTGTTCAGCGTACCGTTCCGTATTGGAGACGCTACCACCAGCAATAAACTGAGAAACTATCGCAAAGTCCAGTGCCACACGTGGGAGGAAGTTCCAAGCGGATTGTCTACACAGAGGGGTCGGGATCGTGAGGATATCAGCTGGTCGAAGATCGGGCGTCGCTGGCAACAAGCCACTCGGTTCTAACTTCAACCCAATACCACCCCCTGAAAGACCTCGAAAAATCTCGTCTCGAACACAATTATGAAGTGGCGTTTTACCGATCATCGGACAAGCGATACAATGATGACCCCAACTATCCGAAACTTGGGGGCACATACCACATCCTTCATCTCCGTCAAATACTTGAAGACCAAGTCGCATCGATAAAGCATCAGAAAATGCAACATTGGTAAAACAAGTCCCAAACGTGAGATTCGGAGCACTACACACCCACCCATCAGCCCAACTCTCGCCGTAAGATTTCATTCTCGTGAGATCCAACGAAGAGAGGGTGCCAAGAAATGTTCTGCGCGACGCCTCCACTCCTTGCGCAACCAGCTCCTGAAATTTCAACCTCGTATCATCCCGCTGAAAAGCATCCTTCCAAGTGGGACACAGGGCTTCAAGGCGCTGAGTGGCAACCGCCCACCCCAAAATAGAATAGTTAGGATGAAGAGTGACCAACTGAGCACATAACTCCGACGTAAAGCGAGAGGCCACAACGTACGCAATATCAGCCCGATGACAGTCGTGATCTCCTATGGGAAACGATTCTGGGGTCAATCCAAGGCCACCATGCTTCGGATGGAGACACGCCTGGCGCCACGAAACATCCGGAATCGCACGCCCCAAAATATTCTCTAGGGCCTGGCGGTACCTAGCATCATACCACGTGAATAACCCTTCCAGGAAGTGGCGCGGGGAGGTTCGAGCAAGGAATTGCAGTTGACAGAAACCCATTGTCTTCTGGAGAAGGTGGAAGGCAACATGACGACTCTGTAATTGTTCCAAAGCTCGGAACAATTGTTCGAAGCGGACGATTTTGCCATCACAAAGTTCTTTCATGAAGGGAGTCTGCCCACAAACCGGAGCTTTCAACATCTGGATATCGGTACCGGTTTGAATCCGAACTCCGAGAGCTTGGAAACCCGACACATCTCCGCGAAACTCATCCCCCGCCAGCAAATACAAAGTGCATTGCGACAGATCGTACGAAAATCCATACTTCTCAGCGAGTTTGATTTCTTCCCGGAAACAACGGAGAACATGAAGATCGACGTGGGCCCGAACTGCGTCGCTGCTACGCCACCCAGGCCCACCTCCACCAATGCTTCTAGAACAACCCTCCACCGGGCAATAGAGAAGCTGACGGTGCGCCTTAGCACGGCCTGCGCCCTGTTCCTCCAACAAAAGTTGCCTAGGAGAGACGTCCTCCCCGAATAATTCTTGCAACATGACTGAAACCGAACTCTCACCCAATTCATGCGCTCCAGAGGCCTCCACGAGACCCAATGCTTCGGCGGCACTACGCCTAGTCCCACGACCAGGGCCCTCTCCAGAATCGACCTCCATCGCAGATCCCGCGTCATTGGGATACGCAGGAAACCTCCACACGAAGCAGAGGACGACACACCTTTCTAGGACGCCCATGTGATGAGTACATATCCAAGCGCCTCCGACTGATATGAGCCGGCAAAGAGCGAGCGAGCAGTGATATCGGTTCCAGAATGCCCAAGTGCCACAAATGAGCAAGTTCATCCGCGGCACATCTCCGTATTGCAACAAACTCCAATACATGATTCCAAAATAGAATAGAGGCACTAATCCCTTTCCATCAAGCGGAATATAATTGAGTTTGAGGGGTCGAATACGTTCTCCCAAAGTCCCAAAGAAGTGAGAGAGAAACATACCGCATGCGTATGATAATCGAAATAAGACGATACCGATCGTTATGGTGAAATACGCTCCCATCAACAATCCCACCCCGACTTGTCGAGGCATCCAACCCAAATGGCCGCCTTGGTGGAGACTCATCCCCCCATTGGAAGCCGCCGATTGTCGACAACCACTGGCTGATACGGCACAAGATCTAAGATGGAGCAAATAAAAGAGAGCTGCTGCAGACTGCCAACCAAGCCGACGTCGAGCCCGTAGCTCCCCTGCAGAAAGCCCATGAAACACCCCGCGCCCAACAGGGCACCCTGTGACAGCATCCATCCCGCTAGGATCTCCATACCTACACCGGTGCAGAAGAAACGCCACGAGACCTACCACTACCATAGAACGACATCGGCCCTTTCTCCTTGAACCCCGGCAAGGCCCGAGACCCTGGAGCAATTGACTGATGTGTAACCCACAACACATGCCCAATCCCAAGCACAAGAACAACAAGCCTACGCCCCAAAGCCCCTCCATCCCGCGGTAAGGGGGGACGCACCACATGCCCATCGCCGCGCGCGGCAGCCCAGGACGGGTCAGCAGCACAAGGGGCCCATGGCTCAAGCGAATGGTGGTAAAGTTTTTATTGCATCAGGGCCCATGGCTCGACATCGGCCATGCGGTCTTGCGCCAGCCTTGCGCGTCCCTTGCGCCACCCTTACGACGCGAGTCCCCCTGACAAACTAAACTCTAGACTCTAGACCCACTAACCTCTAACCCTGAACGCATCCTAATTATACGAAACCATCCTAAACCCTAAGCCCCCAAGACCCTAGCCCCTAAGCCCTCAACCCCTAAATCCTAACCTTTAACCCTAACACCTAAACTTGCAGACCCCTGACCCTGTACACGACAGGACAGCGGCCTGATCTTAGAGTTTTGGGCTCCTGGCCCTTGCGCTCGCCCTTGCGCCCCCTTGCGCCGTGCTGGTTTTTGGCGCCATAGTTTCACGAAGGCAACATACGTGTGGCCGGCCCAATTAAACACGAAGAGGCGGGAGTTTAAAACAACGTCCATTAGAAGTTTTTTCATGCATCTACTCTAAAGCATGTATATTCTGGCATAGTATTGTAGAAAGTCTTATATAATATTGTATGACATTGAATATTCTTGCATATTATTGTACATTATTGTATATATTTGAGTATTTCTGTATTGCCTTGTGTTTTTGTTATTTCGATTTTAATATACTTTTTGATATTTGATATATACGATATTGTGTTCTATTCTACTCTATGCCACTACAATATTTTGCTATACTTTGTTCTAATATATACACACACATATATATATATTATAACATATGATGTTATAATATGTTTTCCTACATATCCTTTCCTGTCCTTTCATTTCCTTTCCTTCCCTTCCTTCCTTGCTTCCTTGCTTCCTTGCTTGCTTGCTTCCCTCCTTCCTTCCTTGCTTCCTGCCTTCCTTCCTTCCTTCCGTCCTTCCGCCCTTCCGCCCTTCCGCCCTTCCTTCCCTCCCTCCCTCCTTTTCTCCCTCCCTCCCTCCCCTTCCCTCTCTCCGTCGGAAGAACAGAATAATTATTTCTTGATCCTAAATAAATTATTTTTTGATCCTAAATAAATTTTTTCTTGATCCTAAATAAATTTTTTTTGATCCGCATCCCATAAGAAATAGGCAATAGGCAATAGGCAATAGGCAATAGGCAATAGGCAACAGCAATAGGAAAAGGAATAGTAACAGAGATAGTAATAGTAATAGTAACCAGTAACAGTAACAGTAAGTTCATGTTTTGTGCGGCCTTGCCCCGTGCCGTTCTAGATTTTGGGCAAATCTTGTTTGTAGCAAGTTCCTCAGCGATCTTGCGCTTAGAAATTTCGGAAGTGTTGATATCCCAAGAAACTTTTCCGCTATCAAATTAAACCATGCCAAACCTTGTATTGAACAGTGAGCCCGAATACACAACATATCCAAAACATTCAAGTCCATTTGCGACTATTTTTCCAAGCCACTTCTGAGAGGGGGAGATCACGAAGCAGTCTCTACGCGACTCTTAGATTTCCTACCTGTAAACGAAGATGTCAATGTGGTGCTTTTGAGAAAGTTGCTTGAGAAGCTTCGTCAGCCTTGGAGTCATGTGACAAGTATTCTCATTCTCCATTGGACGCTGCCACCTTGCAACCTGAGCCCAGCCTCTACGCTCTCCACCACCCCCCCTGGGACCCCAGCTTGCCCTGCAAAGCTCCAGCCTCTGAGGCCTGGCAAGGCCACCATGTCTCAAACATGCCTATTCGGCCCTCTCAACAAAGAGCTCTGCAGCTGCTGTTCAGATCACATCGTCTTTGGCCTGTGGCATATGAACAGATGCTCCCAGGCTTGCGGCATGGCTTGCCAATGCCTCGTTCTATGGAATAGGTGCAGTGAAACACCACCCTCTTGCTGCACGAAAAAGGGCGACTCTCTCATTCTGCGGTTTTTTGTGACGCGCCTCCAAAGCTTCTTCCAGCGCTTCAACGCGCAAAGGGCCACCTTTGGAACCGCTGCGGGTTCCCTGGAGTGCGATCCTGGCCAAGAAACCCCACAATGACGTTGCAGCCACTACGCGGGTCATTTGAGGTCGCAGCAGGTTGGCAACTTCCACAAGAGGACTCACCTGAACCTTACTGCTGTTGAGGCAAGGGCATGCACAACATTCCTGAATGACCCCAAAAGATCTTTCTCTTCGTGACTCGGTGCTGTCACTGGGCTTCTGGCAAACTGGACAGCTCCAAGCCGGAATCGCTTCTCAGCAGACTCCACCTTGCGGTCGCGGTGCCACCTGGTAGCTCAAGTTTGGGGGCGTACCAAGTCGGATCAAATCGACGACTGCCTCAAGAGAAAGAAGCTGAGGCCGGAACTCAAAATACTGACGCGAAGGACCGCTTCCCCAGGCCTTCTTTATGGCCTGTGCTCAAGTGGAACCCAAGGTGCCAATCTGTAGTAAGAAACTCAGTGCCTAGAAGTACATGATGCCATCAGTGACATTTCTATGTATCAAGTCAAGCCTGTGTTACATTCCTTTTGCTGGTGTTTAGCTGCGTGCATGAGGAGTACACGCGTGATGTTGCAATCGAAGATTGCATGATATCCAATGCTTCCACAGCTGTACAGACATAAGCACCACGGTGCACCTTAGTGGATCATCAACCGATCCCAGCTTCCACGCATGCAAGCCCCTGGATTTATCCTTGCATCGCCACTTTGTCGTCCTGGTCTATGCACGTCTGCTCACTGGTCTCTTCTGGACCTCACATTTCCATCGGAAGCCGCTCTCTCACCGTCATTTCCAGTTCGACGTGGCGGGCCGAATTCCTAGAAAATTGAACAGGGATGTCGGGCTGGTCGGACTGCACAAACACCAGCGAAGCTCGCTGTCCTGCCAAGTACTCCGCGTCTACTTCGATGAAGCTTTTGTCGCTCCACCAGTTTTGCAGCAGGAACCGATCCTGGCCGCTCTCTGTTCTGTGGCCGACCAGAACCATGGCATGAAGGCCGACTTCCTTGCTGTTGCCGCTGTTGCCTTGGCCGAGGTGCTGGTGGATCTTGGCTTCCAGGAAATTCTCGGTGACCATGAAGCCGGACACCAGTGCGGGGCCGAACTTCTTGAGGTTCTTGATGATGCAATTGGTGATGGCCTGCCCGACATCTTCGTTGACCATGGATCTGCAAGCGAACTCTTCGAGTCCTGAAGGGTTCGCCAGGATCTCGGCGAGGAACGCCTGGCTTGACCCACCTTCGTCTCTGAAGATGTGGTCCTCCAGCTCCTGCGCGGTTCTGTACTTTCGGATGTAATCTGCCAGGTCCAGCATCTTGCTTGCGGTGGTCTGCATCGCTACGAGGTAAGCTTGCAGCACAACTGGGGCGTGCATGTAGCACACGCTTTAGCAGCCCGACGCTTATACGCCGATCGTCGCGGAACGCCACATAGGACGAATTATCCTGCCACGACGGGAGTGAGTCCAGTAAGCGAGTGAAGGAGTTGTTGTCGTCCTGCAAAATCTCGCCTTTTTCGCCTTCCAGGACGAGGCGCTCCAGGCGCTGCAGCGGCTGCTCGTAGATGTCGTCTGGTAGCAGCAATGCTGCGAGCTTGGCTTTTCTTGCCTCTGATACTTCTTGCCTCAAGACGCCCTTGGCGTAGAGGAACAGCAGCATGATTGCTCGTTTATCGAGCTTCGTCGGCAGGCTTTGCCCATCTGAAACCATTAACTGTGCAGCTGCTTCGATGTCTTCCATGCTGAGGTTCCAATCATCCGCCTTCTCCAGCATGTGCTCCTTAACTACTGCCAGTTGCGCCTTCTCGGCCTCCATCCGCACCCGGTCCTCTCCAAGCGCCTCTCCGCGCGCTTCCAAGCGCCTCTCCGCGCGCTTCCCACGCGGCTGCCCGACGCTCAGCGCGAGCCCCGCAAAGGCCAGCATGGGCGTGGGCATGGCCTTCGACATCGGCTGGCCCTCTGTGCTGCCTGCGCAGCCGTTTACAGCAGTTTGGGCTAGTCGACCATGGACCGCGAAGACCTGAGACCGAAGCATTGTGATGCTCCGAACAAGACGTCCTGACGCCATGGCACACGAGGAAGCCTAGAAGATCGCAGATGGACCCACCAAGCAATCCGAAGTCACTGCTCTGAGGCGAGCCACCGCCTTCGAAGCTAAGCAGCGTAGCCGAAGCTGAACATTGGCTCAATTAAGCCTCCCTGCACCGCTTCTTTCTTGGCTCAAGCCTTCATTGCCGAATAAAAGGGACCCTAAACCCTATGCACCAAAAACGACTAAAACATTCGACGCCCTCCCGGACCGGATTTGGACCTCCTTGAACCTCCTTTCGACCTCCTCTGGAGTCGCGTTTGCGGCACGCGTTTTGGGGTCCAAAATTTAGCGTTTTTGACGAACCTTTTTAATTTGTGGGCATAATACCCCCTACCATGTGTGTGGACTCACTCTTATTGGGATCGTTGCGGGGTGCTCCCACAGCGGCCCCACAAGGGGAGGAATTTCCATCCCCCTGCGCGCACATGCCCTGCGCCCGCCCCCCAATTCTCCAAGGCAGTGCGCCCACTGTTGCCCACTCCCGAGGCACACCGAGGCACTCGAGGCACTCGAGGCATGCCTTTTGGGCGGTCTAGAGGGCTCGCGAGCTGCCGAGAACGCACCACACAACGCGCAACACAGCGCGGTCACAACACACAACGCGGTCACAATGCAGTTACAACGCGATTACAACGCGGTCATATGCAGTTACAACGCGGTCACAACACCGTGCTGCTGTTACTGCTGCTCTTTCAAGCAAAGATTGCCACATTATTAAATCATTGTTGGCTCATATTTCGTCATTCTCAACTTATTATTGAAAATAACAAATTCTTTGTTGTGTCATTTTTGCAATGGCGTGACGTCGTTGTGACGTAGTGACCGTAGTAACTGCAAATAGAAACGTTTTATTTTCAAAAATCCGTAGTGACCGTAGTGACCGCGTGTAGTGACCGTAGTGACCGCAAAAAGTTAATTGGTTCATAAAACCTCCCTATACTACACACAAGACTCTCTGCCATTAGGGATTTCTTAACCCTTAATGGCAGCGACCATATTTCTTTTTGCGCATTAGCTATTTCAGCGTATCCATCTTCAGGAAAAAGAGAACTCTTGCCAGAATCCATTAGCACCATGCAGTCTTCACTTCTTGTTCTTGCGACCAGCTGCGCAACTTAGATGAAGTTGCAACAAAAATTGTCACCAAAGGATCCACCAAACACCTCTGAATCAAGGAGATAACCTCTTTTCTCCTTGCATCCTTAAACGCTTTACACGATTGTGCCACCTTTGAATCAACAGTGGCTGAGCCTTGAGCAAGCAAAGGTCTGTCAAATCACATTTCATAAGACTGCCTTAGAAGGCAAAAGCAGTCTCAAGACAGCGACATGCACGCACACCTGGAAGTAGCCTCGTCCTGCACAGCTCTCGATGTTTCTGTCACGGCCTTCTTCCGAATCGACACACAAGTTGCTTTAAAACAGAAGTTATTCGTGTTGCACTCTCTTGCACCTACCGGACGTTTTAGTAGCAGCAACTGCAAAAATCAAAGTGAGGCCCACAACCCCAGTGTCCTCCATTGCCTTGATCATTGCACAGGTGCGCGACCACCTTCCGACCACTGCTCTGAGAGGCCTGCCCGGGGCACACTTTCTGTGCAAATGCATTTGCTGTCCATTTTCGGGTTGTTTGATGCTTCCGTGGCCTTTGCTGCCTCGCCTGTTGTGAAGTGCAGTTGCCCCATCGAAGCCTGAGCGTTTAGCGAATGCCATGCACTTTAATTCCGATGCTGACCTGTTACACGCGCTCTTCCTTTGCATGAAATCGGCGGTGCTTTGAGCATAGGCCTCAGCCTCTTAAACACAGCACACCAATCAATGTCCAAGTGGGACGAAAAGTAGACACGCAAAACTTGGTCACGAACATCTTGTCACGAATATCAGGTCAAAAACGCTGTGGGGCTCACAGCACGTAATTCTTGGAGCGTTTCCTTTGCCGCGGCTGCGGTGAGTTGGCTCCCGTGGTTTGGGGGGGTGCTTTTGCTTCGGAAAGCCATGCGTTCTGCAATCATTCTCGCCTGGGTTCGGCTGACCCGCTGCAAAGCAACCGCTGCATTCTGCAGCACATGGCGGTGCGAACACATCATCCTGAGACCCACACTTCAGGGCAGCCTCGCTGGTTCGAAGTAGGCCCGTCATCACCTCAATCAGCAACATGCTGGCCCGACTCTATGCTTATCGTGGAAGGAATGCTCTGTTTGTTGCATGTTGGCAGAAGGTTCAGCGGTGCCTGTGTCTCCAAGTGGGCGTGGAAAGGGTTGCCGACGGTGCGGGGGAAATCCCACACACCTACTGGGGGTTTACGAAAATAAGGGACCCCGAATAGAGCCCCCCAAATAGTAGGATCCCCTTATAATCAGAACCCCAATAACGTACCCCTAATATTGTGAACCACCCCTACTTGGAGGTTCATGGTCCTTATGAACCAGATATAACTGTACTTATAACTGCACGTCTAACCATAAGAGCGCACTTAAGGGGCTTATAAGTGGGTTATAAGTACAGTTATAACTGGTTAATAAGTATCATGAACCTCCAAGTAATTATCCCAAACCTCAAACTGGACAAAAGCCTCGACGAGGAAGCGTGAAAACCCCCTCTCCCGAAAGATGTCCCTGAAGTGTTTTCTACTCTTATCGTTTTTATCGAGCATGGATACTGATCTAAACGTTTTCGTTTTTTTTTGCCCTTCTCGTTTTGTCGAGCAAAACGCACCTCTGGTCATCCGGGGCGCTTCTCTTAGCTTTTCAATACAGGGGGTTTTATCATCCCTCTCGTCTGTTTCGACTCACACCTGGCGACGAAAGCTAGAAGGGGTCGGGATTGCCTCCTTGTGTGCTCGCGTCTCGGGCCCTCTCTCAGGTTAGCCATAGGTAGCCCATGATCTGGAAAGGCACGGACCCAACAGGACCATGAGAAGCAAGGCCCAAGTTGAAGAGTTTGCCCAGCTGTTGCGGGTCGAAGATGCGCATCCCAGAACCAGACACGGTGAGGCCAGAACAGGGCACCTACCCCCCTTGGGCAACCCCCACCCCTCCCCTCAAACAACCCTTTCAAGCTCCCAATGTGTCGGCAGGGGGTCAAACCCATCAACCCACCGGGGGACGCTCTCGGTTCGTTTTTCCGGGCCCTGAGCCGGTAGAGTATGCGCAATCGTTTGATCCGCAGGTTGGTAACTGCGCAGAAACCAGTACGATGATATTTGGGAGGGGGGGCGGGCGTCCTTGGTGTCGTGCGGGGATTGGCAAGTCCGGGATTCAACCCGCGTGCAGGGCGCGCCCTCGTTCTGCAGATCCGGTAGATGTGACGGTGTGACACTTTCAGCAAAGGTCTGGGAAACACCAGGCCCTGTCCGGAACAAACGCTAGGGAGACAGAGAAGTACTGTTAAGCACTGAATGAATGAGCTTCGCCCCGAATTGCAGCCCTCGTCCAAAATCTGTCCACTTTGAGTGTGCCGATACCCCCCAATCAGAATCGTGGATGGTGGGCTTGCGACGGTGTGCAATGAATGGTTATGAACATCGGCCTTTCCTGACCTTTTGTGTGCCAATAGGAGTTTCAACTGGGGCTGTTCCAAAGAAGACAACCTTAGCCAACCTTCAACTGTACTTCCCGAATCGACTTCTTCACTTCCTCTAACTCTGGAACTGTGCAGTCATAGGTGCCTTCATCGTGACTTTCATCAGAGCCGTGCTCACCATCCTCAGGCAGCTGCAGGTCCATTTCCAGGGAATCAGCTTCCAGCGCGCTGCGTAAGTGCTCCAGCACCCTGGAGGAAACCAGTCCAGGATCAAGGGTCGGCTCCCAGTCATCCTTGATGAGCAGTGAGGTCGACTGCGACGCGAGGACAGGCGAGAGGTGATCATAGCGGCGGAGGCGAGTTTGGCGGACCTTAGCCTCCAGACCAGTGACAGCATGGACAGAAGCAGGTGCCGTGACGCTTTGGCCAATGTACACCATTCGCACGTCGGCTTGGCGATTGTCAGCTTCCAAACGGGTCACGAGGCACCATGGTTCAAACTCCCATCGTAGCCCTCCGCTCCAGGACAGCTTCGCTGTCAACTGCTGAATGATCCTCTCACTAGTTCGGGAAGACTCCCAACCCCAGGAGCACGCTCCTGCAAAGTCGGACTCCTCACATGCCATCCGGCACAAGGCCGTGCGAAGGGCGAAGGAAAGCCCGGGCGCGTCCAGCTCGGGGAGCTCAGGGGCCAGGAAAGCTGCTGCAACAGGTCTCCGGGCTGTGCGCTCCACCAGCTGCACTGCCCTCCTCGGCTGGGGAAGGCTGGAGACCACCGCTCTTACAACTCAGCGAAGCCTGTCAACATCCTCTACCCTATTGAACTGAGACGAACTGAGACTAACACCTACTTGAATAAATGCGGGCGCATGCCATGGCATGAGACAGAATGCGAGCATCTGAAGCAGCTCCAGGTGTGCTTGTTGCACAGGATTGCAGGGACAACACCAGATCAGCACCGCAACTTTGTTGGAGCTGTTTGCATCGATGTTCTTTTCACCTGAACAACAGCCAGGCCGTATCTGCAGCACTTGCATTCCTGATTGCAGGAGATGCTTTTCCCGCCTGCCAGGCAGGCCAGTCGTCTTTCAGCTTTGGAAAGGTCAAGCTCTGCCAACTTTGCCTGCAAGGCTCAGCGCTCGTTTGAAGTGACATTGTCAGGACTGTCAGACTCCCTCTCCCTCTCCGTCTCCCCCTCCCTCTCTCGCCCTCACCCTCGCCCTCATGGGGCATTTGGCAAGCCTCCGCGCTGCCTCTCTCTCAAACACGCATGAGTGCCGTGCCTTGTGCCGCATGGCTAAAGAGCTGGTAGCGGGAGGGATGGCAGTTCGATATCACATTGGTAACACTTGTCTTGACTATGCAGTTGCACGTCTCTTTCGACAGAACGTGGCTTCTGCCTTTAATGTGCGCGGACACAAAACGACTCAGTCAAGCCCGGTGAAGAAGTCACTGTTGCTACAGAGCACGGCTCAGCGCTTCAAACCCTGCTGTGTTTTTACGGGCTTCCTTGTTCAGCGACGCAGAAGGATGCAGGCGTGAGGCTTTGCCATCTCAAGAAGAAAGAGCTGAAAACTGCTTACTTCTGAAAATTGGCTCTGATAACCGGGTAACGGTTGGCAAGCCACACACGCCGCCTCCGTTCAAAGAAATACGTGAAGCAAGCGGGATCCGTGTAGAATCGGAGCTTTGGCATTTGTTATCAGCAATAAGACAAAACTGTCCTCAAAAAGCCAGAGCTCAGAATCAGTGCATCAGGTTGTACCTTAAAAAAACCTCCTAGACTCCTAAACATGTGTAATTGTGTTTCCCAAGCTAGCGATGTGCCCAGATGTGCCCGCAAGTGGCTCGCCACTCACCACCATGTCTTCGCTTTGATGGAGGCCTAGCTCAAAGAGGAGCTCCGACCCGGGAGGGGACTGAATCCAAGAACATTCGCGCGAGATGGTGCAGCTGTTGTCACTGTGTTGCCGACTGCACTGAGCAGATAGGATAACAGAGCATGCAGCCTCGACATCACACTCGCACGACTTGTACACGAAGATGTACCTGGCCAGTAGGCTTGTAGCTGGCCGCCAGCCAGCGGACAACTACACCGGCTGAACTCATCGCTCTAGCTCGGACAGCTGGAGGGCGCATTAGGAGACATGGTACCCCAGCTGGCCACGCCCAAACCGAGAAGCGCCAGTACCTCGAAGAGGCCAAAGCTTGCAGAAGCTTGCAGAATCTTCCCAGCAAAGCTGCATTTTCCACCGCGGGGTAGGAGAGCTGCTCTTCTGCTGCTCTTGCTTGCTTCGCTAGAACATAAAAAGGGGCGTGCCAGCGAGCAGGGGCGTTCCAGAACCACCTTGCAGTAGAGCACGTTGCAAAGGCCGCCCCAGAAAGTGTGTTTTGAGCACCCTACCATTGCACTGAGCGCGCTGCTGCCACATGATCTTCTGCTGCAAGTGAGAAAAGGTCTGCTTGATCTGGCGGGCCGGACAGGAAAACTCAAGAAACCTTCGAAAAGGAAAACGCACTGTGAGGCTTTGTAAGGCAAGTAGGCACACAACACGCAAGCGCATACCAATAGAACTGTTCTCTGTGGCCTCGCCGCCAGGCACCTTTGAGAGTGCGTTGCGGTATTCTGCAGTACCAATGTCATGGAACCCATTCAAGCACGATTGGGGAGCAGTTCATAAGTGCTGTGTACTCGGTTAGATTCATGCGCAGCACCACTACACCGGATCCCACGCCTGAGAACGGTTGGCCCACCAAATATGAGCTTCTGGAGGCACTGGATAGGAACCTGACAAAGCCAAGAGTGCATGAGAACGACTTAAAGGCTTCGAACTGCTTGCAAGCGATGGCATAAATCGAACTTGCGCCGGTCTGCGTCGCAAGAAGGTGCTACCGATCAGAAGAAGGCAAGTGCTGTCTCCCACTTGCGAAAGCTGCTGGGACAGCAGCCCACTCGAAGCTGGTCGCGGGCACTGGTCTTCCTGGCGCTTTCCCCGTGTGTGTGTGTGTGTGTGTGTGTGTGTGTGTGTGCGTGTGTGTGTGTGTGTGTGTGTGTGTGTGTGTGTGTGACTCGCGCGCCGGTGCATGCGCAGTCCCCGACCCAAGCACAAGAAAGTGGTCTCAAAGGAACTTTGCAGAGTCCCTTGTAGTCACAGGGAGAACAGCCTGACATCCTTCCTGCGCTGCGGAGCCTCAGCGGAAGGGTGGCCTCGCCGACCCGGGCAATGGCACGCCGCAGCATCGCGAGGAGCCTGAAAGCGGAACTCTTTTTCCAACGAACTTGAATTCCAACTTTTCCGACGAGTTGTCACACACACACACACACACACATCCACACACAACTGGCTGAAGGCGACACTAAAGTCTAAAGGATATTGATATGGCGGCTACAGCCTGCTCGACTCCCAGCTGCTCCCTTCAACTCTTGCCTTGCGAGATCCGGATACTCCTTTGGAGCGGCTTGACTGTGCGCTCTGAGCCACGGAAGCGTCGAGTTTGAGAAGGGCCCTTATCTTGTCAGTTCACGAGGTTGCGAACGCTGCAACACCCGGCAATACCATCACGAAAACATTTTGGAGCAGACTCCTGTCGGACGCTTGTGTTCCTAGCTACCCTACACTAAAGAAAGGCCTACTTGTGATAGACCTCGGCCGGTTCAGCCATGTTCATCATGGACCGAACGCCGTGAGCTCAGAAGATTACAGCAAAGCAGGCCATACACTCTGCATGGCAAAGACTTCCTGGCACAACTGCAGCCCAGTTGTGTAATCTTCATGCTGGGAATCATGTACAGGCCGGAAGATAAATCCGATATGGGCATCCTGGGCCAACGAGGCAAAGGGCCGCTGGAAGAGTCGATGTGCCAGGGCCCCGCAACTAAACCATGCAGGGCCCTTGGAGCCACGTTGGGCTCAGCTTTGAGCTGCGAGACCGCCTGCTCGCCTGGGCAACCTAAGCGAGACAGCTGCGGCGCTCACTCGCCTACCTATGTGCTGCTCATAAAGCTTCGTGCAGCTCAACACAATCGCTGGCGCCAAAAGCCAAAGTTCGGAAACAACTTGACATGACCATCTATCACTTGAGTGAAGCTTGAACCTTGCCACCGAACCTGGGATAAGAGCATTGCGTGCGCTCCTCTCGCCATCACTCAAGTCTTAACTCACGGCGGAGGGTCCATTTTTTTTGCCTGGAGCGGCGGTCGCTAACAAGGAGTAGACAAAGTCTACCTCTACATGTGTGTCAGCTGCAGCTGGACTCGGCTGGACTCGGCTTTCGACATCTCTTGCTCAAGAGTGGCCCACTCTCCTTAGCCTGAGGCCTCTCCGTGTCATATTAGGCTTCAAAAGCATGGCCATAGAAGCACCTGGCGCATAGCTAGGAGCCCTTTCCAAAGACCTCAGGCTTCAAAGGTTGGGCTTAGGTGAGTGGGCCCTGGCTACCCTGTCTACAAAATGAAACACACTGCAGCTCTCCCTGTTTCCCCAGTCACATTGCAAAGATCCATCTCGCAAGGTCCGTTGCCCCGGGCACGCACTGCAGCGAAGGTCGGCAACGATGTGACCGGACAGAGGCAGCTGAATTAGCTTCGACGCTCCAGGGCTGGAACACTGACGGCAGGCCTGAAGTCGGATCTTTTCTTGTCTGGCATGCTCTCAATACTAATGCTGGTGATAATGTTCCACTTCAGCCACCAATAATTGGCGCATCCGTTGCTGAGCTTCTCCCGCAAAATGCAGGAGCCATCTTGCTCTTGTATGCAGTAAAGCTCTCCTTTGAGCTCCTCGCCTGTGTTCGTCATCAACTTCAACTCTGCCCCCAAGAAGTGATCGGAGCCCTTTGAGCGGATGTAGTTCTCCATCTGCTCGTGACTCGCGGGCTTCACTGTCACGTGTATGGTGCACTCACCTAGGGCGGTCAACTCCTTTTTGGCATCCTGCATGGGCGCACCATTCTTTTCGAGTGCGAGGCTGATGAGCTCCTCCGGCACGTGGAACTCCTCCGCCAGGTTCGCTGTCAAGGTGGCGATGGTGTCGCTCTGGCTCGGCTGAGTGCGAATGACTTCATTCCGATTTGAACACACCAGCTTCGGTAGCGGAGGTTGGTTCCGCATATGTGGCGGTCGGTACGGCGCCATGGCTCAGATCCTCAGGTCCCGCGAGAGACCTGAAGCCTGAAGAGACCCCGGCCGGCCTGGCTTTTGGGCAACAAACGCTCACTGGCCACGGAACACTGAACATGCCTGCCCCTTCGACTTACTTGCGTCCGGTTCGAGTTTAGAGTGGACACCGTGCACATGCTGATGACACAGCTCTCTTCACAGCAACAAAGTGCCGGGTAGCAGACAGGCATGTGGAGGAGTAACCAGCAGAATGACCCTTGGCAGGGAGGTGTGAGCTCGGAGCTAAGATATCCTGGACAGATCACACTGCCATCACCGTCTGCGCGCACACAGCTGGGCCAGGATCTTCAGGAAAACTGGCCGGTAAGGAGCTGCGTCCAGGAACCCCATAAGCGGACATCCTGCAAAGAAACCGAGTATTGCGGTCAAACACGGGAGCGCAACTTTGCGGAAGTGCGATTTTGTGGCTTGGATCTGTGCAGCTGCGCCACTACACTTCGGGTTTAGGGTCTAGGGTTTAAGGTGTAGGGTTTCAAAAACAAACAGCCATGACTCATGACTCGTGAGAATTCGGGCCTTGTCATCTTGGTCCCCATCAGCAGCAACCCGTGCTCCGACTCGAAAGCTCAGCCTCGCTTGTCTTTCGGTGCCCTATACCTTACTGTTGGTTAGTAGGGAATGGGGGAATAAGGTACCATATATCCCCTATATAATACCTTTAAGGGATTATATATATGCTACCTTATTCCCCCAACTCCATACTAACCAACATCATAATACTCATAAGTATTCAGAATCTTCTTCATAACATTCACAATATTGACAAGACTCTGAAAATTAGCCATATTCATGATGTTAGCAGACTTGACATTGTGATGTTTCAAGGCATCTGCACAGCTCGCCATCGATGTGCGGGACAGAAACCCTAAAGCCTAAACCCCAAACCCTAAACCCCAAACCCCAAGCCCGAAGCCCTAAGCCCTAAACCCTAAACCCTAAAACTAAAGAGAACTGAGAGCTCGGCTCGCACCTGGGCAACGATTCTTGCGATGCGACAGCCACACACAGGGTACGGTTTGGGGTTTAGAGTTTGGGGTTTGGGGTTTGGGGTTTAGGGTTTAGGGTTGAGGGTTGAGGGTTGAGGGTTGAGGGTTTAGGGTTTAGGGTTTAGGGTTTAGACATGCCCATCAACGAAGACTCGACAAGGTCATGACATCATGATGGAGGTGCCGAAGAAAGAAAGCTGCTCATGGAGCATGCCGGTGTAACTAATCATCTCTGCATGACAGTACCACGAAAGCCTCGCCAATCACAAGTTAAACTGACTGAGGACATTTGGGCATTTCCCAAAATAGAGGTATCCCTACTATACCCCCAAATACTGTAATGCTTATTATAGGATCCCCCCAAAAGGGTACCCCGATTTTCGGAAAGCCCCATCTGAGGACACAGGCCCCTGTGGAAGGCCACTGACCAACACCTGCTCGGAGCCGAGATTCACACGAGACATGGGGGAGGGGCATCTGTTGAGGATTTGGCCTTGAAGGACCGCTTGAAAGCTGGACATTTGATACAGTTGCAGTAAGCAATCGCGAACTTCGAGTGAGCCTTGGTCGACGCCGAGATCTTGTGCCCCTTCTTGGGGTTCGGCGCACCCTGACCCAATACTTCCCAACACATTCGAAACATCATGCACGCGAATGCAGGCTTCCGATGCTTCCGCAGCTGCATCCACCACGCAGTGGCCTCGGGCGTCCGCCACTCGACGTTGTAGGCCACTCGTTTCTCCTGACCCCCCCTTACGTGGGAAGGCTCGCAAAATCTATGTGTGACTCTATGTAACAGTGGCCGCGTGCCAAACAATAAACAATGCTGCAAGGCGCTGTCGTTCAGTATCCTGGCATGGCATAAGGCGGGCCAGTGCCCTAAGGATGTAGTATGACGTCTGGGAAGTAAACACCAGCGAACCCTAAACCCTAAACCCTAAACCCTAAACCCTAAACCCTAAACCCTAAACCCTAAACCCTAAACCCTAAACCCTAAACCCTAAACCCTAAACCTCGGCCTGTGCTCAGCGTAAGGCCCTAAACTAAACGGTCCCGGCCCCAACCAGGGGCTCCTTTCAGGGGTATCATGGGTATCGGTACAGCATCGGTTGAACCAAGAGGCCACTCAGGGTTTCGGGTTTAAAAGGGTTTGGGGTGTAGGGTTCCGGGATGACGACTACGGCTGTTCCTCGATTTAACCTGCGTAAATCACGGCCACCTAAAGAAATCAATGCTTTCGGAAGCAGTCCTTTCGAAGCCCGAGCCAGGAAAGCTCGAGAGCACCCTCGAACTCCCCAGTGATGGTCAGCTCTGCCCATTGGGCCGACAAACGTGTGCCGATGAAGACCTCCCCGGGACGGAAAAAAGACGAGATACCGGGAGGTCACAGCTTGAAAGTCTGCAGCTGTTCTTCCATCTGTGCTTCTGGCCCAGCAACCGTGCAGCTTGCGCTCAACGTCGTCAGCTGCATGAAGTTGCAGCCAGCCTGCATGAAGGTACCATGTGCACTACACCGACGACTTGTACCCACTGAATCTTTCCTGCCCTGCTGGGCATGCTTTTATTTCTTCCACATGATGAACCCTGGTACACAGTCCTTACATCAAAGGCTCTTGATCCTCAGCGCTTAACTTGCGTGAGCTGATCTGCATAATAGGTCGGAAGCAGGGAAGGCTTGCTGTCGCACGTGCTCACGACTTTCTACAGCTACTACAGCTATGCCTAGGCTTTGGGTGCAACTTGGTGCAGCCAAACAAAGGCATCCATGCATCTAGGACTGCCACGAAAAAGGCTTGGCATCAAAAAGAAAACGTGTGCGATGACGCTAGAGGTCGGACCCTGCCTCCTCCCGGATAGCCGAGAACTACGCGACCTTCATGCTCAGTCATGTCAGAACTGTTGTAGCAGGAGCCACTTCTGGCTATTGCAAGCACTCCTACTCGTAACTTGTAGCCACTGTAGCCGCAAACATAAGCCTGGACATCTCTGCCCTGCCTTTCTCAAGTTTGCCGACTTCGGGCGATTGCACCAGGGGCTCCCGTCTCACAGGGGCCGCGTGGTCCTGGGCCAGGACCTTGTATTCTACAGGCCCAGAAAGCACATCCATGGCTTGCTGCGCTGCCTTTCGGCGTGACTCAACTTTTGCTGGATCCGATATCGCCGTCGTGCTCTCCTGCTTGGCATCCTGCTTGACAGCACCTTTCTTGTTAGCCTGCGCTTCAAGCTTGCCTTCACTTGCAGCGGCTGTGCCGACGGCGCTCTCGGTCTTGTCTGCCTTGTCTGCTAGGCCTTGATCGGCCGGAGCCTCCTCAGGGGCTGCAGGGGGCGTCTGCTTTTCATGGAAAGACTCCAGCGCTTTGCGGCCATCCTTGTCCAGCGGTCTTAGCAGCTGTTCGAGACCAAAAGGCTCGCCGTCAATTAATGCCCACGCCTCCTCCCCAATATCTGCCACTTTCTTTCTCGAGCTCTCCTCAAAACGGAGCCACGCATAACCACCGACTTTGTGAGGTGTTCCCATGAGTATCCGGCCTGCATGTACGACTCCCACAATCTTGCCCTTCAGTGAAGGAGAGACTCGTACTGCCACCTTACCATGAGCCACCTCATATCGGCCTGCATAGCCCAATGCCTGTGGCTGTCGCTGCTCAGAGGCCTGAAGGAGGTCATCCAGCCCAAACTCAACGCCTGTTACCAGTGCCCAAGCCGAGTCGGCTAGCGCACCCAGGGCTTTGCAGCACCGGGATGAAACGTGTAGCCACTGCTGGCCTCCGACCTCCTCCACTGCTCCCAACAGCTGCGCCCCTTTGACCGCGGCGCCCACAATTTTTGACTCTCTTGACGGCTTCTCCCTCAGTGCCACCTGGCGAAGAACATCGAAGCATTGCAGCTCGTGGTCATTCTCCTCTTGGACACCTTCGACGGGCTTCACCTTCTCACGGGGTGAGTCCTTCGTGTCTGGACTTGGCGGTGCCTCGTTCGCCTCCTCATCAGCACCTTTGGGCCCGTGACCTGGGAGATCTGGCTCTTGACTTGCTGCATCACGTGCATTGTCATGCTGACCTTCACGATGATCGCCGTCGAGCCCATTCTCTTCAGTCACGGCCTGCGCAGATGCAGTGATTGGAACTCCCCACCCCGAGATACAAGAGAAGACATTCTACCAGACCAGCAGACCACAGGGTTTGCATTCCCATCCAACTATGTTTGTTTGTTTTCCTGCAATGGCACATGAGCATTTGATCAGGGACCCGGGGAAGTGGGTTCCCTTTTCGTCACCCCCTGAAGCCGAAACTCGAAGCTGAAATTCGGCGCGTGCTTACTGAAGTCGAGAATCGGCTGAAGTCGAAACTCGAAGCCGAAATTCCGGTTTGTCAGCGGCTGAAGCCTATAATGTTCGTGTTCGGTCCTCCGAGGGCCAAAGCCGAAAATGTCCCTGAAGCCTAAATTCGGCGCCCAATTCGAACCACGCAAAAAACTCGAAAATGGCCCTGAAGCTTAAATTCGGCGCTGAAGCCGAAATTCGGTCCTCCGAGGACTGAAGCCTAAAATGGCTGAAGCTGAAGTTCGGTCTTCCGAGGCCTGAAGCCTAAATGGCCCCTGAAGCTTAAATTTTGCGCTGAAGCCGAGATTCGGTCTTCCGAGGCCTGACGCCGAAAATGACTCTGAGCCTTAAATTCGGCGTCGAAGCCGAAATTCGGTCTTCCGAGGCCTGAAGCCTAAAATGGTTCTGAAGCCCAATTCGGCGCTTAAATTCGGTTTTGTGAGGGTTGAAACCGAAAATGGCCCGGAAGTCTAAGCCCAAGATAGGCTGAATGATCCCATAGATTGAGGTTCATCTGATCAACAAGGGCAAGTGCATGGCAGAGCGTTCACCCGCATACAGTTCTCCCTGTGACTATTTCTGAGGAATCCAGGCGAGTGGAGTCTCGAAAAAAACGCTCGCAGCAGTCGACAGACCGTGCTAAACCCCCGCACCACAGCCCACCGTACTGTACCACCTCCCAACACCCCCTCCCGAGCCACCGTACCGTAGCGTCGATTCAAGGTTTTTTTATTGCGACGGATCCAAGTCATGTCCCCATAGTTCCGTGCCGTCCCAAACCCCCCGTCCCCCCGTACTGGTTTGGAGGGGGGGGGGGGGTTGGGCACGGTGCGGCACCGCACCACACGCAACCCGAATCTACTGTAATTACCGCCACCGCCCTCCCTAACCGTACACACGCGCTTGCGGACTGTGCAAGTCCATGGCTCTGGATCCAAGCGAGCAAGCGTGAGTGCCAAACCTTGAAATTGTTTTCGAAGTGCAGCACAAGAACATGGCTCCTATTTCTTTCCATGTTTTTTTGTGGCGCTTTGCCTTGGAGCAAAACGGCATCCAGCAGGCAGGACAAAAGCTGGCTCCTGAGCTTTGCCCAGTTGCTGCGGGGCCTTTCACCTGACAAGGACCTTCACAGGGCATATTTCGGGATCGCAAAAATTAGTCGAGCCCGCAGGCCCCCAGTCCCGCCAGTCCCCGCCACCTCGTAGTCCCTCCCAGCTTCCCAGTCCCTCGAAATAAAACCCTCGACCTCCCCTGACTAAACGTGATTCTGCAGCAGTAGGAAGGCGAAACCAATATGCCCTGCCCCCCCCCCCCCCCCTCCTGTAAACAGTGCGGTCCGTTCGCAGTCCCTCCCAGTCCCTTCCCAATCCCTCCCCTCCCAATCCCTCCCCTCCCAATCCCTCCCAGTCCCTCCCAGTCCCTTGCAGTCCCTCCCTTGCCATTCCCTCGAAGTCCCTTCCCGGTCCCTTCCCAATCCCCGCCTTCCTGTAAAGCACTGCAGCCTTGCACGGCTCGGCAGGGGCTCATACGAATTTCGTCTTCGGGGCCGAATTTCGTCTTCGGGGCCGACATTCGGGCCGAATTGAGTCTTCTGCACCGAGTTTTGGCCAAATGCATCCAAATGCTCATTGACCCGGCAAACCGGGTCCCGTTTTCCGAAGGGGGGGGGGGCGAAGACGAAATTGCGAAGACGATGAAGACGAAATTGTTTGCAAGGACATGAAGCTGGAATTGTGCGCGAAGACGAAAGTTGAAGACGAAATTCGGGTTTAGGAAGCACTGAAGAGGAAATCAAAAAGGCGGCCTCCTTCCTGCCGTCCTCTTCCACTTCGTTTTGTGTGGTCGCGGGTGCCGCCAGGTCGTCGGAGCCAGGACTTCTTTGAGTGCCAGCCTCTTCTTGAGTTTCCACGCCTTGTCGAAGCTTTGCAGCTTTCTGCCTTGCTTCTTCTGCGAGCCTCTCTAGCGGGTCTTGGGTCTGAGCCTCTGCAGTATCGCAGCTCTCGCTCTGCGTACTACTTCCGCCTGGCTCCGGCCCTGATTGTTGAGCTTGCTCTTCTTCGGCACTCTTGGTGTCCTGCTCCTGCTCGCTGGGGTGTTCCCCTTGCTGCTGTGCCTCGCTCCCTTGACTCGTTTGCTCCTCCTGTGTGTTCTGCTCCTTGTCCTGCTGCGTCTGCTGCTGCTGTCTAGCTTCCTCCTCTGCTTTCTCTCTAGCTCTAGCTTCTCTCTCTTTCTCTGCCTCCTCGGCCTTTCGCTTGGCTTCAGCCTCTTCGGCCTCTTTCCGTCTGGACTCTTCTGCTCTCTTCGCCTCAGCCTCCTCTGCTTTGCGCCTCTCCTGTGCCTTGCGGAGTTCTTCGGCCTGTCTCTTGGCCTCCTCCCGCTGGCGCTGTTCCTCAGCTCGTCGTGCGGCTTCAGCCTGGGCAACTGTACCGCCACTTGACACTTAAAAAACATATGGCACTTCCAACAAACAGCGCTCCCGCTAACTCGGCTAAGCAATTCTGCAAGATTCCCAGATTCCCTGCGATGCTCCTCTGGCCTCGGCCGCCTTCTTGGCTGCCAGCTCCTGGCACTCAAGTTCTTCGAGCCCGGGTGAAGCATCGAGACGCAGACAAACAGAGACACAGACAGAGACAGAGAAACACAGGCAGACAGGCAAAGAGACAGCAGGCGGAAGAAAGACAGAGCTAAGAAACAGACAGACAGAGGACGACACAGGACAGGACGGGACAGGGAACAGACAGAGAGGCAAAGAGAAGCGGAGAGGCAAAGCGAGAGACAGAGAGAGGCAGAGACAGAAGACAGGAGATAGAGGACAAAGGACAAAGGGCGAAGGACAGCCTGACCAGCAAGCCACAACCAAAGCACCCCCGTATCCCCCAACAGCAAAACAGGATCATGTCTATGGACAGCAGCCCTGAAAGGGGGCTCTTGCTTTCACAAGAGCAGGTGTTACCCTTGCTTGTGGGCCTGGAAGGCTTTGGGAGGGTTGTTTGAGCTGAAGAATGAGGTTGTTGGGCAGCAACCCTCGACTGAGACTCAAATGCATAGTGCGCCAAAAAATTGAGGGCTCATTTTCAATTGTCAACTCAAGCAACCCCTCGCAAGGTTGCCGCCTAAGAAACCAGAGCAAGGCGAACGTTCCGAAGGTGCCACGCTTTCGGCAGTGCCGTGTTGCAGAATCAGGGTAATGCTGAGAAAAGTTTTTGGCCCTGGGGGGGGGGGGGGAGGTTCCGGTCAGGGGGGGTGCCCCTCCCCCGCCCTTATCAGGGGACACCGCAGGGAGGAGACACAAACAGAGACAGAGACAGGGACAGAGACAGTGACAGTGACAGAGACAGGACTCGCCGGACAGTACAGGACAGTGCAGGACAGTACAACAGTACAGGATTGTACAGGACTGTACAGGACTGTACAGGACTGGTCTCCTCAGCCGTGGGAACGCCGAAGTAGGCTCCTGTTGGAGCTCCGCAAAGGTGCTCGACCTGGGCGAGCCGAGAGGATGCTCACGAATGCTACAGCAGAACGCTGCTGTAGCTCCGATTGGCGCCTCGTGGCAGCAGGAGCGGACGTACGCGTTCTCCGCAAACTCCCTGAGACCATGCTGGATAGCTCGTAGTGGTACAGCGACGCAGGTGACGCGTGGCAGGGCGGAAGGCCAAAGGCGAATGATGGGATGCTCGCCTGATACCAGCCTTCATGGCATTGTATCCCTCCTGCAGGATCACTGCGGGACTGGGTGCACAGGTGTAGGGGAGGGGGCCCAGAGGGGGGGAGGTGTGTGCTATGTCACGCAGCTGCTCCCAACTTCCTCTGTGGTGGGGAAGTCGAACCTTTTCATGATGGGGTTCCACTCCTGCCAGCAGTTGCTGCCCGGTCCACAGGCCTCTACTCAGCGCGAAACCCCCATGAGCCTGCGTAATCAACACCCGCCGATGCTGTTCCATGTGCACCCCGCCGCGCTGCTCGATATTTTGCAGCGTCCTGCGGCCGCGAGGCTAAGACTCTGAGCGCCTCTGTGGCAACTGGTCACTGGCTGCCAGTGCATGATCCCAATGGATAGAAGCTCCTGGTAACAGCAGGTGTCAGCAGGGATTCCCTGAAAGCCTTGGACTGCAGTTGCACATGGACATCGACGACCCTAAACCCTAACCCTAAACCCTAAACCTTAAACCCTAAACAAGTCTGGTGCCTTGAGAATCTCCTTGGCCTCACCCAGGAACATGGGCCTCCCCCGTATTTGCCGAGGGATGGCCTCCTGAAAAGACATGGCACGAAAGTTACCACTTCCTGGACTAGAGAACCAATATTAATAGTAATAATAATAATACTATAGTAAGAATACTAATAATCATCTCCCAAAACCCCAAACGCCCACATGTGCCTGTGGTTTTGCCGACACAGGAGCAGGCGTCGGCTTCTCCGCGGTCGCGCGGCTGGATTGGATCTGACACAGTTTGGGGGGAAAGGATACTATTCATAATACTAATAATAATACTATTAATAATAACAATAATAACCATAATAATAATAATAATAATAATAATAATAATAATAATAATAAGTCAGGGTGCGAAAGGGTCCTTTGCGCTTGCTTGCTGCGCTGCGCACTTATCCTGGAATCTGAATTTTTCTTTGGGGGGGGTGTTACGAACATAGGGGTCCCCTAGTTTAGCCTTCCACATAGTAGGATTCCCTCATAATCAGGACCCCAACAAGACACCCCTAATTTCGGAAAGCCCCCTTTTTCGTCTTCGTTCTGCAAACGCAATCATGTCGAAACCACTTTCCGCGCGGGCCTCCTCTTGCTTCCAGCTTCGGCCCTCACCATTGCTGGCCTTGCTTCAGCGAAGCTGTGGTAACATGTTATGATCGACTTTGCTGAGTTTAGTGTTTAGGGTTTAGGGTTTAGGGGAGCTTCTTGACCAGAAGCTTCTGCAGAATGAGTGCTGCGCTTTCAGCCTGAACAGCGCCCCAGGGACCATCCGCAGCTGGCGCTCCACCTCACATCTCAGCACGACCCCGTCGAAAAGATGGTTGCCTTTGAGAGGCCGATGCTGAGCCCGAAACCCTAAGCCCTAAACCCTAATCAACCCGAAATCCTAAACCCTAAACCCTAAACCCAAAACCCAAAACCCAAAACCCTAAACCCTAAGAAGACCCGGACATCCTGCTCGTCTGGTTGCACAGCTTGCCTCGTGGGAAACCAGCCGGATGCCTGGCTGATGGCCATGCTCCTCCGGAGGTTAAATTTTCGGTGTTTCTGAAATTAGGGGGGTTTAGGGTTTAGGGCTTAGGGTTCAGAGTTTAGGGTTGAGGGTTGAGGGTTTAGGGGTACATTACTGGGGTCCCTATATGATTAAGGGATCCTACTATATTGGGGGCCCCCTAGTTTCGTCAACCCCCCAAGTTTTTCAGAAGTAGAACTTATGCCAGTGTGCTGTGACACAACTGCAAGACGGGAACACAAGAGGAATTCCATTATCCTTGCTACCTTTTGCGGGCCGTTAATGCGGCAGCCATACCGCTCTCAACTCTGATCCACACAAGCATCAGAGGCTCGTCAAAGGAAACTGAGCGGCGGCTCAGGTGGAGCTATGAGCTAGGCAAAGCTTCGTCCCATGACTGAACCTTCGCTCAGTAGCAAAAGCTATACGAAATGCGCCTGGACAAAGCGTAGCCCTCAGGGGGTCTGCGGCAAAGCCGCGCAGACAGCACTGCTCCATTTTTGGAAGCCATGCTTTTGCAAACAACTTACGGAAGAGAATCTGCCCCTTAAAGGCGCACTACCCCATCAACGCCAAGCGTTGGGCGTTGCGGGCTACATATAACTTTTTAATGTACAAGAATGTCAGATCTCTGAAAGTCTCAGATCGGAAGCAGCATTGCACCTGTCAGAATCACACATTTCGAGCTACTGACTTCCCTGGCCCCCGAACCAAGTGTGAGGGGCCCCTAAACCCTAAACCCTAAACCCTAAACCCTAAACTCTAGACCCCAAACCCCAAACCCTAAACCCTAAACCCTTCACCGCGCCTTCTTCGCGGGCAGCTTGCAACTTCCGCGCCTCCGCGTCCTCTGCCTCCGGAAATCCGACGGTGGGAATTGTGAAGACATCTTCAACTTGGGGTGTTCCCCCTTATAGTAACAGTCCTTAATTGGGATTATAACCGGGATGCTATAATCCGTATTAAGGATTGTTAGTATAAGGGGGAGCATCCCACTCTTCAACCCTGGTGAATCAACAGAGCACGAAAGAAGGTGATTAAGGAGCCACGGCCTGAAAATCAAGAACAGCCATAACTCCTCAAACCCAAAGAACAACGTTGTCGTGAAACCCAGCTGGAAAGCAGCAGCCGTGACTTTGATGCAACATTGCACGAGCAAGAGACCACCCTCCCCGAATGCGCGGACGTTCAAACGAGCGCAGGTTCGAGCAACACCCGGCTTTGAAATCGCAGGCCCCTGGGCTTCTTAAAATTTGCTGAGGCAGTGTGTTCAAAATCCCAAACGCCCGCCGACCCAAGCTCGACCTCCTCGTTGCCGGTGCTATCAGCCGGACCTGGCAGGAACAGGCACTAGGAGCCGCTTGCCGAATAAGCGACGCCTGAGGAGCAAGCTTCTTAGGAACGCCCGAAAAGCGAAGAGCGACAACACTGCTGCACCGAGTGGCCTCACACACAGGGCGAGAGGACTGAGAAACTATGAGGAGGAGGGCCCTAGGCCCTTGTCGGTGCAATTCGCCCTGTTGACTCAGAAAATGCTCAGACACAAACATGCTCATGATCATCACGAGCGTCGAAAACCTGTCCACCAGGCATGTGAGCTGACCTCTTCTCACTGGCCTCAAAAGCCATCGAAACCCATTTTGCCTCCGCTTTGGTCCAGGATGGTGGTTCTCCTGTCGAGAGTCAGAGACCAAGACATGTTGTACACTTCAAGTCGGTGACGCCAAAACAGCGCATTTCCTGATGCCCCTTGACAGCGAACTTGACTTCAGCCGCTGCATCGTCAAAGCTCACAGAGACCTCCTGATTCCTGACGAAGGCTGTTTCTTGAACGGGTAATTTCGCCCCAGGAACTTCCGAACGATGGGAAACCAGACATGTCGCCTTTGGTCACTTGAGTCTGCCCTGAGTGACTAAGACGCTCACTTCTTTGCATCCAGGAGGACAGAGTGCTTGACGACCGGCTTCGGCAAGAGGTGAACGTCTGGAAGTGCCATGGGGCGGATCCGGCCACTCCTCGGCCACACGAGTTCATCCAGACCAGATGGCGGTGACGGCAATCACGGTAGCTGCTACGTGAGCATGCGTGAGCCCGTGTGTATTTGAGCGCACTGGGAATATTTGGGCAAAAACCCAAGAAATCAACCCAATGGCTGTTGACGCAGCTATTAGTACCCCTAAACCCTAAACCCTAAACCCCAAACATCCCCAAACCCTAAATCTGACGAGGTCTTGCGAAGCTTCTGCGATGTCCATCAGTAGCAGCTGCCAAGCCACGTGTAGAACTCTACGTCGCCCCGAGGAACCGTCGACAAATAGCAGCGGTTCCACTGGCAGTGCACTGGCCTAAGAAGGTGCTAAAGACTCAGAAAAAGTGACAAAGTGCGCTGCCAATGTCTGGCGCTAATCCCCAAAAATGCCGCCTGTCGCTACACTGTTGAATATTCCAGTCACGATTACCGTGCATCTGCGTCTGGTATCACCTACAAGCCGGCTGGTACCTAGTTTTTGCCGTTACCGCGACCAAGAGACTGATGACATATCGTTGAACCATCAAGCAGCGCTTGGCATACCTCCGAGCGTGGCCACTCGCGCTGAACTGAATCATGCGTGCGACTTGGGCCGTTTAAGCACGTGACTGCATGGTGGAATTTGTGGTCATGCCCGCCGACAACAACTGTTATGACCTGGCGACAGGGGCTATGAAAGGGAGGCGCCACGATGTGTCTCAGGCAAGGGAGAGCAGCCAAAGCCTTTCTGATGTCGGTGAAGGCCGAAACCTCAACCGCCACGTAGGCCTGCGTTGCATGGGCAGAGCAATGGGCTCGCAGCTTGCGAGCACCTCACACAAAGCTGTCGTGTTCTGGATTCCTGTCAATTCCACTGCAGCATATTCGCTTTTCAGTTGGACTTCGGTCAAAGAGGCGGACCGGTTGCTGATCGATGATGTACACACCCACGCCCACCGCAAAGTGGTTGAACACTTGCCTGCAGCGATTGACTGTCAAAAATTTAAAGAGCTTCCACTTCTTGAGCCAGACACAGCTAGACAGATTAGCTCAAGAGGCTCTCGTCCTCAAACGTTCCACAGCACATCTCTCAGCATCTCTGGCCATATCACACGTTCCATAAAAACCCGTGAACTAGGTTGTCTATGGGCATTTGTGTTTTAAACGATGCACGATGTGCTCCCTTGCCGCTGAGTCACACCGCAAGCCGTCTTAAGCTGAGGATTCCCAAAACAAGAAACTCATCAAAACACAGGGCCTGGGTGCTACATGAAGACCTGTCGAGACAGCAACAATACAGAACTTGTCCCTTCACCAAGGTCAAGGCGGGGGTACAACGTAAGCAGCATATCTGTTCCTTAGCTGTGCCAGCAGCAACGTGCACAAACCCCAAACCCGAAACCCTAAACCCTAAACCTTATATAAACCGTTGGGACGTCGGAACCTGTGATCACTTCACACCGTCTCTATTGCCGGGCCATTCGGAAAAAGTCGCCTGCCGCAAAGGTGCTCTCTGTGCTTGGAGGGGGACCCCCTTTGTGAGCCCATGTGTGGGCGTGTTTGTGAGCCCATGTGTGGCATGTTCTGAGAGGCCGGCTGGAGATTGAGTTTCGAATGATATGGCAGCTCCGCTTGGAAGAAGTACAGCCTTTTCAGGGCGAAGCTACCCTGGTCCATGAACTTCCAAGGAAGCACTGAACGCTCTGGGATTCTGGGTCATTCTGGCATGCGCGGCAACACGGCAAGCATCGCAGCAGCACCGAAAGTCTGAGGAGTCTGCTGCCCGTTCTCACCATTCCACACGAGAAGGTGGCCATTCTGGTCACAGCACAAGAGCATTGAGGGAGGATTTCGGGTTTAGGGTTGCGTGCACGAGGTCTTCCAGATATGCCGGCAACTGTGCAGCCGACCACGATGTGCTCCACGGCAATGCCATAAGCCAGCGTGTTATGCCTCCACCGCGGCAACCGATGGGGGTTCACGAAATTAGGGGTACCTTATACGGCTACCTTATTAGGATACCTTATTAGGGTACCTTATTAGGGTACCTTATTAGGGTACCTTATTAGGGTACCTTATTCGGGTACCTTATTAGGGTACCTTATTATAAGGGAATCCTACTATTTGGAGGTCTATTTTAGGGGTCCCCCATTTTCAACAAAATCCCAGGATGTTTTTTCGTTGGCTCCCGGCCAGATGCTCAGAGCTGAGATCCCTGCCCATTCACGACCACACCATGCTCGCTGAAACACCTGAAGCTGGAAACTTGGACAAACGGGCCCTAAACCCTAAACCCTAAACCCTAAACCCTAAACCCTAAACCCTAAACCGGAGCAAAACATGGGGCAGGTGCTTGTCAGATTTGAACGCATGGGAGGTCATGGGCTCCTTTGCGTTGTTGTTCGGCGTCTCAGTGCAATCGCAGTGGCTCAGTTCACTGCTTCGGCAGTGGTGTGCTGAAACTAGAGAAACAGCCACAACTTGGTGCTCGAGGCATTGACCATGGTAAAGTTAGAGCAGTCGTCATGGTCAGCATGCCACGCCCAAACCTGAGAGCCAAAGCTAAAGTAACAACAGCCCACAATCGTGCGCTCCTGAAGGCGACACGCGTCGCTGTCCAAGCAACGCACATTGTCTATGATCAAGTTGTGCGTGTTGAATTCCAAGAGTGTGCTCGCTCCTCAGAATGTGAAGAGGCAACACCACCCTTTGGCAAGTGTCCTTTGGCACGGCTTCTGGGCTGCGTGCTGACAATACCACAGTTCAAGTAGCCAAACGCCCCAACCCGTGCAAAAATGTCGGATGCCTCGGCATGTCAGGGAGTCGATGCCGCCAATGCGCCGCTGCGCGAGAGGCACTTGAGACACTTAGCCCTGGACGACCCCTGTATTTTGCTCTGACTTTGCCGGGTCGAGGTTTACCACGCTCCGGCTTCCCCACTGCAGCAACGGCTCCCTGCAATGCGAGCAGTCACTGACGCAACGCAAGCAGGCGCGCCGGCCACCGCTAAGTCGAAGGCGCATAGAAGCTTAGGACAGGAGTGGCCGCGTCCATCATGATTCCAGCAATTCCTGCAAAATCCCCAATATGTCTTCCCCTTCTTGAGAACTTCAAGACGTCCCCACAGCAGCGAAACACACTGCGAGCCATGAGTCGCTGCAGAGTGCAGCAACATCCTAGCGAAACCTAGAATCGCATATGTGCTTTCTGGCACGCGCATTTGGCAATCATGGAGCATTAGGCCCCGAGCTCACGTCTTCCAGGTAGTCGTCCACCTGGCCGGAAACAACAGGTGCATATGTGGGTTTACGAGAATAAGGGACCCCTATATAGAAAAAAATGGTAGGTTCCCCTTATGATACGGACCCCAATAAGGTATCCCCCTAGTCTCGTAAACTCCCCTATGACAGAACCAAGAGCCGCCGCTTTCAGGCCCCAGGACCACCTGCAAGCAAGATCGTCCCGGCGGCGACACCAAGGTGGGGAAGCCTGCCGCTGGCCAACATGCAAACATCACATCAGCTTCGAAGCAAGAGAGGGGTTTCCGATATTTAAATTTTAGGGGGTACCTTATTGGGGTCCTTGGTATAAGGGGATCCTACTGTTTGGGGGTCTATTTTTGGGGTCCCCTATATTTGTAAGCCCCAACAGCAGCTTCGAACCAATACGAAGCGCCGTGGCAACTAAACTGAGCTGCTATTGGACTCTGTACTATGTCCATCGAGGAACACCCAACTCGAAACAGACATGGAATGGGACAGCTTGACTGAACAGCCATGTTGACCTGTGAAAGCGACTCTTCTCGGAGCTGCAGGCCACGAACTCACAAGGCAGCAGCCTATCCCAAGAATGACGAAGCCGCTGGATGTCACCACCAGCGGCACGTCCAGCCGGTAGATCTTAGAAGCGCGTGGCGCCAGCATCATTTCAGCTCCGGCAGAAATTATGAAGCACTACCAATGAGCATCTGGCACCAGGTGTCAGCAGCAAGCCTGCCTTTGCGTGTGTGCAATGTCAATCTGCCGATCGAAACAAACATACCACAACTCATGAGCTGTTGGTCGCATGCTACCGCGGTGCATCATCCTGACTCCAGCTAAAAGTGGGCCTTCATGTGAGTGCCCAGTCTGATCTCCGAGGCAGACATCTCCGGAGTTGCCACAAAAACCTGGGAGTGTCCGAAAAAGTGGTACCCTTCTTGGGGGGGCCTATAATAAGGATTATAGCCTGTACTTGGGTGTGTATTCTGGGTACCCCTATTTTGGGAAACCCCCCCCCCCCCCACCTTTGTCTCACATCGCACCAGGGACTATGGCTAGACTGGGACAACTCGCCCCCTTCCTTCCTCCCGACCCTGCACTGCCCTTCCCCCAGGTATAGGGTTTAGGGTTTAGGGTTTAGGGCTTAGGGCTTAGGGTTTTGGGTTTAGGGTTTAGGGTTTAGGGTTTAGGGTTTAGGGGTTAGGGGTTAGGGGTTAGGGCTTCGGAAAGTAAATCAACCCTTTTTCAGGGAGACTCCTTTCAGCTCGCCAGTCGACGCGGACGATCAGAGCGTCAAAACAAAAAGCAGGAAACATCGCTTACTTCGAGCCTAAACCCTAAACCCTCAACCCTCAACCCTCAACCCTCAACCCTCAACCCTAAACCCTAAACCCTAAACCCTAAACCCCATCTTAAGGCTAAGCCGCGTGGTGCGCACATGCAAGGATCATCTGGCATTGGGCACCCCAGATTTCCTTTACCGTAAACCCTAATCCGATTCTCCCGGACTTGGGCAATCCAAGGATTCTGTGGTGGGTTCTCGAAGGGACTGGAGCTCCGGAAGGATTGGGTCTGCAAGGGCTTCTTTGAAGGTGGGCACTCCAGGGACTCTCTTGAGGCGGTAAACTCCAGGGGTATTACGTGGGGTTCCCTGGGAAGATTTTCTGCAGGATCCTCGGGGGGGTGGGCACTCCCGTGATACGCAGTGCATTTCGGTATACCGGGGGGGAGACGCGGACAAGGAGACCCCGCCAAGGAGTGCACGAAATGGCGAGAAGAATAGCTGAGAACAGTTGTGTTAAATCTACAGAGCCCCACAGCGAGGGTAGGGAATTCTAGTAATCTTCAGGCATTCGCCCGGGTGCAAAGGCTCTGACGTCCTCACCTATGGTGAGCTTGCGGTCAATCTGGGACTCACGATCCTGGCGGCTCTTACAGGCCCCATGTTTGAGACATTTCAAGACGCCACCATTGGCACCCCTTCATGGCTGTTTCCGAAAATTGTTAGGGGGTCCCTTTAAGGGGATTCTAGTCTGTTCTGGGTATGAAAGAGGTACCCCCTATTTTGGGAAATACTCTCATCGGTCCTTGCCAATTGCACCCGGGGGAGGATTCTTCCGGATCTTGGGCACATAGATCTTCCATTCTTCGGCGTCCTCCTGCCAAGGGGCAGTTCTTAAGTCGGGCGCAAAGCTTTCTGCGACTTGCAACCATCCAACCTCAAAAACAATGTAAGGCTTCTCTGCAGAGCCTCAGACAGCTGTGCAAAGCAAGGCTTTGAGCATTTGAGTCTTAACCGAGATTCACATATGCAGCTGGAGTGGGGTCCGAACGCTCTAGGCCGGACACTTGGGATAACTTGTCGATCATGGCCTGTGTAAGAAGGAGGGCTAACGGTTCTTAACGACGCCCATCATCAAAAGTCCAAGGCTCGGGCACCATTGCAGGCTTGCACGTCTTTCTGCGGAAATTCTGCAGCCTCAGCTTCTTGGGACCCACCCTCAGCCGTGATATACCTGTTCTGCGTCTTGTGCACGATCACGCGTGCTTTGTGGAAAACCCACATCTGTTTCAGATCTTTCCATGGGAGTTGGACAACATGCATCCACTTAACCAAGCTAGCCGGCCAAGCAGCATCGTGGAAAATGAAATTCCAGCCAGCTGGGCACAGAAGTCCTGAAGTTCAAGGCTTGCGTCTTGAAGCAAGCAGAACACGTCAACGAGCAGGCAGAAGGAGCGTGACAAAACCCAGCGCCGACAAACAAGGTGCTACTATGCTACCAGTCATGTGGGTGGTTGTCAACATTATGGTCCCTTTTTGGGTCCCCATTATAATACGGCACCTAGAATTTAGGGTACCCAAAAAGGGACCATAATTTTGACAACCACCCATGTAGTACGTGGAACGCTGCGCATTCTGTGCTGTCCGTCGGGCGGTACCGAGACTTGACGTGCATACCACTGCTGCTGGGTACCCATCACCAGCTTCCCCTGTACCTGGCACACTTCGCTTTAGACTCCGTTTGACATCTCCTGGAAGGAGTTCGTTCTTGGCACACAATGGCAAACAAAGGCAGCTGGCCTCCACGTCGCTCATGAAGCCGCCACTGGAGTATCCAGTCTGAGCAACGCTCTTTTGCACTGCTCTTTGCAGGATGCTCGCATGTGATATAACTACATGGCCAAGGTTGATGCCACCCTCTTCTAGCAAGTGGAGAATCCCGCTCAACCAATGCTGTGTGAGGATGTACTTGCAGGAGGCTGCCTTGTGAGAGAGCCATAGCTCGTATCTGATAATGGCTCTTCGAAGGGGCGCGGCCTGCAGTGAATGGACAGACGTGGACACGGGTGGAAAGCATTGCAGCGGGCTACACTGATCATGTGCCAGTGCGGACCTGGGAGACTGCCCACATCGTTCCTGGGAGCGCGACACTAGACTCTCCCAGGACGAGCAGAGAAACTTGACTGTGCCACTGGCGTCCCGCTGTCACCGTGACCCCTTCCAGCGAACGCCAGAAGTTGTTCGTGGCCTCGGCTCTGCATGCTACGCAGCCATCAAGGTGTACTGTTTCCAATAACTGGATGCGAGTCAGAGAGCTACACATCTTAAATCATCAAAAATACCGGCCTGGTCTGTGATATCGTTACTGACCTGAGGAAACAAACTCTCGCGAAGGTACGTGAAGGAAATGCTAGCAGCAATCTGCAGAAATGCAAAACTTAAGACTTGAGAAATGTGTGTACGGGCAGCCGACACCCGCAAAGCAACTACGAAGCCTTTGGGCTCCAACCCACACGTCAGCAATAGTGACCTGGAAGACATGGCCAAGGGGACTAGGGGCGTAAGAGTTCAGCGCAAATCCATGGGTTCGTGGCAGATTCGGGATCTCTGCCGACTCCGCTGATGCTGGTGTAGTATCCTGGGCCACTTTTCAGCATTCTGGGTCGTTCGCAGCTACGCACACGTCCCTGGCGATGCACCCAAACTGACTGTGGGACTGGGCTGCTCGCCTACGTTGATCCACATGTCCCCCGGATAAACCTCACGGCAACTGGGTCACTTCTCCAGCATGCCGTGGGGCTTTTCTTCCACCCCAGACTTCAAAGGCTCAAGAACCAGGCTCCAGGTTTGAGCAAGACTGCGCGTCTTTCCTTAGGCCAAGAGTGCCAAGAGGGTGCATCATGGTGCATTTTTTGAGACGGCGGAGGGAGAGAATTGATAGGCTGATGGAATTCATGGACCTCTGCTTGACTGCAGTCCTCGGCCTCTGGCAGCTCCAAAATGCGACGTCGCTGCTGCCACCGCCGAAAGCTTTGCCTCTCGAAGGGGGTTTCCGAAACTAGGTACCTTATTGGGGTCCTTATTCTAAGGGAATCCTACTATTTGGGGGGTGTAGATTCGGGGCTCCCTCATTTCCGTAAACTCCCATCTGTGCAGATGCGCATGACAAAGGCAGGTGCAGGGCAAAAACCGGGCAATGCCCGACGCAACCTGCCTTGAGCTCCCTGGGTCTCATAGATGGGTCTAAGACCACGATCCTTTCCAAGGCAGGACGTGGCACGATCGGACACTAGTCAGCTACTTGGAGGTTCATGGTACTCATGAATCCGATGGTAACTGTACTTATGATTGTTTAATGAGTACCATGAATGCACTTACAACTGTTTGATAAGTACCATGAACCTCCAAGTAGTCACTAGGATCGAATTCAAGAGGCCAAGGATCTGAGGGATCTTGCTGTACCAATGCGACTGGCTGCTCGGGGATTCGTCCTCCAACAGTCTGCAGATGGCAGCCGCAACTACGAAACGACTAACAACAGCATCCCCCGACCCCCTCCCGGCCCCCTCCCGGCCCCCAACCAGCAGCGCGGCACCACCACCACGCCAACACGGCAACAGCAACAGGACCAACAACCGCGATAGCATGCACACCACCAGCGCCACCCCCAGCACAAGCCCTACAACTGCTTCTGTCATCGTGAAACAAAATGGACAAACCAAACCTGTGCCCAGCCGACATTTTTGCCTGGTGACGATTGCATCACGGCTTTCATCTGTGTTTGTTTCGACTCTGAGAACCTTTGTCCTTCACCTGTGTCCGTGGTGATTTGGGGTAGTTCCAGTTGCTTGGCATTAAGGCAGTCCTCGGCCTCATAGCCTTTGGCCAGTGCAGCCGAGAGAACCTGACAGGCTCACAAAGGCTTAACAAAAAAAGAGCAGCCAAGAATCACCCAGCAGCCTGCGCGCGAAATGTGTCGAAACTCAGTCGAGGGCAAGGGTTAGCAGTCTGAAGATTGGCAGCATTCGTAAACTTGGCCGCGCCATCCTTCAAGCCTCAGCATGGCACACCGAGCACACGCACATGCAGAAACCGCACACAAAACACGCGGCGCAGCGAGCTGAGCCACCATGCACTCCACGTAAAACGAAAAGGAGTTGCATCCCCTCTTCCGTGGAGCTGCAACCGGCAAGCCAGGAGCCCCAAATGCCGGCAGGGTTCGCGAGGCAAGGAACTGATGCGCTCTGAAACGGTCATTCCCACTATATGAAGTAGGGTTTATATTTCTTGTAGCCCCAAAAGGACACCAGGTATATACACTCACCAAGACTACAAAGGAGCCTTATATACACTCACCAATAACAGTAATATAAACCCTGCTTCATATGGGTTTACGATGTTGGGGCAACCTTCCTGGGGTCCTAATTACTATCAGGGGATCCACTATTTGAGGTCTATATTCGGGGTCCCCGAAAATCGTAAAACCCCCCCAAACATCCCGAGGTTCCCAGCACAAGCCAAGCCCTGATGCTGAAGGGGTGTCCTTGACAACTTGTAGAAGATTCGGAAAGCCGGCTGCGTCGATACTGAAGCCATGCTTTCTGAGAGTTGCCTTGAAGGGGCCAGCATGAGGAGTGACATGAGGTTTGGGTTTCGGGTTTAGGGTTTAAGGTTTAAGGTTTAGTGGTTAGGGATTATGGTTTAGGGTTTAGGGTGAGGCACTTCACTCGCATGGCTTTCTGAGCATTCTGCATTTGCACACAGATCTGTCTGGCTGGTGGTTTTCGAAATTAGGGGTATCTTCTGACGGTCCTTACTATAAGGGAATCCGACTATCCATGTTCGTAAACCCCCTTCTAGCTAAACTTAGCCTGCATGTACCCAACGGCCTTCCAAGAGATTGAGAGCAGCTTGGCCACGGCCTGACGGCAAGCGCGCTTGGGCTCGCACATCCTTGTTGGCTGCACTGAACCCTAAACCCTAAACCCTAAACCCTAAATCTTAACCCTAAACCCTAAACCCTAAACCCTAAACCCTAAGCCCTAAACCCTAAACCATCCTGTGCTCTGCTGTTCTGCCAATCTCCGCACCTCGCGCTTCTTGAAGGCTCCCCAATCCATCCTCCGCAGTTCCGCCAAGTCCTCTCTTGGAGAAGGGCAATGGCACATGGCGAAGGCCCATGGGGTTTAGGGTTTAGGGTTTAGGGTTCAGGGTTTAGGGATTAGGGTTTCGGGTCACGGTGTACAAGTGACAGCGAGCACAACTCGGACCTTCTGGAACGTGGCACTGTTGGAGACCGTTCGGAGCTCCTGCATGCCAACCCGCGGTCTCCCGTTCTTACTGGGCTAAACATGTTAAGGGTTTAGGGTTTAGGGTTTAGTTGGTTGAGGATGGTGGCTTAGAGCCCGGAGCCCTTTTTGCAAACGTCTTACGTTAAGACTTTACATCCACCGCCATCCTTGAGAGAGCCTACTCAAGACGGCGGCCACGGTTTGGCAGGTTGGTCTCTTCCCAAGGGGGCCTCAAGGTCTCGAGCCTCCAGGAACCTCCTCCTAAACCCTAAACCCTAAACCCTAAACCCTAAACCCTAAACCCTAAACCCTAAACCCTAAACCCTAAACCCTAAACCCACCACAAGCCCCACCACATCGGCTCGGGGATCTCTTCGACCCTTCTGAAGGCTCAGCGACTTTTTGTTTTGGGGGAAGGTTTTGGCCTTTGCCTTGTGGTTCCCTAAACCCTAAACCCTAAATCCTAAACCCTACACCCTAAACCCTAAACCAAGAGAAGCTTCAAAAGCTCCTCCAACAAGCGCCGCACTTCATCCAAGGACAGCTCGGGCGCCTCGGCGAAGCAAGAGTCTACCCCCCACCTCCTTCTCCCCCCCGCCTGGAGGGATTCAGAAGACATCAGCGAAACCCGGCAACGCCTTGACGCCCTGAGGGTTTAGGGGTTTTAGGGTTTCAGTTTTGGGTCAGGGTTTAGGGCTTGCGCCCTCATTCCCTCCTGGAGACATCGCTCCACATGCGGGCTGGGGTGTGCAAACAAAGTGGGGGTTTAGGGTTTAGGGTTGGGGGTTTAGGGTTTAGGGTTTGGGGTTTAGGTCTACAATTCCCCTCTTATTTACTACGAAACCCCATCAAGGTTTTTCTAACAGTTCTGCAGCAATCAAGCCAAAAAGTTGTTTCTTCATTCTGGGCAAGCTGGGTCGACGCCGACTTGATCAGATGACTTGCTGGACAACCCTAAACCCTGAACCCTGAACCCTAAACCCTAAACCCTAAACCCTAAACCCTAAACCCTAAACCCTATATAAACCCTGAGCGCGCTGCCGGACTCTTCTTTGCAGTTCGCGCAGGCCTCAGAAAAGAAAAAAAAATAAGGTGCACAGCTTATCGGACAAAGGAATCCGCATGCGTCCGTTGAGCTCATGGCACCACTACCTTGGGAGCATCACTTGGATTCTTTGGAACCTGACATCTGACTCATCTGACCCCAAAATTCAGGGAAAGAGGGGGGGGGAAGGGGGCCGGCATTTACCATCTTCGAAAGTGACACTCTGCGCTCGCGAGGCGGGGAACTCTGCACAGGCTGCGAGATGCTCCGATACCCCAGCCTCGTCGGCAAAGCGCGAGAAGGCACCGGTCTTTGTTGGAAGCCTCGAAACAAGTTTCTCGCCGACGGCGCTCTTCCGTTAGAGCTTAGTTTAGCACGCGCCATCTTCCACAAGAAGTGCTGTCATCTGGGCTGCTGACGTGGTCGCCGCAGCAGCGAAAGCTCCAAAGGCACCTTCCCAAACAGCGCATGGCACTGAAATTATGATTGAATGAGAGTGCTCATCGCGCACTCCATCGCAGACGAGACACCACTTCTGCGGCCCATGGCTAAGCAAAACTGCTGTTTATCTGGTCATGAATCTACGCTAGTGTTGCCCAAATACTTGGTGTGAAGCTCGTGAAGTCGCAGGAATTCTCCGCCGGATGTTGCTACAGCCGGTCTTGGCAAAACGATATTCACTTAAGTGCATGGCAACGCTGTGGCGTGCACGGTACATATGAACTGCATTCAATCATTTCTGCACAGAGCTTGAGCGAGTTATTGTTTCAAGACAAACTGCGTTGCAACTCAGATGAAAGGTAGATGGATGACCCTAAACCCTAAACCCTAAACCCTAAACGCTAAACCCTAAACCCTAAACCCTAAACCCTAAATCAAAGCTCCAAAGCGCAGGAGTCCTTCTCTGCTTCCACGCAGTATGGCAAGGCATCTACCTGTACACGATGTCCTCCTACTGGCCAAAGCAAGAAAGCTGTCCAAATGCCACGACCACGATACATCTTTGCAAGTCTCCACATCTCTGAAGTCGAACCCAAGGGCCTCAACATCACATTGTTCGCCTGATCATGTGGGGGTTTACGAAAATAGGGGACCCCCAATATATCCCAAATAGCAGGATCCCCTCATTTAATAATTTTGGAAACCCCCGTGTGATAGTCAGTGTGCTCAGCGAAGCTATTGCGTTCACATGTCAACAGCCGCTGCGTGCCGCCTGGGATCGCCTTAGCTTGATCAAGTACTGGAGAATGGGCCCAGGGGGGTGTGAGGGTTTGGGGTCTAGGATTTCGGGCTCAGGGTTTAGGGTCTACAGTTTACGGTTTAGGGTGAAAGGGGGGGAGCAAGCTTCCCTAATGCTTGTGACTGGCAAGTTTGAGATATCCAAACTCAAAGAGTTGCGATCTCACTCGAGGATGTCTTTTGTTCCAGGAAATTCGGAAGCCGTTTGTGGAACATCCTTCTCTCATCGCTCGGACTGTGGGGGTTCGTTGTGCACCAGGCAAACTCGGCTTAGACTTGTTGGATGCTTGCAATAAGAAAGCTCCGCTTGCCACGCTTCGCGCATTCTTCTGGACTTGCAATACCGGATAGTCTTCGAACAGTCCAGTCGTCGAGCTTTGCGGCCATCGCTCGCAAGCGAAGCGTCGCCGTGCGGCCCTAGGTACGTCGAAAGCCGACTTCTGATGCTTCGGAAGTTTTTCTGGCCAAAAAAGCCATTGTCCGTTGTGTAACTTCCTGGGCCTTCATTCACGCATGGGATCGCAGACCTAAAGGCGAAGTATGATATCTGCAAGCTCTACACAGCATCTATACTCCCCTTAGAAGCCTTAGAACCTTAATATTTTTTGCTTTTTATATCGACACAAACAAGAAATAATTCCCGAGGGGGTTATAGGCATTTGTTGGTGGCTGCTGTCTGCTTCCGAGTGGTGGGCGGGGAAGTGGACACGGCGTTCGCGCCTGCAGGGTTGGGTCACGGCATGCTAGGCGCAGTCACAAGTCGGCTGTCAGCATGTCTGTTGCGTTGATTCTGGTGGGTGCACGAAGCTGCTTTGAAAAGAGGAACAGTCACTATCAAGCCTCGCTGAGTGCTATTCGAGCTGCTTCGTCCTTAGTCTAATCCGCAAGGGTGCACCGTGAGCTTGCTGCAAGTCATGTTCGTTCTCAGAAGCACTGAGCGCCGCACCCAATCTTTGGTGACATGAATGTCCTCACTGAGCTGGAAGTCAGGGGTTTACGAAAATAAGGGACCTATCGACCCCCAAATAGAAGGATCGCCTTTATGAACAAGGACCCCAATAAGGCACCCCGAATATTGTGAGCCCCCATTCGGCAACTAGTTGCTCGCAATAACGCACAGGTCGCGCTGGCTGCGGAGGGGTCGGGGCAGAGGGTAGCCGGGGCAGGCCGATGTCGGCTGCACACCACGTACTTTACGCTGGAAAGTCTCCTCAGGTCTCAGACATGAGCTGGAGGCCCTAAGTCCTCAAACTCAAAGGGTACGTGAGCCTAAACACAATTATTAGAAACAATGATTTACAAGATTAATCAGTGGCAGGCCTCATTCACCGCGTGTCTGAGCACTGATGGTTTCCCCCCGGGTTGCTCCAACAGCACGGGCCCGTTCTGCACGCCCGAGCGCACGCCGGAGCGCACCCCCGAGAGCACGCCCGCGCCCGAGCGCCGTTTGTTTCTGTGATTTGCAGGCTCGTGATCGAATCAAATGTTGGCGAACACATCTCTCCTGCATCCCCCAGTCTCGGCAGACCTCTTCAGGAGATCCTTTGCCACACACCTTCAGTCATGCGGCTGTCAGAACACGTCTCGTGCAGCTTGTCCTATCTCGGATCGTAAGCGCGGGGCGACGAACTGAGGTGGTGGCACATGCCGCGAGGCACCTCCAGTGATAGGGCAACAGGCTCAGTTCTGATGCAAGGTTTCAAGAAGCCGAAACTCCATTATTTTACTTCGAACATCCCACCTTAGGGATTTGGTTTTTTTTTGGCCGTCCTGCCCCCCCCCCCCCCACCCGTCTGATGAGTCTCTCGGGTTGGGCACTCCAGAAAGTCTCTGGGTTGGGCACTCCAAGGAGTCTCTGGGGTTGGGCACTCCAAGAAGTCTGGGTTTGGGCACAGCCGGGAGTTTCTGTAAGTCTTTGGGGTTGGGCACTCCAGGGAGTTTCTGGGGTTGGGCAGTCTAGGAGTCTCTGTGGTTGGGGAGTTTCTGGGGTTGGGGAGTCTCTGGGGGTTGGGCACTCCAGGGAGTCTCTAGGAGTAGACCGGGCGAGGAGAAGAGTTCCAGGCGAGGAGAAGAGTTGAGTTTAAAATCGAACAACCCCACACAGAAGGTGTGGAAAAAAACCACCAAAAACCTTCAAAGCCCTAAACCCAAAAAACCAAAAAAAAAAAAAAAAACCTAAACTGGGATCAGGATCTGACAGAACTGTTTGATGGCCACGGCATCGCTCTTGTGACGGCGGTTCCTTGGAGGCGATGTCTGATTCGGGCCGGCTACCCTGCTGTTCTTCTGCCGCCTGCCTCGCTAACTTCTCGGACACGCTGCAGGGAACATTCTGGCTACCTGTTTAGATTTGGGGTTTAGGGTTGCAGAAGATGTTTCGGAGGCCGAATGTGCAAAATCGAGCTCAGCTCCCTAAACCTGGACGCAAGTACCAGAAGTTGATAGGCCACGTGTGCGGGCTTCCAGCATCGTGGGATCCTGCTCGTCCGAAAGAAACCCATGATCCCCGGCAATGTGGCCCGGTTCGGAACAAGCTCCAAGGAGGTTAGGGGACCGGTTGGGGCCCCAGCAGAATCAAGACAGCCACGCGCTCGTCCGACGCCGCACGGTCCTTCACGTAAGGCAGCCAGGGCCTGGGCTGCTCTGCTGGAAGAGGAGGTCTCAAATTCGTTTCCAGAAGGGGTTTATGATAGTTGGGCCCCGAATAGAGACCCCCAAATAGAGACCCCCAAATAGAAGGATTCCCTTATGATCCGCCGAGGCCTTGGGTCTAGGTGTCTGGGTAGCACAAATCATCCACCCCACCTCTAATCCCCTCCCCACAGCCCAGGGTTGGCCTGAAATGGGTACCCCCCCCGAGCCGACAAGTGTCCGGGAGCAGACGGTGCATTCAGGACCAAAGGGCACTTCAGCCTGACGTACCCCCCTCCCCTATTGCTTGGAGGGGCCTGCCTCGGCCTCCCAACCCGCGGGTCACGTGGCGTTAAAATTAAGGACTCCAATGAGGTACCCCGAATATCCTATACCCCCACATCCTCAAGCAAAAGGTTGCAATCGTTTAGCGGCACGTGACAGGCATCTGAAAGCACGCGTAACTGCAGAGATTGAGGGACTGGTTCTCAGGGGCCCACTTCGCGTCCTGATTGCCATCGAAACCCTGGAAGGAAATGCCTCGAGCAAGGCAGGCCCGCGGATGTGTCATTTGCGTATTGCATATCGGAATCCATTTTACCACAGCTTTAACTGCGTATCACCCATGCCATGAAAGAAATGACATGCATGCTTCGGCCAGCATCCCACCTGAGTGGCCATTCAAGGAGGTCTTCCTGAACAGGCGGCATTCTCACAAGGGGAACCATGCTCACCACCGAGGTGCCACATGTGGCCACGGCAAATGGGAGCCTGTGCTGTTCTGAAGCACGCTCAATCGATGCCCTCCATCCTGAACCCTGAACCCTGAACCCTAAACCCTAACTGAGCCCCGGGCTGCCAAGCCCTTGGATTCACATCAACCCAGACCTAAGTCCATGAGGGGTGGCGGGCGCAACAGGAACCAGCGCGCCACACAACGCTTTTAGGGTTTAGGGTTTAGGGTTTAGGGTTTAGGGTTGAGGGTTGAGGGTTGAGGGTTGAGGGTTGAGGGTTGAGGGTTGAGGGTTTAGGGTTTAACCGACTAAGACGCAACAAGAACGAGGGGGGCACATGAAACAGGAACTGTACACGCCTCCTCACAGGCTCCTGGTACAGCTTTGGCCCAGTTCCTGAAATAAGTTCCTGAAACAGGGTTGCTGTACCAACCCCCTGGTTCCGGTTAGCGCTCACTCGTCACAAAACCCACAAAGACGCCAAACACTCGCACTGAAAGTTTCGATCTCATGGTCTCAGATGCCAACCACCACAGGCTTTGCTGCAGCCTGGCATGTGAGGCTCCAGGCTAGACGAAAGAACGTGAAAATTGCAAGGCCAGCGAGTGCTCAACAGTTCGCCGGCATGTTGGACGTGCAGGGCCTTTGGAGCTGCGGCAGGGGCGACCCGAGATGGACCAGAAGGATAGCCTGCAGTACAGGCAAGCATGGACAGCCGGTGAGCACCAGCATGCTCCAGAAAGGCAACCTGCCCGCGAAGTCTTTCCTTCGCATTCCTTTGACCCAAGCCTTCAAGCGCCACACAGCGTCACTTAGAAGCCCCTGAACATCCTCAAGCCTGACGCCTCCCGTTCCCACAACTTTGCTTCAAGATCCAGACATCTACCTAGTCTTTGGGGTTTAGGGTTTAGGGTTTAGGGTTTAGGGTTTAGGGTTTAGGGTTTAGGATTTAGAGGGTTTAGGACTTCTGTGCACGGTTGAGCGGCCAGGGACCGGCCTCCACCGAAGAGGCATGCAACACGCAAGCAAACACTCCTCTTAGGATAGCCACGTGGTCCCTGGTATGGGCCCCTAACAAGGGGCACCCCTCATACGCCCTATAGAACCCAAGGGCCCTTTTTTCGGAAGCCTTTAACGGAGGTAGGGGACCCATATTAAGGGCCTATCTGAGTACCCCTAAACCCTAAACCCTAAACCCTAAACCCTAAAGCCTTAGAACCCGTGCATGATCCGGCCTCCTGCTTTCGGCTCCGGAGCCTGGAGAAAACAGCAAGAACCGATTCGAGTGGATTAGGGTTTAGGGTTTGGGGTTTAGGGCTTAGGGTTTTGAGTTTAGGATTTAGGATTTAGGATTTAGGGTTTAGGGTTTAGGGTTTAGGGCTTAGGGCTTAGGGTTTAGGGTTTTGGGTTTAGGGTTTAGGGTGACTTGTGAATGGACATGGAGACATCTGTGTATATGCTACATACAAGCATGGTACATTGGCGCACTCCTGGTCTATCGTACACACGTTCTGTATATATATATATATACACATATCTATACATATATATATATATATATATAATTCTTTCTATATTTCAATATATCCTTATGTACATTTGTATTTATACGCATAATTCTGTTTTCTGTGCAACATCTATTTTTTGTACATTGGTTTTCCGTGTTGCTATTCAAGGCTCGTTTGTTTCTCATTTCTTTCCTTCGTTCCTTCTTGCGTGCTTTCATTCTCTAGTTTTGTTCTTTCTTTCACGGGGCCTGGAGGTGAATCCCCTCTCCCTCTCTCTTTCTCTCTCCCTTTCTGGCTTCACTTCCCTCTCTGGGTCTTCTCTGCACTTAGGAGTCCCCCCCAGAGGAGGAACCCGGCCGCGACGGCCAAGTGGGTCTGTGTCCAGTTTGCTTGGGCCCCATCAATTTCCAGTAAACGCGCTCTCAGCACTACTTATCTTGTAAGGATCTCGAGTGGCCAGCTCCAGAGCCGAAGTGTGAAAAGAGCCAGTCGAGTTGCCAGACTCAAGGAGCGTTGATGGAGGGGAAATGCCAACACTCCCAACCACCCATGGAATCAGGATAATCCTGGTCACCATAGAAGGAAGTCAAACTTGAGCCAGGCCACAACTGTGCACCAAGCACTCCAGGAGGCGCCGGTGCCGGCACAACGACCGGCGAGGGCAAAATGGGGAAGATCTTGCAGATTGCAAAGAAAATCACCGCCAATACCACCCAAACCAGAATCTCGTGAGGGTGGCGACGGTCATTTGGACTCTGCGTCTGAACAACCTCCTCAGGCTCAGCACCGAGAGTGGCGTAGTCAACATCCACGGCTGCGAAAAGAAGCTCAACAAGCGTGATGCGAACTCGTGAACAGAGTGCCGGCAGCGCTCTATCCGGAATCCTTGAGCCAAAATGGCTACGGGGTCTCTCTCTCTATCTCTCTCTCTCCGCTCTCTTTCTCTTTCTGAATCTTGGAGCGGTCCATGTTGAACATGCTGAAACACAGGAGGCGACGAGACGTGAGATTAGCACTGAGTATATTAGGCGGAATCTCTAAATCAGGGTCCCTTTCAGGGTCCTTATTATAATGCGGCCCCTAAAAATTTAGGGGCTCAATCCTGGGCATCCCGAGATCGACACAGCCACACTCCCCGCCTTTGGCATTATCACGGTCGGAGTGGCGACCTTGACTACTTCTGAAATGCTTGTACAGCATGTCACACCTGCGAAGCAGCCTGCCTGTGCCGCCCCTTTGAGGCTGTCCATGTGTACATCGTGGCTTTCGGGTGCACTGTCAGTGGTTTGCAGCTTGTGCCTGACCTTGACTCATGAGACGTCTCGTTGCGTCGCATGCCAAGTGCCCGGCAGCCGCCGGCGGCAGCGGTGGAACAGACGGCTCCTTGACAAGAGCACTGATCATCTCTTATCCTGCGCGGATTTATGGGCCACATAGTGCCATAAAACCATAAATGCTGCAAGCACACTTGGTAAATTTACGCAAAGCATCCCCTGGCTACTCTGCGATACGAATGGTCAGTTCATGCCATCTCTAACATAAACGCTGGCTCTAGTCTGTCACTATTGTATCCTCACCGTATCTTGGGGGCCCTGTGCGCGTTTTTTGAGGGCCCTTGCCAAGCACTTGACATGTGCTCCGCGGCATACACATGTGTAGTAGTATAATTTGCGTAGTATTCTAGTGTTCCTATTATATTGCTTTTGTATTGTGTTGCATTATAGTGTATTATGTTGCGCTATATTGTATTCTACTGCCGTAAAATTGTACTATATCGTATATGATATATGATATGTGCATATGATGCTCTTTTTGGCGGAGCTCTCTTCGCAAGACTGGCAGCTGCAGAACTTTGCCGCTTCGCTGCGGTCTCCTGCTTCGCCGGTGCTAACACAGCTGACGCTGCCGCGGCTTCGGCCTCTTCTAAGGCCGAGCTGGTGACAAGCGAGCCTCCGAGGGGGGCGAAGATGCCGTGTTGTGCTAAATGCTCCTCGTAGAGGGCGACGGCCGCTGCCGTGCATGGTATTTCCTCTTCTAAGCCGTGAAGAAAGTTCCAAGCATCTTGGGTACTCGATTCCTCCCACAAGTGTTCGAGCACGATGCCACAGGCCTCCAAACGATCAAGAGCCGACTCAGCCGCCAGTCGGCCCAGGATCTCCTGCTGAACCGCTGGCAAGTGCTCGGCTTTCTCGTCACCAAACCCCTCCAAGGCGGCCTCTGCCTCTTCCCGTGCTTGTTCTTTCAATGTTGGCATCTGAGCATCCAGCCACTCGCTTCCTTTTTGGTCCAGGAAGACCAGGCCATCAGCAAGATCAGTCTCTTTAGCAGCTTTCATTGCCTGGGCTTCCTGCGCTCTTCGGAGGGCATCGCTCATGTACTGCTTCTGCCACTTTGCAAGGGCAAGCTTCAACTTCTTGATCTGGGCCGCCCTTGCATTCGAGTCCTCTGCATCAGCTTCACGCGCGCGTTGCACTTCACGTTGGAAGAACTCCTTCTGCCGAGCGGTGTATCTGCTCACCTCCTTCAACTCGGCCTGCAACATCGCCTCGAAGGCCAGGCGGCATGCACGTACAACCTGGGCCAGTCTTTGCTGCACCTTCGTGATTTGACTGCTCCAAGCAGATGCTGCAGATTCAGACATCTTTTGCTGGGTGACAAGATGTGTTTTCAGCGCTGCAGTCATGTGCTGGATTGCAGCGCGCATGTCCTTGGCCAGAAGCTGCAATATTTCTTTCTGGCCAGAACGCCATTCTTTCCGCAAGGAAGCAACAATACCCTGGCTCACCTCCTTGGCCCAAGCCTGCCGAGTGGAGGCTACGTCCACGTCCGGCTGTGGCGCGGAGCTGGGAAGCTTCTTCCTGCACTCCCCTTCGAACCTTAATAAAAATACTATTTTTCAATATCCCCTTGGGGTTTTATATGAGCAGAAATAAGAAAAAATATTTCCCAAGGGGGATGTAGGTTCGCCAGTGGCCCGAGATGGGCGTTCGTCCGGTCGGTAACCGCCGATGTGAACTTGGCCTTCGACTCCGCATCGGTGAAGCAGCGTCTCACCACATCCAGCTCCTGCCGCCTTGCAGCAAGGTACCTCTACTCCCCTTAGAACCTTCATAAAAATAATTATGTTCAACATCCTCTTGGGTTTTATATAAACAAAATAAAATAATTCTCAAGGGGGATATAGGTACATCTGCAGGAGCTCATTGGAGCCGGTGATCCAACGGCGGTTCTCGGCGGAAGACATGGAGTTAAAGCGGTCTAGGGCCTTGAGAACTGACTGCTCTTCTTCCAGGCCTCGCTGCCGCATGGCTTCCTCTTCCTGGCTGCAATCCGTACCAACTGCCAGAGCCGCTGCTGGCTGGTCCCATCGGTCGCTTCTATCGTCCACCAGCTCAGCTGCGAGGGCATCTCGAGCAGTGTCCGTGTATCTCCCAAGCAAGTGGATGACGTCAAGAAGGAATGGATCTGCCTCACTGCCCTGCGCCATCATGAAGGACCATTGCGGTCACGAGTTCATGTGTCATTCATGTGTTGCAACGTCACGAGAAGAGAGCACTTAGTACAGTGCTGGGTACAAACTCAACAATCTCGACGAGCACCAATGGAGTCTGGGGGTTGACGCTTGCCCTTGAACAGCAACGCGACACACGTCGCCCACTATGGTATGTAACATAAAACAAACCTGAGGAAACATGGGGTTTTACGAAAAGAAAAGGACCCTTAATATAGACCCCCAAAAAGCAGGATTCCTGTATGATAAGCACATTAAGCAAACTCGATCAAGCAAAGGGCGGATCGAGCATAACCCAGTGAAAGGTAGCACGAGCATCGCTTAAGCTGTAAGCATATGCAAAGTGGGTCCTCTTCCTTCCCACCGAAGAGCATTCTCTTGAAAAAGCCGGGCTTCTCCTGCTGTACTGCTGGCTGCACGCGCTCAACTTTACTGTTTCGTCTACCAGTTGCAAGGGCCTCGCAACGAAATGAGAAGAAACCAAGGTTTTGGCACACTGAGAAGCATGACGTGAACTTCTGTAGACTCCCAAGATGCAAACGATCTCTTGGGATGTTCCGTGACTGGCCCATACTTGGCCCTTTTGTCTTAGTAAGTCTACCTAGTATCCCCCAGAAACCCTCTTAAAATCCCCATAAGCCCACCTTACTAACCCTAACTACTAATAGGTCAAAATAGCTTCCAAGTACAGGGCAACCCACTTTCTCCTCTTCAGCTGGGGGTGGCAGTGGTGGAGGTGGAGGCGGCGGCTCCTCTTGCAATGTTTTTGCGAGGCTGGGCCTGGGGGCCTCAGCGTAGTCACTTTGGGATGTTCCCCCTTCATACTAACAGTCCTTCGTAGGGAGTATCATTGGGGGTACGAGAATCCCTATTAAGGAGGTACTAGAATCCCTATTAAGGAGATACTATAAAATCCCTATTAAGGAGATACTATAAAATCCCCATAGCTGTTAGTATCATGGGGAACATCCACAGGTAGTCGCTGTCCAGCTCTGCGCCTCAGGTTCCTCGATCTCCACAGGCGGCACATCCTCCTGGCGTCTGCACGCGGCTCTCCCTCCCCAAGCCGGCGCCCCAGACCCAACGACAAAAGGGGAGTTTACGATATTAGGGTTTGGGGTTTAGGGTTTAGGGTTTAGTGTTTAGGGTTTAGGGTTTAAGGTTTGGGGTTTAGGGTTTCGGGTTTAGGGGTACCTTGTTGGGGCCCTTACTATAGTTGGATCCTGCTCTTTGGGGGCTTATATTCGGGGTCCCATCTTGTCGCAAATTCCCAAATCCTTCCAACCTCTAAGCCTCTAAGCCACACATGGCCATGGCCATGCACTTAGCTGCAGAGCCACTATGCGGGCCAGTGAACGACTGAGTTCAGCGCAAACTTTGCATCGTCTGGGACGCCATCAGCACACGCTGGCGTTGGCCTGTTCACAGAGGGTCTGAAATAACCATAGCTAAATACAACGAAGTATCACTACGACTAACTAGTGATGAATAATAGCTACTAATGCCTCATGATAGCTAATACTAGCTAATAATAACTAACCATGACCAAGAATAACTAGTAATATCTACTGGTAACCTAGTCATGTCTAATAGCCAACGAATTATCACTACTCGTTAACCCAGAATTCTGCAACAAGCAGCCTTTTTTCAACTCTCGGTGCTGACACGTCTCGCCGTTCCTTATCTTCACAACGCACCATCCTTGGTGCCTCTTGCAGCGTCGGAAGGCTGAAAGTGACTGCGCTCTGGCAGGCCGTATGCCGCAAAGTGGCATAGGCTTCAGAACCTCCTGTGGTATACAGATGTATACCAGATATACGTAATATTCTATGAAAAACTCCCCAAAATTTGCAGATATAAGTAGTATTATACGAAAAATTCCCAGAAGCTCTAAACACTACGAAGCAGCAGAGTTCAGTCGGCTCTGTCCAGCTCTTCTGGCCATGCCATGCACCGAGAGTGGCGAAATTCAGATCCCTGGTCAGCAAGCTGCTACCCTAAACCCTAAACCCTAAACCCTAAACCCCATCTTACGTGGTGAAACCTACGCCATGCCTTGCAGGATCTTACTGGTACCAGGGGTATAAGGCTGACCTCGCAGCCCGCAGAAGAGCCAATGCAGCTCAAGGCCTTCGGAGAAAAAAGCAGGTTCCTAGGTTGAGAGTTTAGGGTTTAGGGTTTAGGGTTTAGGGTTTTGGGTTTTGGGGTTGGGGTGGGTTTGGGGCTTATCCGAGCTTCAAGAAGCTCGAGGTAAAATCGGTAAGGTTGCCATTCAAGCTCTGGGCCTTGCGACGGTGGAGTCCAAGCGTAGGCTGGTAACTCCATCACTAGCATTGGAAGGACATGGAAGACTATTCGCATGGTGCGAGATCACGGAGATTTTGCCTCCCCTCACAGTGGCACATTCACCTCATGGACCACAAACGCTTCTACCACATCACCCTGTACAGTAAGCATTTTTCACTCACTTACAAGTTGTCTGTACAAGCAAGTTGAGTGCTCATCAACTGCAAACTTTGCCTCAGTCTCGTCAAAAATTGAAACCCTGCGGGCATGGAAATTTACAAGTCAGATTGCTGGTGTCATTGCTCACTTTGCAACTTGTCCTTGCACATCACTGCAATGTCACCAGCATTACAAATCCGGCCCCGCCCGCGAAAGTTTCGCACAAGTCAAGTTCTTTGAGCCTTGGCAAAGCTGCACTTGTGTGCCACAGTCAACTTACAGACAGTTCACGAGCTTCTCCCTGGTCGGCAGAACATGGGAGTCGGACTCTGTGGAGTCTATGCGTTGGATTCACAGTCCGTGCAGCTGCGAGTGGACACCCGCGTCATTGTGCTGGAAGTCTCGCTGTCAGAGTCTGGATATGCTGCATCTTTGATCGGAGTGTCCACGAGGACAGGAATCTCTTGCGGGTGGGCGCTACCTTGACAACCCGAGCTTGCCTGCACTGTCCTAACTACACAAGATGTTGCGCTGTCGAAAAGTATATTACAGCACGGCATGTGTGACTTTCGGTCCAAGTTACGTTCCTTCGAAGAGTGCCCACTGAACATAATCGCCCAAAGGCCTTCCACGCAAGAGCCTGCAAAACAGGGCTGAGCGTGAACAATGTTGCTGCAACACATGAGAAAACACAGTGCAATCCATATCATACCAATAGCCGTATCAGCTTCGGAATCTGGCCTCGCATGTTGGAGTTCGGCATGGGCGAATCATCCAGCTTGCGAAGCGCTGCAATGAGCAATCGGCCTGCAAGTGGGGAATGAATCGCCGGCCCATGTGGGCAATGCAACATTTAAAACCTTAAAACCTTAAAACCTTTAAACCTTAAAACCTTCAAACCTTAAAACCTTAAAACCTCAAAACCTCAAAACCTCAAAACCTCAAAACCTCAAAACTTCAAAACCTTAAAGCCTTAGAACCTTAAAACCTTAAAACCCTAAAACCTTAACACCTCGAAGCATGAAGGTGAATAAGATACTCAACTTTCAGCGGGCGTCGGCGATGAGCTCGACCAGGATGCACCACCGGAGGTCTTTGGGTGCAGCCGGACTCCTTCTTCAAAAGGTTCCTGCGCCGGGTTAGACTACTTTTGCTCTCTCTCTTAGTCTGCTGCAAAAATGACACACTGCCGCAAGCTTCACTATGCGTCTCGTGGCCTGCTGACCAGCATGGCTGGGGCTGTGAGGATGCTCTGGGAATGAGTAAAAATCCCTCGGGGAAAAAAGTCTCTGAATGATGGACCTTCTGGTGCCCTTTGAAGACTTTGTAAGATGTGGATTGCGCATCCGGTCGCAGCCGTCAGCTTGAGCCCAGGGAGGGGGCAGGTTTCATTACCCAGCAGATAAAGAACAGCCAGGTACATGTGCCGACACGGGGGGGGTTTACGACTACCGATATTAGGGGTACTTTACTGGGGTCCTTAGCACAAGGGGGCTCCTAGTAGTTGGGGGTCTATATTCGGGGAAACCATTTTCGTAAACCCCCACATGTCACATGCACCTGTGCTGCAAAAGCCGCATCAACTCTCAAGGTCATGAATGACGGCAAGGTTGCCATTCCGAAAACGCCATGTGACCAGTTTCTGGACTGCAAGCCCGGCCTCCATGGCAGACCTGCTCATGGCAGCAACAAATCGGAACCCATTCACATCCAAGCTGATGGGCAGGGTTTAGGGTGTAGGGTGTAGGGTGTAGGGTGTAGGGTTTAGGGTTTAGGGTTTAGGGTTTAGGGTTTAGGGTTTAGGGTTTAGGGTTTAGGGTTTAGGGTTTAGGGTTTAGGGTTTAGGGTTTAGGGTTTAGGGTTTAGGGTTTAGGGTTTAGGGTTTAGCACGGTAGTCCAGCTGAGACATGAGTCTTTCAACATGCGTGGCGGGCTGAGTTGTTCTTTGTGTCCAGGGGTCGATGCGCAAAGCTACAAGTAAGTACAACACAGGGTTTAGGGTTTAGGGTTTAGGGTTTAGGGTTTAGGGTTCAGGGTTCAGGGTTCAGGGTTCAGGGTTTAGGGTTTAGGCAATAAAACTTCAACCACGCTGGAAGAGTGCGGAGGCAAAACACCGTAACGAAGGGCGCTGCACGATGCGTGGCAAGAGGCTTCCACAGTGGACCACACCGACCACGGGTTTAGGGTTTAGGGTTTAGGGTTTAGGGTTTAGGGTTTAGGGTTTAGGGTTTAGGGTTTAGGGTTTAGGGTTTAGGGTTTAGGGTTTAGGGTTTAGGGTTTATTTGCTGTTGCTGATGTCACAACGCGCTTGTGGAAGTATCTATGCCGGCCAGCCTATCAGCACTCCGTCAGTTCAAGAAAGTGAGAAGGCCACGTCCCCCAAAGAAATGCATGATCGGCATAGCCAAAAGACTCACGTACGATTTTCTATGACTCTGTAACTTTCCGAACCAGGAGCCCCAGAAGGTGTCGCAAAAAAACAAGGCACGTGGTGTCTCTCAGGCTACGGGAATACTGAACCGGCACCGTCGTCTACAGGTGCCAACGAGGCCACCGTTAGCACAGTGCTTCTCGTAAGTGTTCACCGTAACCCGGCGCCTTCTGCAGCAGCTTCGGCCTCCGCAAAGTTGCGCGACAACGATCGCAGCTTTACCACCTGGCTGTTTCAGGGAGCCGATTTCCTTTGAACTTCACCAGCATGAGCAAGGAACAAAAAGGCCAGCCAGGCGCATGCTTCGATCTGGCTCCTGGGCGACATGAACGCAAAACTGTAAGCACCATTGTCTGCCAGCACCCGGCGGCTTCACCTTCGTTAAGGCCACGGCCTGTTCAATCGCTTGACTTCATGCCTGAGCACATCACATCGACAAGCCTCTGAAAAGTTACAGATCTTGGCGCGACGGTGCCAAGCTTGAGGCGCATTGGCAAAAAACTTAATGATGTTTGGCCAGTCTGATGCAAGCCTTGGCAAGCTGTCAGTCTCCTGCACGTGCAATCATCAACCACGACTCGGCAATGCTTGCCCTTCTTGGGCCCGAGCCAGTCCAACACGGGTAGCTCCGCCCCTGCGCAGCCACGGACAGCTTCAAAATAACTGCCACCAGATTCACTCAACTTGAATGAGCAGCGACCTCGTGGAGTTCGTCTCACGTTCCTTCTACTCTTCCTTTTTGCTTGAAGGAGGAAAAAATGTCTGTCTCCCAACAAAAGGTGGCAAGCACATGAGAGCCGATTCTGATGCTGCCGATTTCCAGCTCCACTCCCTCCAGACAGATGGTGCTTGGTTAGCCTATGGCACTGGCAAAGGCAACAACCTACGCATGTGTCATGTGTCGAAGAAGTGTCAAGGAACACAAGCCCCGAAGACACATGAGTGCACCGCCACGCCTATCCAAGCAATGTTTGCTATGTCGGGTGCCAAGAAAGGCACATGGTTTGCGCTCGTCTCAACTTCAAAAACACACCCATCGAACCCACCTTCGAACACCTGAAGAAGGCAAATACCATCTGGACCGTGGGCGGTTCCAGAAACGATGGTTGGGGGACAAGATATCGCATGGGGCTCTTGAAGTCTCGGGCCAGGTCCAGCTTGTTGTTGCAAGGTTACGTATCACTTTTGCATCGCTGCGGCATGCTTCACTTTAGGGTTTAGGGTTTAGGGTTTAGGGTTTTGGGTTTTGGGTTTTGGATTTTGGGTTTGGGTTGAGGGTTTAGGGTTTAGGGTTTCACGCATTGTAACGGTTCGGCCCGCGCCTGGCGCCTCCATGGCCTCCCGGCCGACGGCAGTGCCAGCTAGGCGGGACACGCCGCGGCAGAACAGGGAGAGAGCTTGACCAGACTCATCGCCTCGGAGGGTTTAGGTTTAGGGTTTATTTAGGGTTTAGGGTTTAGGGTTTAGGGTTTAGGGTTTAGGGTTTAGGGTTTAGGGTTTAGGGTTTAGGGTTTAGGGTTTAGGGTTTAGGGTTTAGGGTTTAGGGTGTAGGGTTTAGGGTTTAGGGTTTAGGGTTTAGGGTTTAGGGTTTAGGGTTTAGGACTTGCCAATCCCAGGGGTTTCAAAGCTCCAGCTGAGCCATCCATCTGTTTGTTTAGATTGTGCCTGCTGCTCGCAGCTGGCAAGTAGCCTTGATACGCGTCTAGATCCCACAGCCGAAGCCAAGAAAAAGCCACAAACCATTCCGCATGCAAGCCGCATGCTGAATCACGAATCCCGTTTGCCTCCCAATGTCGAATCAACCTAGATGTGCCGGCCTGCCACTTGCCATCTGCACGAAGCCATGAGTTCACGGCCCTGCTGCAGCGGCTCCAAGATCATCCTCGTTTGGCCGCACGCAACCAGGGTTTAGGGTTCAGGGTTTAGGGATGTTTAGGGTTTGGGGTTTGGGGTTTAGGGTTAGGGTTTAGGGTTTAGGGTTTAGGGTTAGGGTTTAGGGTTTAGGGTTCAGGGTTTAGTGTTTAGGGTTTAGGGTTTAGGGTTTAGGGTTTCGGGTTTAGGGTTTAGGGATGTTTGCGCCCGGGACTTGCCCCCCTGCCAACTCTGAGCTCTGTGGATCTCCTGCGTGGCTCATCATCCAGCTTGGCCTCACAAACACATGAAGCAACACATTGAACTCTGCCATGAAACTTCACACTGCCCAAGAAAACTGGTGAGTTCTCTAAACTATGGTCCCTTTCTGGGTGCCCTTCATTAGACCGGCCGCCGTATACTACGGACCCCAAAAAGGACTGTATCTTAGAGAACTGACCAGCCGCACAATGGCTCAGCGACGCTCAGCGGCGCGCAGGGGTGGACGGAGAGTCGGGCCTGCGCTTGCTGTCCTGGGATGGTCGTTGATCAAAACACCCGGTTCCCAAAATGGCCCGTAGGAACCCCAAATGGTCATATGTTTCTTTTGTAAACTTAGGGGAAGCTTAATTTCGTTTCCCAAAAAAGGACCGTTAGATCAACCCCCGAAACTCATCCGGCACATGACTTGGTACCCCCCTGCAACGCTGCACGCCGGCTCCCTGCTGCTGTGCATCGCTTGGTGGAGCTTCCAACAATGCAGCAATGGCCGTCATGTCGGCATCCTTCGTGACCTTCGCACTTTAGGGTTTATGGAAATTGTACAGGGTTTGTGTGCGGAGCTTTGTCGGGTTTTGTCGGGTTCTGGGAGGTCTTGGGAGGTTTTGTGAGGTTCTGGTGTGGTTTTTTCTTTGGCGTTTGAATGAAATTTCGAATGTGATGGCTCTTTCGGTGTCTTTGTCGCCTTTGGCGGCCTTTCTTTTGGAGCCCCGTCGGGTTTCCGGGGGTGGCTGGGGTTGTTGAAGTTTTCTTTGCTTTCGAATGATATTGCAGCCCATCGAAATTGCAAGCTCTGAGCAACTGAAGGATTATTCTAGCCCTCAAAGTTGCAAGTTTTCAGTGAATCACCTTCAATTTCTATTTCTTCTGGCCTTGAGGGTTTTGGGCTTCCTTAAGACTTAAATTAGGTTTAGGGTTTAGGGTTTAGGGTTTAGGGTTTAGGGTTTAGGGTTTAGGGTTTAGGGTTTAGGGTTTAGGGCTTAGGGCTGAGGGTTTAGGGTTTAGGGTTTAGGGTTTAAGGGATAGGGGTTAGGGGTTAGGGGTTAGGGGTTAGGGGTTCGGGGTTCGGGGTTCGGGGTTCGGGGTTAGGGGTTAGGGGCCAGAGGCCAGGGGCTAGGGTTTCAGGTACAGGTCCACCGGCCTCTGGATTTTCCAGTAGGAAGCCTTTGAGCTCCATCAGTAGCTCCGGCGAGCCATGTGCCACTTTGAGCCACGGCCTTCGCGACTCAAGGAGTTCTCTTCCAAGCCACACTCCAATTTTCCTTAAGGCGTCTTGGGCTTTTTTGTTATACTACCTAAGTGAACCTCCAATTTTCCCGGGATGTTCTTTCCGAATGTTTTGCACGTGCCTGCTGTTCAAGAACTGCTTCAAATTTTCGACGGCTCTTGATGCCAAGCGCTTCTTCTGCCCACAGCCTCAGTCGGTTTTGAGCATGGATCAGACTGGACCACAGCTTCATGTGCCACACTATGTGAGGAAAAACTGTTCCAAAAATGTTCATGACAGGAAGCTCACCATGAGACGCAGCATGGCTGCCATGTCATTTGGCTCGAAAGACCCTTCAAGCGCATCTGGCTGCAGGAGGCCCAATCGCACCTCGCCGAACCTTACTCACTCGGGTCGTTGCACTGTTCGCACGACCCATGGCTGTGCCGTCAAAACAAGCTAACCTCCCGGCATGCATCTGAGGACAGAACAGCTCCCGTTCGTGCTCTGCCCGGCTGTGTTCAGGCAGGCTGCGCAGTCTGCCAGCTTGCTGGATTAGTTCGGCAAGCTTTCTGGCCGGATCTGGCGGCATTGCGTTTTAAGCAAGAAACCATGCGATAACACGCGATAGTATTTGGCACATTTGTTGCAGTGACTTCTAGCTGGGAATACGTAGATGCATATGTTGTGGATGCACGTGCGTTCGAGTGTTCGCGGGTTCAACAAGCTGGGTTTGTGCACTCTCATAGTGTCTTGCATCGCCGTGGGGCCGTGCGCATAGAAACTGGTCATGGGCATAAGAATACTGAGCCATTGCTTCACATAGTTCCTGCGAGATGCCGCTCGACATGACATGCTTCTCACGGAGGACCCTGAAAATCTAACATGGATGTATGCTCTAACTCAGAACAAAGGCCGTATTTTATGGCCGCCCTGCCCCCCCCCCCCCCGGCCCATCAGCACAGTTCACTGGCACAAGTGGCGTGCTAGTTTGTTCGACTAAAGCCCAAAGCTTACTTGGCAGTTCGGTGGCATTCGCAAAGCTTGTGCGACCAATTGCCGATCCATTCAGAAATCGCAGCTGAAGGAAAAGTTAGCCTGTTTACCTTACGATACATGATCGGTTCCTGTAAACACCCAAGTGCCCGAAAAATCTGCTTAATTATGCCTGATTCTGCCTAGTTATGCAGAAGTCACAAGTCTTGAAGTAATGCATCGGCATCGTGATCTTTCAAATGGGAGCAACTTTGGCCCCAACGCACTTCCTTTTATGCAGGAGGAGCCTGTCTGTCATGTGCTGTCAGCCTCTCTTCGGTCTCGCACACAGAATCCATCAGCACTGCAAGAACTGCTTGCCTCACGAAAGTCGACCCAACAACTGCCTACAACCCCTTCGCTGTCGAGATGACCTGCCACGCTTCGCAATGTGACCATGATGAATGACTACCAGTTGCAAAAGAACCGCCCAAAAAATAAAAATATACCTCACTAAGGGTAATATAGGGATTATTGTTTTTCTTTTGGGGTTCTTAAGTAAATAGTAGATGACCACAGTGAGCCCGCGACGCTGCTTGAAAATCGATCTGAGAACACCGACGCCTGGCAAGCGGGTCTCTTAAGGGTTTAGGGTTTAAGGTTTGGGGTTTAGGGCTTCGGTTTGTTGTTTGGCTCCCGCATACCTGGCCGAACACAAAGTAGGGTCATACGTTTCGGGCTTAGGGTTTAGGATTTAGGGTTGCCACGTCGGTGATGCTTGTGCTTATCTCTCCATGACCTCCCTTGCTCAGGCGGCGGCAACCTTTTCTTCTGCACCGCTCCTCCCGAGGGGAGGCCCTATGATAGGTCTGCACGTGCATGTGTGCGGGCTGTGCTTCCGCCAAGCTGGGAAACGAAACTCGTTCGCTCAGGGCCCCTCCGCCCGCATGCTTCGAAAGCTTGCTTGGGTTCATTCCATCCCCAGGAGCTGAGATCCTGGTCCTAGGCTAAAGTCAAAGCCAGCTCTTCCGGAACCAACACCCTGCAGTATTAAAGGGGAAGGAAACACCCTAAACCCTAAACCCTAAACCCTAAACCCTAAACCCTAAACCCTAAACCCTAATCTTCAATTACGTGGGGCCAGTTTAGAGGGCCGGCCATGCCGTCTCCTGGCTTTCTCGTTGAAGACCAGCTTCTGGAAGTCCTGTCACAACCCTCTTCGGGGGCTCTGCCGGGGTTTAGGGTTTAGGGTTAAGGGTTTAGGGTTAAGGGTTTAGGGTTTAGGGTTAAGGGTTAAGGGTTAAGGGTTAAGGGTTTAGGGTTTAGGGTTTAGGGTTTAGGGTTTAGGGTTTAGGGTTTAGGGTTTAGGGTTTAGGGTTTAGGGTTGAGTTTAGGGTTTGGGGTTTGGGGTTTGGGGTTTGGGGTTTGGGGTTTGGGGTTTGGGGTTTGGGGTTTGGGGTTGTGTGTTCTGTGGGTTTGGGTGGGGGGGTTTTGGCAGTTTTGTGTGTTTGGGGTTTGGGGTTTGGGGTTTGGGGTTTGGGGTTTGGGGTTTGGGGTTGGGGTTGGGGGTTTGGGTTTGGTTTGGGTTTGGGGTTTGGGGTTTGGGGTTTGGGGTTTGGGGTTTGGGGTTTGGGGTTTGGGGTTTGGGGTTTTGGGGTTTGGGGTTTGGGGTTTGGGGTTTGGGGTTTGGGGTTTGGGGTTTGGGGTTTGGGGTTTGGGGTTTGGGGTTTGGGGTTTGGGGTTTAGGGGGCTTCGGGCTGAGGGTCTGTCACAACCCTTTTTGGGGTCTTAGGGTGCTTTTAGGTTTTCCAATGGTTTGTTAAGTGTATTTACGTGTCTCTAGGGTTTTTTGGGTTTTGGGGTCTTCGGTGTTTTTAGGGGCGTTATGGGGCGTTAGGGCTTCAGGGTTTCTAAGGGTTGTAGGGGCCGTTGAAGGCAGCTTTAGGGGTCTTGAGGTTGTTAAAATGTGTTTAGGGGCCTTTTGTGCTTTTTGAGTTTGTAGTTGTTTAAAGAGGTTTAGAGGCTTTTAGGTGTTTTTGTACGGCTTTTCGGTGTCTTAAGGGCGTTTAAGGGGTTTGAAGTGTTTCCTTAAGGTTTTTAGGTGTAAGAAGGGTTCTTAGGGGTTTGTAGGGTGTTCAGGTGTTATATGTGTTTTTTAGAGGTTTCTAGGGCGTTTGGTGCTGCTAAGTGCTTTTAAGGGTTGTTCTGGCGCTTTTAAGGGTTTTCAAGTGCTTTCAAGTGTCTTTAACATTTTTTAGGTGTTTTAGGAAGGTTTTGTAGGTGTTTCTAGGCGTTTTTTACTTTAAGTGTTTTTAGCGTAGTTTAGGGTCTTGAGGGTGTGTTAAATGTTGTTAAGTGTTTTGGGGTTTGTTTGGGCTTTTTTAGGTTTTTCAGGTGGTGTTTGTTTTCAGGGTTTTCAAACGTTTTTTCAAGGAGTTGGGGGTTTTTCTAAGATTTTGGGATTTTGGAGTTTTGTTAAGTATTTTAGGGGGGTTGGGGGGGTTAGGGGCTTAGGGTTTTTAGGAATTTTAATGTCTAGGGTTCAGCAGCAAACACCGGAGCGGTCTTACCAGTCGCGCACTCCGAGCGGTCCGTGTCGTCGAAGCTCAGCATGATGGCCTTAATCTTGGCATGGAATCGAGTTTAGGGTTTAAGGCAACTCTTCCAACATCTTCCTTTCATCGACTACATCGGGTACGACCGTTCGACTACAGACCTTAAAGTTTTCAAGGGCTTGTAAGCGCGAGACGACGGACTTCCACAGGCCAAACGTTTGGTAAATCTTCATCGCGAGCAAAGCATTCCATACCTCCTGCATCGGCAGCTACAGTATCAGTCGCACACATGTCAGAGCATGTTCCTCACCTAGACACACATGGAGACATGCCTATGTCACGAGAAGTGCCTTTAGCATGTGCAGAGGGCGTCTCGTCTGAGTCTGAGAGGCTTTGTACCTCCTGCACTTCGTGCCAGCCGGGTGTGTCCGTTGTTACGATTTGTGTCGTGGGAGACAAGGACACTTGGGAGTGGTTTGCCGGGCTTACCGGTTCACTACCAGCAGCTTTGTCCGTGCCCGTTTCAGCGAGCCATGATGCATCCACCTCCCTCTTCGATGGGTCCCTGTATGCCAGCCCCAGGAACTCGAATATATCGCTCTCCGTCGCGAACTGCGTGGCGGCAATGGGTGGTCCGGTCCATATCCGCTCGCCTCGACCATTTCCTCGTGCATGGGTGGCCCGGCAGATGCTGTGATCTGAAAGGCTGAAACCTGCCCTTCGCGCATATAACCTCATGGATCTATTGAAAGGCCCAGATCCGGTGAAGGAAAGCAGGGCGAAGGGAAATTCCAGCACAGGATAGACTTTGATGTCAATTCGCCGGTGCAGCCCTCCGGCTTGCAACTGGCAGACCCCAAAATAGCTCGCAGCGGAGGAGCTTCGCTCCTCTCCTTGCGTCTCATGTGCATTGCCCGCCGACCTATTGTGATTTCCACCTTTCAGGTCATGCGTGATGAAGCCCTGCTCACGGAGATCTGCCACAAGGCTGGAGAGCACCTCGTGAGGGGAGCCCATGCCAAGCTCATCCTTGGCATGCTTGGCGCACAGCAAAAGGTCCACATCTCCGCAGCTGGCCTTGTTCATTGTTGGGATAGTGTTAAAAACTTGAAGTTTATATTCCTTATTGGGTTTAAGTACCCTAAAAAATATATAACGCTACCCAACTATGACAAAGAGGCTTTTCCTCGCCGGAAGGAGCCGCAGGCCTCCATGCGAAGGCGGCCGGCAAATCGGTGGCTCACGGCTCTTCGAACGACCTCGATGATCTCCTCCACTTCTGCGCGAGGGATGCGCTGAGCGAACTCCTCGTAGAACTGGAGACCAATCCTGGCGCTTTGCTTGTTATCTCCAGGTGACTGGCCGTTCGCCGGATCACAAGCAAACCATAAAAAAGGCAGAGCCCAGAGCCCATGAATGCTCAGAAACTCATTTTTAAAACAGTAAGATGGCCGGTAAGACCTCAGAAAATTGTTCTTAAATTTAGTCCTCTTGAACCCACTAGGGGAAAATGTAAAATGTCCCAAGGGCGTACCGAGAACATGATACTAAGACCAGAAAAGGCATCAGCTGGTCAGCAGTGAGCTTCAGTGACGCGTCCTGCACTCGCGTTCGAACATCAGCGACAGTGCGGCAGCCAGATCCGAGCCACCTTCTCGCAGTGGTGAGGCCAACGCCCCAAATACCTTGCAGTTCCCCCAAAGCCTTTGCAACCTCGTCGGTATGCAAACCCTCCACTCTACCGATGCTCCCAGTGTGGAGGAACTCTTTGAGCTTGTCGCGCGTCTTTCTTCCGAGTCGTCTCAGCTCCGGTCGATCCAGGTCTGCTTCCGAGGCCACCTCAAAGGGCAAGCTTCGCAGAATGCTGGCCGTCAGTCGGTACGATCTCTCACGCCAGCCATCGCCCAGAGACTCATAATGCTGTTGCAAGCGCCCGAACATCGCTACCAGCTGGGCGTTGCGGGCCTTCGGTGGAGAGCTGTCGCTGCCCCTTTCCGAGCGGATGTCGTCGCCTCGCTGGCAGGCGAATTTGTCACGGTTGCGGATCAGGTATGCCCTTCTCGGCGTCATCTCCCCACCGAAAACCTCAAGCTTGGGAAGAACTTCTTCAACTTCAGAATCATCGGATTCTGCTTGCGTGGGCAAAGACCTTCCAGCCGGCGAAGAAGGCGCAGACCCACACCCCACCTGCGGATTACCCGCAGTGGGCTGGGCTGCATCAACTGGCAACTCTTGTCCTTTTCCAGCGTGCGCAGAGTGCCCTGGCTCCGACAAGTCTTGGGACCAGACGAAGGCTTCCTCCGGAACGCGGCATTGCTTGGCTAAGCACGTAATGAGCCAGTCGCTGCGAAGCCAGGTGCATGTGACAGACTCCGCGAACGCGCGGAAGGCAGACAGGGGCTCCTTGCTGACAGTTCCCCCCTTTCCTTGCAGAAGCTTGATGGCCCATGTACCAAGACGAGTTGGTGTCACTTCTGGCGCGAGGAGTAGATGTGTGGCTGCCCACGGAGAACTTGCGGGGAAGCCACCGGCTGCGCTAATTTGCCTGTCCCAAATCATCCGCCTGGACGATGTAGCAGAGCCCAGGGGAACCTAGTTCATGGTTGAGAAAGTATTAAAAACAACTTAGACTTCTATTCCTTATTGGGTTTCAGTACCCTTAAAACATGCAAAATGTTACCCCCCACGATGACAAAGGAACCACAAACAGCTGGATCCCATCGGCCCAGTCCCGACCGTCGCGGCGTGGCGCCTTGGAAGGAGAGGCGTCCTGGCTGCCATGAGATCCATGGAGGCGCTTGGACGATGCCATGGGCCATGCTTCCTTGGCAAGCAAGGGGGCTGCGCTGTGCTGGCAGTGCATCGTACCGTGAAGGCCCTTTCATTGATAATCCTTGCGGAAGCTCTCCGATGAGTGTGTAGATGAAGCGACTACTTGCACGCCTAAATTCAGAATCGAGACGGCACCCTGGCACATTATGCCTATGCAAGGAAACAACAGCGCGCTCAAGCGAGGGTTGAGAAGGCAATCAACACCATGGCACGGCACGGCTGCAGACCTACGTCCACAGTTTGCTAACTAAGACACGAAGGCATCAACGCAATGCGGCGAGTTGCGCACGGAAGCCTTTTTCACACAATGCAATTCTTGGCTGTGAGTTGCCTTGCCAAGTACTCTTGTGTGCCCGCTAACTTGTGAGACAAGCAACCGCGTAGACACGTGGATTACACCTGCAGCTGATGGGTAGGCCAAGACAGCAAGACCTGACTTAACCAGGACTCAACATTCAACACTTCGGAGTGGTCAAGATTGGGAAGAAGTCTGCAACAGGTCGGTCCACAAGGCGTTGAAGCCTTTACTGGTACAGCAGACATAATACAAGGACTTTGCCACGTTGTCATACGTTGTCCATACATGTACATTCAGCCAATGGCCAACAGAAAGAGCCTTCCTGCTCTGCCAAACATGTTTCCAATCACCACTTTGGACATGCCGACGCTCTTCGATTGCAAACATGGCAAGCAGCAGCAGCCTCAAAACTTTGCGTTCGGATGCGCACGCAAAAGCTTGCACTCGAATTGTTGGGTCGTGTTTGTGCCGCTCCGCACAACAGGCTAGCAGATGCTCGGAGTGGCTACAAGCAGCTACCTGCTGTTCGGTGAACAGACCGTCGTCAGCCAGTCTCGCATGATTCGCTCTCGCAGGCAATGCGTGAACTCCACTTGCTTAAGCCTGGAAGAACCATTCCTAGTTGCATCGCAAGAAAATTATCGACATGCGGCAGGTGGCCGAAAAAGTGGTGTCGAAACTGCCTAGTTCCTTATCAGCCCAGGCTTTCAAGGGCTGGTTTCAGGGATGGGCTTTGCCAGCACGGTGTCAATTTCGATAAGACCTCTTTGAAGCTCTTCCAAAGCACGATCCACCGCATCCAGGGATGGGGCGGCCTCGACCAACGCAGCAAGCAATCCCTTCATCCCACACCCGATATGGGAGTCTACGAAAATCAGGCCCCTTAGTACATAGTACCCCAAACCCCTTTTTTTCCACAAGGGACTCGACTCCCCAAAACCCTAAACCCCAAAAACCTTGTGCTCAAGCAGGCTCAATCCTCGCCGATGTTTGACAAGTGGCAGCAACAGGTTCGCCAAATGCCGGTGCATCTTGGTTGTGGGTGCCCTCCCGCAGGGCCCGATGTGTCTCCTCCAGCCAGGACTCAAGACTTGAGACAAGGGACCCGAACCCCAAACCCTGAAATCCTAAACCCTAAACCCTACAACCCTGAAACCCTGAAAGCCTAAAACCCTAGAATCCTAAAACCTTAAACCCTAGAACCCCAAACCCCAACTCCTAAACCCTAAAGCCCCTCTGCAGGATGGCCTCCACCAACTGCTCCAACTGTCGGGTCGCATTGTCAAGGTCCAGATCCTTGGGGGACGCCTGAGCTAGACCACGTGGAGGAGGGTGGGACAACGGTTTAGGGTTTAGGGTTTAGGGTTCCCTCGGCGCTGTCTCTGAGTCTGGGTTTAGGGTTAAGATTTTTAGGGTTTAGGGCTTAGGGCTTAGGGCTTAGGGCTTAGGGCTTAGGGCTTAGGGCTTAGGGCTTAGGGCTTAGGGCTTAGGGCTTAGGGCTTAGGACGTAGGGCTTAGGGCTTAGGGTTTAGGGCTTAGGGTGGCGAACGGTTCACCGGTTCGTGTCGGCAAGTCGGCTTCGGTTGCTGCTGTTCGTGTTGCTGCTGTTGTTTTGCTGCTCCTCTTGTTCTTCTTAATGTCGCTCCTGTCCTCCTCTTCCTCCCGAGAAAAAACAACAGCGAACCCTGCGCTCTGCAGCCTGCACCCATACCTTCCCCCAGTCCTTGAATGCTTTGGGCGTAGCCGGCTGCGGGCGACAGCCCTGCTAAAGACGCTGTAGAGCCAACGTTTTCGCCCCCACGACAAGTGGGGCTACCAAGATTCGTAAGAACAAAGTAGTGAATTCCCATGTGCATCACATGTAAGCCCACGCCCAGGACCACCTCAACAGATCCTGAGGCGCCCGACTGCACTGTAATGCCGACTTACGACGAGAGCACCCTCTAAGGGTCTAGAGTTGTTTTTGCCACCCGCCTAGCTGATGCATCACATCGCACGGGTTTAGGGTTTTGGGTTTGCTGTAATATGGCGCAGATGCTGTGAAGGTTAGGACGCAGTTCGAAAGCCTCGTCAGGTGCGAAGAGCATGACTTTTAGTAGGGACCAGCGCATGCTCCGGTACCGCCCATCGTGGGTTCCGAGCTGTGGGAGGCGGGCGAACGACCTGGATCAGGTTGCGCCATCGAGGTCGAGGGGCTTAAGCGCCCCCCACTGGGCCTCAGCCTTGAGTTTAGGGTTTAGGGTTTAGATCAGTGCCACAGAACGAAAAGAGGCCAGCTTAAAAAGCTTGCAGCCGAGCGGCCTCAAATTGCCTCCCGGCGACTGGCCGCTTGCTACCACAGTGGCGGCAGAAGATGGAATCCTGCGTGTAGGAGCTCCCACAGCTCCGGCAATGCTCCGCCTGGCCTGCATGAACATGTGTACCCTGTGTTGTTCGCATGTAGCGCAGATTCAACCAAACTACGAGAAACAACCTCCCTTGAAGTTTAACTAAAGCCTTAGATTCGAAACAAAAAGACCAAAGAAAACGCTTCAACAGGTGGAACTGTGCGTACTGTACTTCTCTGTGAACTGTATGAAAAAAGGCATTCGTGCTCTCCTCTCTCCCTGTCCCCCAAGAACCACGGGACCCCCCACCCCTTGCCCACCCTGCCGCACTGGAGCCCCTGACCCCGAGGTCCCACATTTTCCGCGTGATACGGCTAGGGCCGGGGACCAACGCCCTTCCCAGCTCGAAACCTTTCTCAACTTCTATCCCTGCCTTTCTGGCTTTCTCTCTCGGGGCTCCTTCTTTTCCCTTCCTTGCTGCCTTCCTTCGGGCAAGTGGCCCAATCCAGCTGGTGCCCACTGCTTGGTCGGTGTAGGTATGTCAGCAGACACAGTACTCTCATCCTACAGTACTGGTAGCTCATTCTGCTGGTAGCTCTCTCGCTCCGCTTTGCTCCCGCCCCATTCTTATTGGAGATGGCCTGCCTGGGCTCTCATTCGGACCGTAGATGATCTCGCCAGGCGAAGCTCCGTCAGAGTCTCGTCTCTCGGGCTGGAGGCATCCCTCCAATGAAACCTGTGCATTGGGATGTTCCCCTTAAGCCAAAAGTAATGAATGGGGATTCTAGTCGGGGCTTCTATAATCCCCATTCAGGACTGTTAGTATAAGGAGATATGAGGGGGAACATCCCAACCTGTGCATGAAACCTGGATGCTTTTGGAGAAGACTCTCGTGTGGAAGGAGGAAACTTTGCATTGGTTTCAAGGTCAGACAATGAGAAATTATCCTTTTTGAGTTCGGGTTTCTATCGATTGGGGCAACCTTGGCGCAACTGCATAAATTGCATAGCAAAAAGGCAAGAATACAAGAAACAAAACTAGTAGATAAAACAAACCTGAAATACAAGAAGTGGTTCATCCGTTCGACGGCTGTTGGTGAATGATCTGCCTTTTGGAGAACTACTTTCTGCTATTTGGTAAGCACAAGGACAGAGTCATGATTGAGATACCTGTCGATGACAAACCAGAACAAACAAGCTAATTCTTGTTATGCAATGACCCTATATGCAATTATAATACATCAGCAGTTGTATATTGGAATTACACTATCGTTATAACCCTTAACCCTAAACCTTAACCCAGATTTTTTAGAACCCCATTGCTAGGTTAACTCACATCTTGGCGGTGAAGTCACATCTCGACAGTGACACGCGGCTGCGCGCGAAGTCAAATCACCCCGCGTAAAGTCGCATCACAGAGACCTTTGTTGAAGCCTTTCCGCCAATTTGCACGCTCCACACGCGCATGTGCTCGACACACATGCAAAATACGCACTTGGCACCGCACGCCTGGGAGGGGAGCACATTTTTGTCAGCGTGAATGAGATTTCTGCTTGGGGGTGGCAAGTGGGTTCCGACCAATCTCGAAATTTCGCACAATCGCGAGTTCTGCTACTTTCGGGCAGCGAAGGCCGGAAGAGCCAAAAACTCCTTACATGTCCTTACATTCCTTACGTTTCCTTACTTTTGAGGTCAATGCGGCAGCTCCAACAGCTTCCTCTCGCAATTTGCCGACCATGCACTCGGCATCTAAGAATTCAGACCTCTAGCTGCGCCTACACCCCACTACATGCGAACATCAGGAACCCAGAAAACACAAAGACTTCAACTTCAGCACGTGTAAAGCGTGCCTGGGGCGCCCTGTCTGGTGATCCATTGCAGGCCGTCTGCAGCGTGGGAACACGATGGAGACGCGGCGGTGGCGCAAAGCCACCACTGAATGCCGCGGCGCCCTGAGTTGTGGGCTCAGGGCGTGCCACTGGTTCCCACATTCGCGGGCTCTCCTGGTACCCGAATCTGGGAGCCTTGGCATCGTCTGCCAGAGTGGTAGGCTCACGCGCTAGGCCTTCAGGCCTTGCGCTCACGGCCCGACGTCTTTCCGTCTCATGACTGCTATCGGGACGATAAAGCTCTGCAAGCAAATTCCGTGGAGCTCGTCGACCTCTGCCGCCGCGCACAGGTTCAACACCCTCGACCGAGGAACGCAAGCGGCTCTCTGAGGATGCCCGAGCCGGTACCCTGGCATGCAGGATGGCTGCCACGCTATTGGCGCACCTACATTGACTGCCTTCGCACTACCTGCGACCGTATACAGCGGACGGATTCTCCTGTGCGCTCACTGTTCAACTGTGGAGATCAATTGCAACCAGGCATCTTTTGAGCAGAGAGTCGGCTGCTTGATGCAGACCTTCTCCTGCACAGACTTCCGGTCGTTTTCCCGTTCTTTCATGCGAAGATGCTCCGATGCAGAGCCCCGGTGAGCAATCATTCTACTCTACGCAAGTTGAGTTTCAGTGCAAAATCGGAAATAAGGTTCTCATGTTTTATAAAACATGTTTTTATTGTTTTATTGCCAATGTGTCATAAAACATTGCCAGCCGTCCTGGGCCGCACCTCCACGCTAAGTTGCGGGGCAGTGTTGATCATCGGAGCTCGTCCGGCGCTTCTTGCGCGAGGTGGTCGCGGGCTTGGGGTCTTGTCCTGAGCCGAGCCATACCGATGCTATGTTTCTAGCGTGCCTGCTGAACCGCTTCAACACTTTTTGAACCCTAGACCCTACAATACCCTTTTTTTGCAGCAAAAATACCCTAAACCCTAAACCGTTTTAGAGGGGCACCACGTGCAATGCTTGCACGACTCTAAGAGAATCTAAGCGAAGTCGAGGATCTTCCAGGCCGCTCGGTCCTCTACGACGCGGTTTTCCTCTGCCCATCAGGGGCTTCTGGCCACTTTTGCCATCAAAGCGGTCAAGGCGCTGCGACCTGACCGGGCCTTTGCCACCTTTGCCTGGTTTGGGCGCCTGCCATGGCACCTGCAGCACTCCTGATTGCCCTGCAAGAGGCTCTGAGTCGCACAGATGCTGGCGTTTGAGGTCTGCGCGGAGATCGCTTGAGGCGGCTAGGTCCGTGCTTGACTTGGAGAGACTCCCGGGGCCCTTCGTCAGGACCTTGTCCTTGGACTTTGACCGGTGCCGGGCTACACACTTCTTGCAGCAATTGCAGAAGGGGCAGCGCCCCAGGCGAGTTCCGCGAGTGCCCAGCTCCAACGACAGGCGCTCCAGCATCGAGATTAGGTGCTCCTCATCCGGCATTCCTGTCGAAAGGAAGGATATCAAAGTGCACATGAATTGTAAAGAAAATCCTCGACGCCAAAATAAGCACAAGGAAAAAGTAGTATGGGATATTAGTGCAGTATTACTCCTTGCTCTCCAAGAACTCTGTTTCACTTTCTTGCTGCTCTTTCGTCGCTCGGCGGCTTTGTCCATCGACGGGCCAAGGGTTGAAGGCTCTCTACAAGCTTCCACCATGCCACCTCGTGGAGCAGCAGCAGGCATTGCGACACAGGGGCCAAGGAGATCACATGACACAACTCCTGCGAACTTCGTCTCTTAGTCTTTGTAAAAATTGGATTGCCTATTCTTGTCGTCTCTGCAAGCTGACTTCATGCAGCCCTGCAGTATGCATTTGCTCCACCCAGATCATGGCTTATGGTTGCATCTGGGAATGATGCTTGTGTCAACACTCTCGTGTTCGCTGCTGCAGAATGGCAGCTAAAACCACATTCAAGTATCCGACAGTTTGGTGACTGGCCACAGGTGGCAACAAAAAGCGCGTGTCACTCGGAGTTCGAGCTCGAGCATGTCCACGCCTTGCGTGCAACCTCCTTTGCCTGCATTTGACTGTCCTCACCTTGGCAGCGCAAAGTTATACGAAGTTAGAATAATAAGAATAATAATGATGATAAAAATAACTACCGTTACAATTACAACTACAGTCATAATAATAATGATAATAATAATAATAATAATCAATAAAGAGATAATAAAAGTACGGACGACTCCACTCTGCTCCCCTTTCCGGAGGCACTTTCACTGAGTCCAGCACCCGCAAACACAAATATGAAGAGGCGCTCCCTGACAAACATGCCGAGCTGCACCTGAAGCTTTGTCATGTGGTTGTCAAAATTATGGTCCCTTTTTTGATCCCTATTACAATACGGTACCTAAGATTTAGGGTACCCCAAAAGGGATCATGATTTTGACAACCACCCATGTGAAACAACAGGTTCAGGGCTTTGATGTTGATGCATGTCGTCTGTTCGGGCTGCTAGGGTCCGACGATGCCCAGTATCTGCTTGACGAAGATTCCCATCCTTGGGAGTGAGACGCATCACCGATCTGTGTACCCAGAAATCAAGCACAACGCTGTCAGGACTCAGGAGATGGGCAGTTCATGGTCTCTCTCAAAAAACTCGGGTCGCTTTTGGGTCCCCAAAAAATAAGGGACCGGAACTACCCACGTAGCTCAGCTACCCACATCCAGAACTTGTAGAGGCTGATCCTCCTCAGTGGCTCAAAACCGAAGGCACTCACATCCATGTGCCCGAACTCCCCGCTGAAACCCTCGACCTTGGGATGTTCCCCCTTATACTAACAGTCCTTAGTAGGGATTCCTAGTACCCCCCTATCATAATCCCTGTTAAGGACTATGAGTATAAGGGGGAGCATCCCAAGCTCAAGGCACCATCCCCTGAAAGCCCCAAAGCCACGACAGCCCTACAGTAGACAAGGGACCAAACTCATACCCTGGGTTGTACCTCTTAAGGGTTCCTTGAATATACTCCTTACCACGGGCCCTACACCCCCTTAGCGAAGAGAGCGAATCTTGAGAAAAAAAGTTCCCGCAACTGTCGAGTTGACCTAGAGCAAGCCCAGCTTGCGGTTGGCACTGCTTTTTCAACCAGGACACCCCTCGGACCAGGGCTGGTTCTCACGACACCTGGGGCAGTACGGCTGTGAGCTACGTGAGATTCATGTGGGGGTTTACGAAAATAGGGGACATCCCCAAAAGGTAGGATCCCCCTTCTAGTAAGGACCCCAATAAGGTACCCCAAATTTGGGAAACCTCCATGTTGTGAGCACTTCCGGAACCCAGGCGCAGGGCTTCAGCATCAGCGCATCAAGGCCAAAAAGGAGGATGGCGATTCGGGACAGGACGAGCCACGACCTAAGGAAAGGCTGAGTAGCCGGTTCCTCCTAGGGCTCATTCATGTTTTAAAGGACAACAGCAGCTTGGAGTCAGTAAGTCGGCTATCATCGCGTGGCTTGGCTATGGAAGCTCCACTGTAACCTCCCCCCTGCCTTGTCTTGACACCTACAGCCGTGTTGTCCTCATAAACTCTACGAGCAAAGAAATGTTAGAAGGACAGATCCGCGACGAACGACTGAGGCAGACCTCAAGAGAACGTCCCCATAACATGCCAGGGTGATGTGCTCGTTTATTGGTGATGGTCTTCCCCACTGCATCTTCCTTACGCACAATCCCGTGCGCATTCGGGCACCTGGGTGTCTGTCGGCTTTCCACCTCTTCTGCTACAAAGGTATACGTATTCTAAATAACGGGATAATAGTGACATTAGCTCGCAATGTGGCGGAAGTCTCACAGTAGCGACCCCTGGAGGCACTCATGCATCGCCCTCCCATGCTTCCACTATCCTATGGGTGACGGGCGTGACAGGAACCAGCGCGCCACGCAACAGGAACCACGTTTCAGGAACCGACTCAGATGTAACAAGAACAAGGGGGGACATGAAACTGAAACTGCACAGGCCTCCCCACAGTTCTTTGTACAGTTCCCGAAACAGGTTCCTGAAACAAAGTTGAGTTAACAACCCCTTGGTTCCTGTTCCCGCCTTTACTCCTCTCCTAGAAGGGCGAGCGACAGGGTGCCACCCCCTCCCCTGGCTCGGACTCACCATGTGCTTCGACAGGCCTGGAGCGCCCTAACTTCGGCGTGTACAGAATCTGGGAAGATTTCGGTTGCCCCCAGAGGTTGCCCCCCGCACACCCATGCTGTTTCTGGTGCTTCGGGCTTGGATTACCAAGTCGAGCGACCCCATGTGTTCCAATTTGTTTCAGTTTCAGGGGCCTGCTCTTGACCCGCAGGCCGTGCTATCATGGCATCTTCAGTGCATGGGTATGTCGAACGAGGCGCAGCTGAGATGCGCGAGAGGCACGTTCATGAACCTCAGCGTGCCCACTTCCGTGCTACAAGGCCCAGGCCATGTGGCTGCCTTTGTCCACAAAGAATCCCTGGCACGCAACTGAAGCCATGAAACATGACCATGTCTGCCATCACTGACCACATCATCGCCCCCAAGAACACAGCCAGATAGACACTTCTTGGAGGGTTGCCCTCAGCACTGACTCAGCACTGACAAACTGCGCTCTCTCTTTCTCTCTCTCTCTCTCTCTCTCTCTCTCTCTCTCTCTCTCTCTCTCTCTCTCTCTCACAGGCAAGGCAGCTCCAAGCTCTTTCTCTCTCTCTCTCTCTCTCTCTCTCTATTTTTCTCTTTTCCTTCCTTCCTTCGGAGGGCCTTTGCTTTGCTTTGGGGCATAGGGACGGACCCTGCGCCAAGGCGCGCCCCGCTCCCGCGTCACGTGAGACTTTTATGATGTCCCTGGCCGCCCTGTTGGCAGCCGCGCGGCGCCCCCTTTGGCGCCTTAGTGGGTGTCCTTAGTGTCCTACGTGCCCTAACCAGGCCAGCCCCCTGAGACCCCAAAGCGCCCCAGCCCTGAACTCCCCAAGCCTTCGGAGGGCCTCTCTCTCTCTCTCTCTCTCGCTCTCTCTCTGTACGCCCGTCCAAGCTGCATTGTCTGAGTAGCATCCGACACCACGATCGCAGGAGTGACGAAGTGGAGTGCCCGCATGGCCTGAGTTCTCGACAGACGTGGCGGACTGCAGGGGGACTGCGTCCCGCTCTCGACACGACGAAGCAATCTTCATTGCACAAAACTGAGGAGTGAATGGGGCAAATGGACAATGGTAACAATAAACAGTAATGCTTCAGTTCATTGCCAAGGCTTCGACACTGAAAGAGCAGAGCTCCGGCAATGTCTCCCACACCCTTGGCAACACAGAGCACAGGACACGGGCAATCTGCGGGCAATCTGCGGGCAATCTGCGTACAAGCGGAGAAGCTTGGGGTGGCTTCAGGCCCAAGTCCACGACGCGGCCTGCACGGCCAGCCACCTCTCACAGGCGTCGGCCTTGAAACGTGCGTGAAACATCTTGACATGGGGTCGCAAGTCCGTAACGCAAATGCGCTGCCCATCTCTGCCCAACTGAGGATTCATCGAAGAAGCACATCGAGTAAAGCTGCCCTGGAACCGTGGGCTTTAGGAAGCGCTCCATTCACAGACACTGCAGCTGCCGAACTGAGATGTTCGCAAAGCAAGGTGAACCAAAGAGCCTCGGAAAGCCATTTCAGGCAGCACGCTGCAGAAGCCGAGTCTCAATCCAGCGTTGTTGTGGTGTTGACTGCAGTTTCCCGCTTCCCGGTGCGGGTGGTGCTAGCAGCACTCTGGCTCGATGGGTGGTGGCGATAGAGGTGGCGACGGCGGTGCTCTCTTCGCAGCTCTCAGGTTCAGGCCGCTAGGGCAAAGAGCTCTAGGAAGCAAACCAAGTTTTGCCCGGTGATCTCAGCGCTTCAATTGCCGCACCAGTCGTCTCCAAGCACAGAGTTGGGCCATGCTCAGTTGCCAACGTCCAGGGAGTCGTGCCCAGTCCACTTCGAGTCTGAGCGACAGGCTTTGGCTAAGGCGCCGGAGGCTGCAGAGATTTGCAGTGTGCTGCACTGGCCAGTGCTGCTGCTTGGAGGCTGGCAGCAGACGTTGAGGATGTTCACAACTTCCTGGCTGAGGAGAAAATGCTCGCTCTCGCTCCTCCAGCAAAGGCGCCGGCTGCAGGTCCAGCATGGTCCAGCTACACTTTGCAGACCAGAAGTAACCAGCAGCAACCGGCAAGAACCAACATTTGCCAACTCTCAGCCGTGCACGATTGGAACATCTGGTCGTTCCAGATGAGGGAAAAGGAATTCGAGAACTCAGGAACGGCCCATTTCTCTAACTTCCTCAAACTGCTGTGTAGATCAAGGTGCAGATGGAGAGCTGAGCAAGGGACGAGGTAGAATACTACCGCTATCGCCGAAGCCTCGGCTTGCAGGCCATGGGTTCAGGGATGTTCCCCCTTATACGAGCAGTCCTTAGGGTTTGGGGTTTAGGGCGTTTAGGGTTTAGGGCGTTTAGGGCGTTTAGGGTTTAGGGTTTAGGCTTAATATAGGGATTTTCATAAGGGGGTCTGCTTTAGATGATCTGCATCCGACGCTTCAAATCTCAGGCCCGGGGCAATTCGGAGTGGAGACCTAGCAGCGCTTTGATTCGATTTGTTGGGCGACGTCGCGAGGCCAATCCATGATGGCTGAGGGTCGCCAAGCTTCTTCTTTTCCATAAAGGTGAGTTTAAGCAATCACCCGCCGCTGCGCCACTGGAACTCCGTGTCCAGATCTTTGCCTCACGACTTCTTGAGGAATACCACAAGGTCAACAAGAAAGAACGCCTCGCATCCCGTCACCAGATTCAACTGTTTCTGCGGGGAGGGACTACGTGAAGCACGCAAATCTTGAAGGATGCAGCTGATGCCAAGGGTACTCTTTGGTGGCTCAGGTGCCCTGATTCAAGTGGAGCTCTCTTGCCCTGAACTTCATCCCCAGCAGCAGCGAGCTTTCCCAAAACAGCCTAAGAAAGCTCGTTTTGACGGGGATGTTAAGTCCGTTGGCTTGGACAACCTCCAGTGCACAGGACCCATTCAGCAGACATTGATGCGCCCTACTGGTTGGCCAAGGCGTCTGCTTGGCTCTGCTGAACTGCGGCTGGCAGTAGGCCTCCAGTTTCAGCCCTCGACCCGGAACAGAGGAGCACTGCAGCACCGCGCTGAGAGCACTGCCAGAAGCAATGCAGCGAGCACCAGGTGAAAAAGGAGAAGAAAAAGGAGCCGCCACATGGCCTCAAGCAAAGCAGCAAGTGCCGGCAACTGCCCAACTGCCCGATTGATTCGGGGGAAGAAGATCAGGGCGTAACAAAAAAGAACAGGACCCACAAGCCTCCTGGTAGGTGCGGGTGATGCCCAGCCGCTCAAGGAAGACCTGCTTCGTGTTTTGTGACAGCAATCACACAAAAGCCACATGCTCGGCGGTCGAACTACGCCTTGTGCCAATGACGAGACGAGCCCACACCGCTTCACAGCTACAATGAGCTGCAGTAAACCCTAAACCCTAAACCCCAAACCCCAAACCCCAAACCCTAAACCCTAAACCCCAAACTCAGTCGGAAGTCTTGGTCTCCCCGCATCACCAGACCGCAGCAGGGCCAGGCCACCGAACTTGCCTGCCTGCAGGGGTTGGCACTTCTAGTCACCCCCATGCTTTCCCTAGTTGCTGAGTGCCCTGGGCCAAAAAAGAAAAGGTGAACCTGTCGGTTATGGTAGGATTATATATATATATACCCCAAAGGATAAAGGAGACCTCCTCAGCTACTAAGTTTCACAGAAACAGAACCATGGAGGGAGTGGCTGTTCCTTGGGTTGCAGTAATTGCGGCAAGTCCTGACATCGCTTTTCAACCGCGCCGACTCATGCCATGTTAGCATGATGAAGCATAACGTTCCAGTTGCGCAAGCAGATCTGTACATCCTTGGGAGCTATGTTGGCATCCCTCGGAATCAAAGGGCAAGTGAAGTTTGGTGCAAGGCAGCATTACAAGATAGTGCATTGTGGCAAGGCCCATCCAGTCTGGAGCCGGCCAGGTCTCCGAGAGCCCAACATCACGGGATTCACGAACTTCCCATGACTGCTCTTGTCTGTGTTCTCTTTATGATATTGCGAGCGTTCCGCGCGAATGCCTTAAGATGTGAATGCCTGTCTTCTTGGTTTGTTTGTGGGAGACGTACATGGCCCGTGGCTCTCAGTGAGCCATTATACTCAAGTGCTTCCCTCAAACCAGCAATTGACATTTCACATTCTGGTTGAGAAGGCAGCTCCTGCAGCGGAAAAAGCCAAAGACACCACGAAAAAGCTGCACCTGTATCATAAAGCAGGAGCCCGTCCTTGTACTTCTGGAGGTCTATGTCTAAGATGTTCCGCCTTGGGGCTGCTCCTGCAAGACTCTGCCACTGTCCCTTTTTGGTGTGAACCACTGATGGTGTATCGCAATGAAGGAGGCAAGGAAGAAATCAGGCAAGGAATGCTGCTAGGGTTTAGGGTTGAGGGTTGAGGGTTTGGGGTTTAGGGTTTAGGGTTTAGGGTTTAGGGTTTAGGGTTTAGGGTTTAGGGTTTAGGGTTTAGGGTTTAGGGTTTACATTCCCTTTCAGCAACTTGCTGAGCCCCACAAAAAGCGACGCCTTCATCGAAAGAGCCAGCTGCAAGGGCTGCTGCTGTCGACGCTCCACCACTTCCTTCCAAAGCCTGGCGGTCTATAATGATATGAAGAAGAAGAAGAAGAGTACTAAGAGTACTAATAGTACTAATGATAATAATACTAATAATAATAGTAGTAATAGTAATCGTAAGAATAATAATTGTAATTATAACAATAATAGTAATAACAATAAACATCAACACTACCTATTGTACTAAGCAGAATAATCCTAACAAGAATAGTAAGTTTCGAATCCTCTCGAGCCCCTGGCAACACTTTTGCCTCCCCCTTTTCTTGCGGCCAGGCAGCTCACGCTCGTGCTTCACGCGCTCGAGCTGTGACTCAATGTGCTGCTGCGAGATCTGCAGAAGACGGAGAACGCTGTGGTCGGCTTTCTTCGCAACCATGTCCTGAGCGCAACTCTGGTCCAAGTAGCTAGAGGTCCCCCTACCCCGACCTTTGAAAAGTGCCACAATTTGAGACACGCTATCTGAGCGTGGCTGAGGAATTCTCCAAGACGTTGCGGAAGCGCTGGGAGCAGCGTTGGCGCCAAGCTTTGTCAACGCGGAAGGACATATTCTCGGCACACTCCTCCAGAACCACGATTCATGTGGGCTGTCTATGCACCATTTTGCTAAGAACCCGTGCATGAAGCAAGCTCGAAAGCAGCAACGGAAGACCCGCGCCAGCTACAAGCAAGACAAGAAGTTCGCACCCACTGTGGCACTCTGGCATATTGTCCACCACGACCATGCACAAATAGGGGACCCCTAATAGAGGCCCCAAATAGTAGTATTCCCTAAAAAAGAAGGACCCACCCCCAATTTCGGAAACCACCCCCCCCCCCAAAAAAAAAACGCCCTCCTCGCCTCCCAGCCCAGCAGCTCGACATCGGCTTCCCCCTGGTCTGCGCCCTCTGAGTCATCGAACTTGGGGCCCGGGAACACGCCGACCACCTTCAAGGGGAGTATTCTAGGGCCCTATATATACCCTCTAAGGCGGAGTATACAGGGCCCATATATATATATATATATATGTATATATATATATATGTATAATATATATAATTATATATGTACATTATATACCCTTTCTGGGAGGAAGATGTGCTGCTGGCATCTTGGCCACCTGGGCAAACTTGACCACGCCGCGAGTCAGTGCAGCGGTGCAGTGCTTCAGGTCCTCGAACGGCTTCTCGTTCACCTGTGGAGGCGGGGCATGTGAGCACCAGGGTTCACTGACACGAAACGAATCTTCCCGACATGAGACATGAGTTGGGTGATCTCTGCTGGGCAGTTCCGCCCCCCGCCTTTGTGTCCAAAACGTCATGCACCTCATAGAAGGAGGTACAGTAGGGCCAGCGTGGTGCCAACACATGGACATGGCGTGAAGACATGGTCCGCTTCTAAGAGGCTCTGCATGGCTATGCTAAACTCTTGGCCGAGGGTCCGCATCCATCTGTGCTTTCCAATTCTGTTCATCCATGTTTCCTCACCCCAGGATCATGGAAGGCAGTGGAAGAACATGCTGAATCACGGCCGTCTGCACTCAAAGCAGACAAGCAGCTCTGCTTCTCCATCTTGCGGACAGCATCACTGTTCTTCTGAATGTCCACTTCATGCGATGCGCTCTTCACAGTGAGCCCGTTCACCTCCTTTCACACGAGTTTCCATCGAGCGGCAACATTGTTTCAACACATGCTTGTTTCAGCTTATCGCGCTCCCGGTGCTTCAGTGTCGCAGGCATGGAAGCACCAAAATGTTTCTCAAACAGCTGTCTGCCTCGCGCAGCTTGAGAATGTCGCGCTTGTGCTCTCCGAGTCCTCCCTGCACCCCGCTCCTTACTTCTCCAAGAACCAAGGGGAAAAAAGGCTAAGCTTTATGATTCCTACTATATAAGGAAACCCAAAAAACCTTAAACTTCAACTGTTGGCTAAGTAAGGCTCATGCGGAGGTCCAAAGCCCCGAGGCGACGGGAGGCCTCCGCACTTCGGAGCTCTGCCTGCGGAGAGAGCAGTGAGAGAGTCCCCCTGGTTCTTACCCTAAACCCTAAACCCTAAACCCTAAACCCTAGACCCTAAACCCTAAACCCTAAACCCTAGTAGGGAGTGAGGGAATTAGGGCCTTATATTATGCCCTTTAAGGGCTTATGTAGGGTACCTCATTCCCTCATTCCCTCATTCCCTACGAAGAACCAGCCAGTAGTGCGAGATCTGAAGCAAGACAACATTCTCATGGGAGTTTACGAAAATCGGGGGCCCCAAATGTAGACCCCCAAATAGTAGGATTCCCTTAGAATAAGGGCCCCCATAATAAGATACCCCTATTTTCGGAAACCCCCACATAAGACAACGCTTGGAGACCAGCCTGCTGTTCCACAGCACCGATCTTCTCGAAAGCCTCCTGCCTTGGCGAGAAGAGCTGATAGGATGTTCCACATGCCCAGAAGTGTAAGGATCGGCCATCGCGCAGAAGCGTGCGGCCAAAAACATGCCCGCACATGCCCGCGCGAGACCCAATACACCACACATGCCTTCCAAGGTGCTGCTTCTGGCGGATATCGTTCTTCAAGCGCGCTTCTGTGTCTGCCACGTTTCTTTCCAGGTCGCTTCGCACAACCGCCACCTCGTTGAAGCAGTCGCTGAGGGAGTTCTGCGTGGTGTGCAGGCTCTCTTGCGTGGCTGCCAGATCCTTGTTGGTGAAGTCCTTGGAAAGGAGGGGCCCTTCTACAAGTAAGTGTCAAGCAGATGTGCGGCCCGCAAAAATGGCAGAAAAAAAGCACTCGGGCCCAGTCAATTCGACCGTTGAGGGCATTCACAGCCTGGTCTGTGTCACTCGTGATCTTGGCCTTGGACTCCTGTCAATGGCTACCGGGGGTCCGCAGCCGCAACACCACACCAAACACACCCAGACACTTTTGACCTCTGCTAACTTGAAGAACTTGAGAATAACTTGACTAGCTTTGCTACCTACTCTCTCTCTCTCGCGCGCAAATGGGCAGCCAGGCCCGAGAAAGGCGGCTCCTCCAAGTTTGTCTCGACGGCTGTGATGTCGTGCCTGATGGTTGCGAGGATCTCATCCACCTTTCGGCGGCGGGCATCCACGTCGAGGCGAAGAGAGGAGACCATGTCACGGACAGTCTTGATCGCGGCATCCAGATCATCGTTGGCTTCCTGCAAGCAGCCGACTGCTGATGCCGCCAACAACAACAGCAACAGCGCAGCAACAGCAGTGCAGCAACGACGTCCTTCCAAGCAACATTGTCCACCTTGGTGTCCAACTTTGTGTTCATCTCGTTCTTAAGATTGATGATGTCTTCAGTCAGGTTCTCTTCCTTCTCCTGCATCTGCTGGAGGGTATTTGAGACATCCTCCATCCACGAGTCATGGTTCTTCAGCGCTTCTTGAATGTCACCAATGTCGAGGCGCATCGTAGAGATCTCAGCAGTCATGGTGGCCTGCACAGCTGTTTTTTTTTGCCACCCGCCTAGCTGACCTTGCGGCCACTCTCCAGATCATTCCAGCTCTTCATTAATAGTTTGGGGTTGGGATGGTCCGAGTCCGGACACAGTTCAAGTTGCGGTGGCTATGTCCAAACACAGTCGGCCTCCACGCGCTGTCGGCTGGTGATGATGGAGTGTGTGGCGTCGACCCGCGCGCGCATCTCGTCAAGGTCCACATTGACAGCGTCCATTGCAGCTGTGAAGTCCTCGGTGCTGCAGGGCGTGCTGGATTTTGCTGAAGAAGGTGCACAACGATGTGCAACAATATTTATAATATACATATATATATATATTTCTATATATATATATACATACATAATGTATATATATATATATATATATATATATATATATATATATTCACTGTCCGGCCTCCATGTCCCGCTCACATGCCAGCACGATGCGGCGGATGTGGTTCACCTCGCCTTTGTTGTTACCAAGCAAATCCTTCAGCTCTCCGACGTCGTACTTCAGCTGGTCCAAGTCCTGCCCCAACGCAACCTCCACCACCCGACCCCCAGAACCAACTGCCTTCCCCGCATCAACTCACAGCATCCTATGCACCCTGTCCTCCGCCATAGTATCCAGCCCAGCCGCGCCGCCAGCGCCATCAACCGGCTTTGTTGCTGCAGCACCACGGTTGACATGCGAAAGCTTCTTGTCAAAGTCCTTGACGCACGAGGGCACGTGGGCTTGCTGTAGTGCGACTAAAACTGCTAGCATGGCAAGCAGTGACAGAGCTTGGCCAAGCGGCTGTCTGGAGGTTCGCCAGTTGCGCTGTGATCTGCGACTCGAAGTCCTGCAATCGCGTGGCCACCTTCCTCAGCTGAGTCAGTCGGCCTGCTGCATTGATAGTGATGTAAGGAGCATGTTTATTCTGCCTGCTGGACCGCACTTTGCGGCAAAGTCTCTTCATGATCTGGGCATCACCACCCGTCTTACGAGCTGGAAGAACACCGCCTGAATGCGAAGCCAACGCTGAACCATGCAACTTAAATAGCCGCCGAGGTTTTTGGGCGTAAAGAATAATCAACGCGGCCATGGTAAGCCATAGTACCACCTAGCCATCGCCCCTAGGCAAGCTTCTTCTGTTCGTTTTGCCTCAATTGGATGCTCCTGCCAGAGTTTCGGCCGAGGCGGGCTTTCACAGCGACAAAACTACGAGATTACTTCCTGGAACATGCTGAAGCATGGCCTTCGCCGTCCGTCTCCAGAGACTTTTCGATGGCAGCAAGACGCCTCTCCAACTCTTCCAGGGTGACCTGGGGACATCGCGTGATATCGCGTGCCAGCACAGGCCTGGTGTCAGCAGATTGACAAGCTACTCGCCAGCAGAGCCCAACCAATGAAGTGCAGGCGAGCTGCCGTCATGAGTTTCAAGTATGCTGACAGCTTGCGACAACCACGCTCTGTTCACGCAGCAATGCAAACTTCACAAGCACTTGAGCAACAAAGGCACAACAAAGGCACGCTCACAGACAATGCCACTGGTCAGCACATGACTGCCTCCTGCTCCAGAATTCGTTGCACGCCCTTCCCAAGCGTGCACGCAGAGACCTGCCTCGTGAGGATTCGGTGCCAGTACCGCTCCATCAAGCTCTTGTCGACAAAGGGCCTTGCATAGTGTGTGGGGTGGAGAGGCACGGACCAAGAGACTTCCCCACTCAGGAACCATGCGAGTATCGCTTGGGATTCTTGATTCAGTGTTCAGTGTTCTTGCACAGGAGGAACAGTCCTTTTGGGTTGGGCGAGGACATAGTAGCCTGGTTCATTCCATGTGCTGAGTGGAGAACTGAAGTCACCGCAAAGCAAGGATCAGCGCTCTATGCCGCTCTTCTTTTCTGCCCGCAAAGATCTGTGCTTTAGGTCAGTTTGCGGCTTGTCGCTGGCGCCTGGCGTAAGCTTGTGTGAACAACCATCTGATGGCCCAAGCATCTCGAGCTACCTGCGTACCTTTGGACAGATGGCTGGCGCCCTAAACGCTAAACCCTAAACCCTAAACCCGTTCGTGTTGAGTATTCAAGGCATGCGCAGCTCGCAAGCGACATGATTTCGAGTCACTTGGTGGGCTTACCGGGCAGATCAGGATCCGCCTCAGAAGACGACTGTGGCCAGCATGCATCCCAAAGACTGCCTCAGGCAGATGAAGTTGAAAGGTCAAGAAAGCCGAGGAGAAAGCCAGGGGGGTGTGCACACATGGGGGCTTCCGAAAGTGGGGGGTACCCCTTTTGGGGGGTCCCTTTAAGGGGCTTCAATTTGGGGGGGTCCCCCCCTATTGGGGAGAAATACCCACACTACTAATTGCTTAAGAACCTAGGTTCTTCCTTCTTGAGGGAAATAGAGGGATTATTATGTTTGTATTCCTTTGGGGTTCTTCAGCAAGTAGTAGCACATGTACCCCCTAAACCCTAACCCTAAACCCTAAACCCTAAACCCTAAACCCACATGGAGAAGCAAACCATCAGATCCCAGTCACAGGATGTTGTTGGTCATGATCTCGTCGATGTCGCGCTCGAGCCTCTTCTTCGCATCGACTTTACCGGCCTGCGGTTTAGGGTTTAGGGTCCCGCATCCGCAGGGTTAAGGGTTTAGGGTTTAGGGTTTTTTTTTTGCCACCCGCCTAGCTGACACTGTGGCCACATTGCAGGGACTAGTTCCGGGAAAAGGTGTGTACTCAGGAAGAAGTTGCCTTTAAAGCTGGCATACACATATGCGGAAGCGATGGGGATCTGGGACAAAACCGAGGTGAGGAACTCCCAACCAAATACAACCATCAAGGGGATGTAGCAAGAACACTACACAAACCCCAGCCCAGTGAACTCCCATCTCTCCCCAGGAGAAAGCTCCCAGGTCTCAAAAGATCTCAGGGTGGTGTCTAGCACCTTGGCACATTCATTTTGAAAGCGAAACACTCCAACATCCTTACTCAACCAGAATCCAAACTAGACCCATCTCAAAAGAAGTGTTTCGCCACTCCTACAGGAGACATCACAAAGGATCGTCGCTTGTACTCCCTCTGCCTGGCCACATCGGCTCTTGTACAGTGGCAGCTCTGGAGCCCATCAGCAACTGAAAAAAGACAGTAGGGTCCCAAGTTTGGTATGGGACAGAAGGGGCTCTCGAAGCAACACGTGCCAGGCAAGACCTGCACCAACCCATAGTACCACATGGATCCCAACGATACTGAACACCACCACCGAAACAACCAAACAACCACATGGATCCTGAACAGATGCAAACAAGTTGGTCCGTGTCGCCATGGGGGGGGCCTTCCAAAAAGATGCGTGCTCACTTTCACAGTGAGGCAGCTGGGGAGCATGGACTATAGAGCCACTCCCACGTCTATGTACATCAGTTTCGGCCGAAATCACAGACAGGGCTTTCTGATAACAGTCTTGACAAAACAAAGGTCAGCTACAGTGCCAAGTAAGGGTGTTTCAGAGAGCCCAATCCAAGGCTATACGGACAAGTCCTGCAAGATACTCCCGCCCTTACCTCAGCAATCCCAAACCACATGGATCCAAACAATGAGACCAGCCGGAACCCAAGCAGACCACAAACCACATAGATCCAAACAATGCGAACAGAGCATCACTGCGTTCCGCATCTCGCCGTGCACCCATACTCTTGATTTGTACTCGAAACGTGGGGGCGTCGATCTTGGTAGAAAGCAAAAGTCACAAACAACATAGGGCATTTAGAACATAGGGACAAAGGTATTTAGCACAAGCCTCGCCACCCATTTCACACACAGGTTCATCATGCAGAGCCAACTAAAAGGTACGCATGCAGGTTCTCAGAGAAATGCCATGCATGCAGGTCCACTACAGAGGTTGGGGCAAACCACACAGGCACTCAGAAGGGGGGTCTCATGCCCTAGAAGATCCCAAGACTTGCATGCATGCATGGAATTGGTGGAGTACTAGACCATACTGCTCATGTGTCCGCGTTCTGAATTCGGGGATTAGCATGCTGCAAATTCATCAAATTCTCTAATTACATGCATCACTCTCAGCTCCTCCTTCTCGAATTCGCATCACTCTCAGCTCCTCCTTCTCGAATTCGCATGCCAGTCGTGCCAGTCAGCGTCGACAACTGCAGGGTCATTCTCTCTCACCGATTCAGAGTCAATTCATCAAGAGTGAATTCGTTGAATTCCAGACTTGTCTATGTGATTTGGCGCGTCCCAGCATGCAGTAGGTCCATACCTCCATCGACAAAGTGAATTCGCCAAATTCAGACCAAAGGTGTTGTCACCATCCAGAAAGTGTCCCACTCAGAAAGCGAAAACTCAGAATGCACCAAGTGCCAGCATCCCCGTTGCGTAGATACACGCACCAATGCTCAGCACCATTGCTTTCTGTCTGTCCAGCTTTGCGTGGTTCACCCACTGGTTCTGCCTCTGCTATGAAGCCTCCCACGCAGCCTCTTCACTGGTGTAATTGGTTTTTCAGTGTCCTGTGGCTTACCCACAGCGATTCTGAAATTTCGCTCTTTGTCTTCTGACATAGAGCCTCCTCAGCACCAGTGTCGTATAGCATTGGCCTCCAAAGGCCTAGGCCATATACTGCGTGTCGTGGGGGGTTCAGTCCTACAGCGTCTGATCACGTTGCGGGCAGCAGTCGTCACCACTATTGCATTGGCCGTTCCAGAGCACAAGGGCATATTCCAGGTTCTCAGCGAAAGCTGTCGCGTGCAGAGGGCACCATGGCTGCAGAGGGAGTGACACCATTCTATGTGCTGCAGTCTGTTGTCCTCCAATCTGAGATCGTGAAAAAACCCCTGTTCTCCTAGTGACAAGACAGCAGTAAGACAGGGAGAAGGAAGAGCGGGCAAGGAAGTGAGAGAGGGGGGGGGTGGGGGGAGGCCCTCGGGGGGGGGGGGGGTTTGTCCCACATCCCAAAATTTACTCTCTCACTCACTCTGGTTCTGTCTGAGAGGCTCCCAAGTCACAATCTAAGGCGGGGCACTTTAGCTGAGGTTTAGGGTTTAGGGTTTAGGGTTTAGGGTTTAGGGTTTAGGGTTTAGGGTTTAGGGTTTAGGGTTTAGGGTTTAGGGTTTAGGGTTTAGGGTTTAGGGTTTAGGGTTTCTCACTGCACGCACATCCAGCGCCCGCATCCGCAGGGTTAAGGGTTTAGGGTTTAGGCTTTAGGGTTTAGGGTTTAGGGTTTAGGGTCGCTCACTCTCGCACAAGGCAGGCAAGGTTCGTTGGTCCGTGTAGGCAATAAGACAACTAAGACAGGCCAAGAAAGTGCAGTCGCGGGTTTAGGGTTTAGGGTTTAGGGTTTCAGGGTTTCAGGGGGTCTGGGGTTTAGGGGTTTAGGGTTTAAGGGGGTCTAGGGTTTAGCGGGTTTAGGGTTTAGCACAACGGACACCGCGGTGGGAGGACTTGGGAGGATCTTGAGGGTCCCTCCTTTAAGTTGCTCTTGAAATCTCTTGAAGCGGGATTAGGGGGGCCCTTTGGGAGGAAGGCCCTCTGAGTAAGGTCCCTGTTTAAGAGGAGAAGAGGGTTGAGAAGTGTTTCCTGTTAAGGGCCCCCCTTATCCTACCTGCCTAGGATGCAGTGGCCTGGTTGACTACGAACTCGTCTTCGGTGCTTTTGAACTCTTCCTGAATGACTTTGTTGTACTTCTCCTTGCGGCACGTTGGGAAAGCTTCCGCACAGGGCTGGCTGGCTGGCTGATGCGCCAAGACGCAGTGAGGTCTAGCATCTCTTTCACCTGCGGCCACAGGCACTCTAAGTTTCGAAATCCTGAACTCTGGCCCTCTGGTTCTGCAACATTTTGCATCTCATTCGGTGAGCATCCCCGCCGTCTTCTCATTATCACCTTCATGCGTGTCGAAGTTGGTGAGCTTCAGACCATCCTGAAAGTAGGCGCAGCAGGTGCAAGCCTCCCCCAAAACCCTGCCATGGCTGAGATCCCGATCCTGCCACTTCTTCTTGCCTAGGTTTAGGAGCATCTTCTGCTCCAGGTCATTTTTTCGGTAGTTGATGGCGATGGAGTAGTAGTGACCTGACAGAGCAGAGACACAACCTGTCACATTTGAGCCGAAGGTTTTTTATGGACAGAAAGAAGTCGTGCCGCACAGGCGCGGTTCAGGCCATGGATCAAGGCTGTGATGCTGGGCTTGTTCAGGTGCCCAATATTGGACGTTGTCTGCCTCGGCTCCTGCTCAGATTCATGATTGTGTTGACCGCGCACGGTCAAAAGAACCTACGAAGGCTGCGGAAGGCGGGGAAGCCTTGGCAAGGGAAGTTTCACATGCCTCTTCCTAGGCCCCTCGGCTCCTGCCCCAGCATCAGCATCTGATGGTTGATGAGCCTGAAGCAGTCGATCACCACCTTCCCCTTCACGGACTGGATCGGGTCCACCACCACACCCACGGCCCGTGGATTCAGCTGCTCGAAACTCTGCTGGGTGTTGATGTCCTCAAAGGCAAGACAAAGGAACCCGGGCAAGCTTCTTGACACACCGCACACGCTCAAGCTTCCGACCGTGCCCGAGAACCAGCACCCAAAGCCGGGGTGAGAGTGGTACCAACCGACCACCATCTCCGGCCTGGTAGCAAGTTTAAGGTCAACCGCTTCAAGCTTGTGCTAGGCACTGCAGCCCACCTTCCTGTCTGCTTAAGCATGTCCAGCATCTTCGCTTGGAACACGGGGTCTACTGCCTGCAAGAGCCATGCATCCACGAACAAATGCAGCTCCAGCGCGCTTGCGCTTGTGGGCCTCGACGCTCACGCTGTTGCCTGACTGAGGCATCGAAAAGACGTCCACGACGCGAACCTTGGACCAGCGGCGTACTTGTATGTTTCGAGGTGCCACTGCGTGGCTCTATCACTGTTGACCACAACATGGCCAAATCCCACGAAACATCACCAAACCACAACAAACCACAATTTGACAAACAAGTGCCGACTCCATTTCCACTGGTCCATGTGGCTGTGTAGTCATCGATGAACTCTCCCAGCATGAGGCCCATAACCTCCATTGGAACTCCAGCCCGGCCATGCTTAAGCATCTTCCTCAGTCAAACATCAGCGTTCGGGTACACAAGTCGTCCCATTCAGAAATGAGAAGGCGTGTATTCCTACACGTAGAATTCCATGCACTCGGCGGATGCTTTCCGTGCCCACGCCGTTTGCGGACCGATTCAGGGGCTAGTCCTGTGGAGTCATGGCGAGGCCAATGCTGACAAGGTGCAGCAATGCCAGTGAGGAGATGTAGACCTACGAGCCGGTCGAGTCCACGACAACCCAAAGGACACTACTATTTAGCTTAAGAACACGTAACCCAACAAAAACAAAAGATAATGATCCCTGTATTGCCCTTATATTATAAGGAAGAGTAAATTTCTTTTGTTTTGGTTTTTTGTTTCTCTTTTTTGGGGGGGTTCTTAAGCAATTAGTAGGACATCGAGTGCGGTTGCCTGCTCAGCGGTGTCAGTCAACGACGCATCTTCCTGCGGCTGCTGGCCACCGCCTCATGCTGGCATTCCACTCGCGACTCAGCATATGGTACAAAAAGCATGATGATCGAATAGAACCATATGACAATAACAATTTAATATTCAAGGCTGTTGAGGTACATATGACAATCTAATAGAAAAATGTCAATAGTCGAATCAATATGATACTCTAACTTTATATTATCATAAAAGTCGTAACCAAATTCTCCACTCAAGAAATGTTGAGATATGTTGAGATTATTTGATCTTCTCCGCGGCCTGCCATGCCTGGCATATTCCCCAGGATCCGCTGGAGGTTAAAGTTGCCCGCCATGACGCTCGTCCGGCGCTGGGGGTCCTCAGCACTTCCCGCAAGGCCCGAATGAATTCCTCACTCACTCTAAACCCAAAAACCCTAAACCATGAAATTTCTCCGGTTTTGAGCTTTGTGAGCTGGGTGCCGGACTAGGTCAATGAATCCGAAGCGGCTCCGGGCTTGAGCCGCAAAAGCTCCCGAAGATGTGCTGTGGTTTCCACCGGACTCCCTCAACACCCCTCAACCCTCTCCTAGACCGCTGCTCGTGCACTGTAGGACTTGCGGCTTTCAACCCGAGAGTCAAAGTCAGCCTCGATGGCATAGCGGATGGGCGAGATGCTTCGCCTCAGAACCCTTCTCATCCGAGCCATGTCAAACACCCCAAGAGCTGAGGACTCAGGTCTCAACAGGGCGATCATTGAAGCGCTGGGCGAGGCTGCCGCGCCAAGGGGAGGAGTCTTCATGCTAACAAAAGTGTCCCGGTCACGCTGCCATGAGCCTGCAGCGCCACCGGCTGGGTCAATGACGCCAGTCAGCATGTGCACCGTCCTTCAGATTCGGCGCGTCAGGCGAAGGAAGATGCTGAGGGACCCAAAAACTTGGATGGCCTTCGCGCGGTACCTACAATTAAGGGCCCTGAACATCCAGTGGGCTAGTACATGATTGTGATCATCTTCACGTGAACAACGCCCGAGGCGCAGGCATGATGGGAATGCCGGCAGTCATCGCTCGCTCCCCATTGGGAATAGCTGCTCCTGTCCACGAGCTGCTTCGACTGCCCCCAGGTTGCCTCATTCCATCTCCAGCGGGCGCTGCCTATCGCGAGCCCAAGGGATGCACAGACGAGCGCCTCTGCCAAATCCAGATCACAGCTAGAAACCTGTAAGTGTGACTAGAGACTTGAAATAGTAGCACCAAGCCGAGGCGCGCACGACGAGGGAATAGACAGCTGCCAAAGCTACCAAAGGCGTGCGGAGACCACAGCGGGCGTGCACCATCAATGCCTGGATGGGTTGCAGCCGGGTTGCGCAGACCAACAGGAATGGCTCAAACTCTGAGAGGCGCACGAAGAAGCATGCAAACCTGAGTTAAGTTTCTCCTATCCAGCGGTGGCCCAAAGTGGCCCAGCTCCCTTCTCCAGTTTAAGGTTAAGCCTCCCACAGTCCATCTGACGGCAGCTCAGCCACCGCTTTGGCAAAGAGATACGTCAAACCGCTGTAGTAGCCAGCAGCACCTTGGGAACGGGGGCATCGTGTTTGCCTAAGAGCAATAATTGCCACGATGCCAGCCAAGGTCGTTGCGCTCTCGCCCGACGACTTTCTTCTCTTTAGCGAACTGATCCAAGGCTCTCATCTCGCCGATGAAAGCCTGGGATCATGACACAATCCCCGCATCCATGCTGACTGCAGTGGGGCGCGCGAAACAAGCAAACTGCCCACACAGGAGTACTGCTTTGGTAGGCACTGAGCACCATGCCATGGATATCGAGCCGAAGGAGAGCAATCCAACCTCGTACTGATTGCATCGGATTGACGAACAAACAAGGCGTGAGCACTCAGGGCAGGTTTGACTTCTGGTGTCATCTGAGGCCGTGGCACGTGAGGTGACACTCACTGCAGACCTTCAGTGGTTGCAACGAGGAGGACTTGATGATACGTGCATGGGCTACTGGCAAGAGGTTGAGCGCAGCGCATCTCATCCCCGAAGTAGCCGAACTGGGCGCCAAAGATCAGACCTGCCGACCAAGTTGTCGTCAGGACATATAAGAGACATTGAGGGACACTTGTGGCTGACCCGTAACACATGTAGTTGCAGCACCTAGTCCGGCTGTGGCCAGCAGACGGGAGAGGTTCGTCACCTGCTGATACCAAAACAGGTAACGAGGGCGACTTTGCAGGTGATCACTCTGGCCACTCAAGCCACTGGCACGCCTTGTCTCGGGAGGTCTGAAGCCAGGCTCTTCGAAGAAGGAGGCAAAAACCATCAAAGCCACCGAGTCGCGAAACACCAGGGGAAGAGGCACTCTTCCCTGCGTCCATGAAGCGTGAAGGCGGCATGCAAAAGTCTAAATAAATAAATAAATAAATAAATATATATATATATATATATATATATATATATATATACATATATACACACATATATATTTTTCTCACACACCTCCTATCACTCCTCTTCCGTTGCAATGCTATGCAATGCTGCAACCGTAAAGTCACACCTGCCTTCAACGGCCACCTCCTCTGTGCCAACCATGGCATCCGCCAGCCTGATCACGAAGGGAGACGCTCGAGACAAGCAAGCAGGCATCTGGGTGTCAATCGCCAGCCTTCCTATTCTCTCGCGGTCTTGTTCGGCTTCTGGACCACCAGTGTGCACCGAGATTAAGTCAATCAAGAAATCAGCAGGATTTACCTGCAACCACACAAAAGTACGTGCGGCAGCCTACGAAGCAAGCGATGTGAAGAGACAAGCGCGAGATGGCACTTTGACTTGCAAACGTCAACACGACGCAACACGAGCACCGCGCACCCCCTCGCGAGGGCACTTGTGTCCCAGAGCTTCGAGATGGCGGAGGGCCTGCTGTGGAAGCAAGAGGCATCTGGAAAGTGGACATCCGCAAAGCGAGATGATCCGCGTGGCTATGCAAAAAAGGTTAAGACCAACTTGCTAGTTCCAGTCCTCCTCTGTGGCACCACAGAAGATAGGTCGACCCCCAGGCCTTCACATGCACCACAGGTAAAGGACAGTCGCATGCCTTTTGTGGCCTGCGTGCAAGCAAGCCACGCCAAAAGCAACACGTCCTCAATCATGCTCCAGACAGACGATCTGGGTTGATGGATTGTCCTTGGACAACCCCTCTGACCCCAATCTCACAGGATGCAGCTGAGACAAGTGCTGAGGATGCGAGCAGGATCGTCGCGCACCGACGAGCCTTGCCAAGCTCTGATAGAAGCTGAACCATGTCCGCAGCCTGAAAGGTGTCCTTCCAGCCAGAGGCTTGAAAAGTCCTATGAAAAGTTAGCAAAAAGGGCTCGGAAGAATGGGCGTGAAGCAGACCGTCCAGACCAGTTGTGGGCTCGTCTGCCAGCAGAGCTTTGGACTTCTGCGTTCCGCCCTGGTCACTCGAACAGCGATAGGGATTGCCGGATGAATGCAAACCCTCCACGCTTGGAGAAAGCAGAGCTTGCAAAGGCCTCCCCGGCGAGCGCACAGCCAAGCGCCAGGCGGCGCTGTTCGCCGCCAGACCTAGCGAGCTAGCAGCGATAACAGAAGGATCCGGAGAGAACCGTGCGGCATCGTGCATCATCCTGACGTACATCCCCTGTTGCCCTTCTTACTTTTGGACACATCCGTTCTCTTCCGCTGGGGCAACACTCGATCTCAGGCGCAGGCAAGCCCTGACCTGAAAAGTGCGAACTGGCAACACCCAACAGAAGCAAAGCAAGAGATGCTGCCTGAGCTGCCGATGTAGCGCTCGCCGACTCGCCGATCAGCCACTGCCTCAAGCCTGCCGTGGACAGCAAAGTACAAGCCATTGTTTTCAGCAAAGTCCCAGCCACTATTATGATTGAATTGATTGAATGGCCTCAGCCTCTTCAGAAGGGTGGCTGCTTCCCTTGCCGCCGTGCTGGTGGACATGCCCTGCAGTTGGGGAACAGGCACAACAAAAAATCCACCAGCCTGGTCGGCACGACCGACAACCCGAACGAGTAGCTGTCAATGTATCGGCCCTCGAAGCAACTCACTCCGCGTCAATGCCGAACTCACGCTCGTGACCTCCAACTGCGCTGCGAAGCATATCGTTTCCCGGACGGTCAACTGCGAGAAGAAGGGCACGTCCTGTCCATGGGAATTCCCGTCCCGTCCCCGTCAGCCGAAAAGCGCCGTGTGAGATCTCCTGCTCTAGGAGCGCCATGGTGCCCTCTGCCACACCCACCCTAGGGAAGCTTGTGGCCATCTGTTGGGAAGAAAGTCGATTCAGGGTTTCAAGAAGAAACCAGTGGCTCAGTGGCGCAGTGCTTCTTTTTTGTGTCTGGGCCTTGACCGGCGTGGAAGCGGTGAAACAGTACAGGTGCAGACCCGCCACAGCTGAGTCAGAGATTTTCATGTTCTTCCTCGGCTCTACTGAAAGGGAAAGCTTTCCAGCTGTGAAAGGCATGCGCGGCAACTCACGGCAAGACCTCTCGGAAGCACCACGGCAAGGCTTTTCTGCAGGGTGCTGATCTGTATCATGGAGGCCGGTATGCATGCATCAGGTGGAAAACATCGCAACCGCAGGTGAATTCGGAACTTTGAGCCAGCAAACTCTACGCCGGCTTCGTCTCCGTGACCATCTCCATGAGGTGCTCCATCTTCTGGATCTGAAGGTCCCAGTCCGTGAGGTTGGGGTCGGTGTCCTCCGTTCGAGCGACTCCCATCCTCAGGTTCGGAGACAGCTTCAGCGTGTTCACGCCCCCGCGGTCATCACCAACGATGATGATGGGCTCGCTGGTGCTGAAGGCAACATGGGTCAGCTTTGCGCGCTTCACGACCTTTTGCTCACACACACGGTTGTTGCGGTCCACATTTAGGTCATAGATATGGACCACCCCGCTGGTCGAGCCGCCTGCACCTTCGGACGTGATGGCGGCAAAGGTGGTGGATGAATATGGCGCCCAGGCCACATCTCCGATTGCCTGCGCTAAGTCGAAGGACAGGATCGGCTGGCGGCTGTCGTGATTCCAGAGCTTGACCGTCCAGTCAGCCGACCCTGAGATGAAGATCTTGTCATGAAAAGGATTCCAGCGAACGGTGTAGACCGCCATGGTGTGCCCCTCATAGGTCTCGAGGTACTGGCCAGAGAAAGCCTTGGAGCATTTGTGGATGCGTCCTTCTTCCGTGCCAACTAAGAAGAGGTGGTTCTCCTTCGCAGAAAAATGGGACTTCTTATGTGACAGCTGGAAACCATCGAAAGTCTAACATGAGCACATACACTCAGACCTTGCCGCCGCGGAAGTCAAAGCAAAGACCTCCTGCAAGACCTGAAACCAGAAGTCGTCACGCGCATGTGCTCACAGCTCACTCATGGGCTTGATTGGATTGGTCCGACGATTATGCAGCTATCCTTCGCCGTCTTTGCCTAGCCACCTGCCAGAGTTGTCTCATCCTCGCCCGCGGCAGCGGAGATCAGCTTGAGCTCCATGACCTTCCCAGCAGCCAGCTAGCTAGCCCCGAGAAAGCAACTCGAGCAAGCAACGGTCAACTAAAGCCAACTCGAAGAAACACACTTTGCCAAGGCCTCTTCACTCTCCAGCTTGTTCTTCAACAAGAACCAATTTGACACTCGTCCATCAGAGGAGATGGAATAAAAATTCATGGCTCCAGTGGATTCGTCGTCATTCCAGCGCACTTCCCATACCTCACGTACATGCGACACCCTAATAGAATCAAGACATCTCGGTAAGGGAGAAGGAAGAGCTTTTGAGCTTATGGAGGCAGTGAGCATCACGTCCGCGACAACAAGGAAAGCAATGCCAGACCCCCCCTTAAAAGCCGTCAGTGCAGTTGCGCGGCTGGATCCGTGTGCTTGTTGGTACGAACCTGAGAGCCAGGCCCGAGGCTCAGCCTACTTCCAAAACAAAGAGACTTTTTTTGCTTCCGGGCTGTTGCAAAAAACACGCTAAAAGAGAGAGTCGAGGGGCAGTGCTTTGGTAGATGGGCTTCTTGGTCTTTGCGCGCACGTCATAGACAAGGACGGTGCCGTCATAGAGTCCGACTGCCAAGACAGCTGGATGAGCAGGATGCCAATCCTGTGTCTGGCAGCCACACACAGGCATGCACTGAACACAGCAGCTCAGCCAGCGCCATGTGAGCATGGGCGAGGCCCATGGGCGAAGTGAAGCCAAGAGTCCAGACAGCAAACACCGGCATCTGTGTTGAACACGTACTCGGGGAATCGTGTGTTCTTCAACGAGTAGCAGCAAATGACCCCGGTGCCCTGCCGCATGAAATCCTAAGCTGTCAGGATCCGATGGGACATTGCTGCCATCGCGAAGTGGACAAGCCTCCCTCACATTTAGTTCGGGCCTTTTTCGCCAAGGAGGTATGTACCGTTTCGCTATTGTCGCGGCGGAATGAGGCGCGAGCGGCCAACAATCTCCAGGCAAGAGGCGTAAGAACCAAAGCCAACGGCGCACAGGTCATTGTATCGAGGATTCCATTTGATACATGTGACCTGGGTCCCATCGTCAGCACCGAGATTGCCACGAAATGAGCCCAAGTACCAGAAACGAGCATGATCTTCGAATCTGCGAAAGAACATTCCCCAACCTAAACAATACGTAATTCCATGGGCACCGTCCAAGGATACCCTCTGCGGGATTCTTGGGGGGGGGGGGGGGGGGATGCTAGAAGGCTCTCTTGGTGGGTGGCATACACTCCAGTGGCGCCAGGAACCCCGTGCTCGTTTCACAGGAGGCTCTGCGGGATCTACGGGATCTCTGCGCAGGGCACGGGAAAACTTCTTGGATGTCAGCAGGATTCTTTCAGGGTGGTCACTCCTCGGGATTGCTCTAGTAGGAAACTCGTGCTAGGAGACGCAGGAGAACCAAGCTGGGTCCCTTTGTCAGCCACTGACATGAACATCCGAAGCATTAAGAGGTCAGAATCAGCCCATTCACAAGAAATAAAACCTTGCCAGCTCAGCTCCTAGCCTGCTTCTTCTTCGCTTTCTCTGAGGAGAAACGCCACAGGGGCAAGAGTGTCCCTTCTCCGTCGCGGAACTCGTCACTTCGATCCTGAAAAGACCATAAGCGAAAGGAGGCTCCAAAGCGCCACTAAGGAGGTCTGTGCAGAGCCAGGGAGTCCTCCCAGAACTTGAAGTCGTGGTAGACTTCATTCTCTGCATTCCTTGCAAGGCCCACACGCTTCCCAAGTTTGCCCTTCACTTTCAGGTTCATGGTACTTATTAGCCAATTAGAACTGTACTCATAACCCACTTACAAGCCCCTTAAGTGCCCTAATATGTTCATGAGTACAGTTAGAAAGTACAGTCATAATTGGTCAATAAGTACCAAAAAACCTCCAAGCACTAAAATGGTCCCATGAGCCCTTGGTGCAGCTCAGGCTCTGGTTGACCATGCGCTCCATGATCTTGATGGAAAGCTTCATGTTCTCTGAGTAGGTGGGATCTGTCTCGCCCTTCTTCTTCTTCTGATCAGCGAGGTCATCATAGGAGAGCTTCGACTTGCTCTTTTCCTTCGCAGATTACCCCGGCGCCGGACATCCACATCCAAGTCAAGTCCAGGGCATGCCCGGCTTGCTGATCGGAATCCTTTCTCCCCTTCCTATGCCTTCTCACATCAATCCCAAGCAAGCCAAGCAAGGAAAGTACGCCTGGATACGCCTGGCATGCTGAACTGAACACGTTGCCCTAAGGTGCGAGCTACAGGTACCAGTCTGTCGGATTGAGACTCAACACTCGAACTCAAAACACGAAGGTCGCCCCAGAGAACACACACGTTCTTGGCAAGATGCTTCTTTCTCTTTCTCCTTCCAACCCAATGCACCGGTGCTCCAGCTGCTTCACACACTCAACAGGGCGCTGAATTGCCCTACCTTCGCCAACTCGATGTCCGCCATGTACTTGTCAAAGATTTCCCACTGCGTGACGGTACCTGCACGTTCTTCGCGCATTCTACAGGGATCCCGATCAAGGAGTGCGCCTATAGACAATGGCCCTCCCCTGGAAAAGACATGCCGACGGGGCCGTAGTTTCGCGTTGTGGGGGGCGGCTGGGTTGTCCAAGCACGCTCCCGCAGCAAGTGGTTCTTCGTTTGGGCAGCCCGCTCGCTGAAGTTGAACTGGTTGCCTCAGACACAACATCTTCCATGATTTTCACAAGCCCACAGCGGCCTCTAAAGCCCACCGCAAGTGCAAGAAGCTCCTGGCACGGGAAGCAAGCACTCAGCACTCTCAATGGCTTGGCAGGTTCGCGATGTGCTTCGGTCTAAGCCAAGACTCGGAGAGGGTTCTTCTTTGGAATCTCCTGCAGGCTGCAAAAAAGTCGTTGAGCTAAAAAATCTAAAAACAGTAGCTCCTGCCCTTTCGCGACGCGCTCAACATGCCAACATGGACAGCTCTTCCTTGTCATTCTCTGGAGGGTCGAAGTCTTCATCGATGGCCTCTTGGCTCTCTCTTTCCGTCTGTTCCTGCTGCTTCTTGTCGAGAACCTGTGGGGCACGCTCGCAGCAACCCGGGACTCCGATGCGTTTTGTCAGCGATATTTTGGAGCCTCATCTTGATCTTGAGCTTCGGGGCTGTCTTTCAAGAGAATGCCACCATCCATGCTGAAGTGCATGACAATCTGATCTACCTCGGATGTGGGCTGGCCCATGGGAGGATGAAGCATTATGCAAGGAAACAAGTTGTGACACAAAAAAAGGTTTGAAGCTTGGTACAACAGTTGTGTCACCAAGTTGCCTGTTCATCCGTCTTGAAGCACTTCCTCGGCACAACAATCAAGACGTGAACAACGGAATATAGCAGTAGAATATATAATACTGCAATACTCTCATAGTATTAAGATATCATAATACAATATCCGCATATCCTAGGAGTCTACACAGGACACCTGAATTCCTCCGAATGCCTCCTCCAGTCTGCGACCGTGTTGCTCTTTGAAGGAGTACTGGGTCGTGTTGTGCGGCGCCCTGCAAGGCTACACGAAACCGTTGAAAGCAGAAGGGGTTTCGAAGGCACTCTGCTGAGATGCTTCTCTTGCAAACGGCAAAGGAGAAGGGTGCGCATGCATGCGCATCGCCTGGGGTTGAGCGGGTACAGCACGCGCGGGGGAACTTCCTTCTCCAGCTCCTCTGGGCTCAAATCCAGCTGGTCGTCGGGTCGCACTTTGACCTCGGCAGTGTTTGGCGCAACTGCTTCTTGTGTCGTGGCTTTATCCTCATCGGGACACACGATCATTCGCATCATTGGCTCGTTTCCCGGCAAGAACAACTCCTGTTTGCCAGCTGCCTTGAAGAAAAAAACCAGAAACGACATCTGCAGCCAAACCCTTTGCATCAGGCTTGCTGCTGTCCCTCGTGCTCTAGACCCCTACACCCTAAACCCTTTTGCAGCAGGCTTGCAGAACGTCCTCACCCTAAACCCTAAACCCTAAACCCTAAACCCTAAACCCTAAACCCTAAACCCTAAACCCTAAACCCTAAACCCTAAACCCTAAACCCTAAACCCTCCAGGGCCACCAAAAGGCGATCACGGGCATGTCGTAGTCGTCCCCGGGCTCCTCGGGAGCTTCAGGGGGCGGCGTGCTGCGCGTCGGCGCCGCCGGAGCCTGGCCAGGGAAGTCTTGGGCTGTTTTTTTTTCAAAAAAATATCTTTTCCTGACTATGGTTCTTTATGACTATATTATAGTTAATGGGTTTAATATCTTTTTTTGAGTATGGCTCTTATGACTGTATTGAATAGTTTTCTATTGTTATCTTCATATACAGCTATCTCATGTTGTTCTATTATTCGGTTCTTCTATTCTTCTAGTCTTCTATTCTTCTCTTCTTCGATTCTTCGATTCTTCGATTCTTCGATTCTTCTCCTCTTCTCTTCTTCTCTTCTTCTCTGTTCTTCTATTCTTCTCTATTCTTCTACTATTCGAATTGCTCTTCGTGGCCCTTCGATGCCTTAGGCATGGCGGCCTTGGGAGCCATTTTGCCTCGCAGAGCCTGGGAACAACTTTCGACAGGGCGGTTGAGGGTTTAGGGTTTAGGGTTTAGGGTTTAGGGTTCAGGGTTCAGGGTTTAGGGTTTGGGTTTAGGGTGAGGGTTGAGGGTTGAGGGTTTAGGGTACTCTCTGCAACAGCAGACTCCAGGTTTGGACTTTGGGGTTCAGGGAACACAATGGAGTTCGATCCAATTTGGAGCCTGCCAGTGTTGCCGAATCACAACCGGACTGTAACGACCTCAAGACTCAAGACTTGCAACTGTGGCACGGAGCACACAAACCCGGCCACCCCCTCAATCTGGAGCCACAAGGAGGTGCGGCGAGCAAAACACATTGGTCCAAGACTGAACTGCTGCAAAAACACAGCCATTCAAAAGCTTGAAAAGAACGAACATCTGACCGAGAGCCCATCCTGTGACTACCGGACCCATCGCAGACGTGGCCTGACCTGCTGAAGAGCTGGTTGTGTGGCATTGGGGTTTCCGGGCTCCTGAACATCTCGGGCCCGCGACACTCGCGCAGTGGCCGGGGCCAGGCCGGCCAGACCTCAAGAACCCCCTTTACACAACAGGATGGGATATCATCCTGAACCATCGCATAGGATGGATGCACACACAAACATATGTTGTCGTATGTGTACGCATGCCTGGTTATGGCGACAGATTCGTGGGCACGCCAGACGGGGAGCCGCGGGCAACGGAAGGTCTCCGCTGCAAGCCGAGTCTTGCCGCCGAATAAAAGCTACATCCAACATGCAGCGGGGCATCAAAATATTTCAAAATAGCAACGCCGGCCTTCAATGCCGAAAATGCCTGCACGGTCCTGGAGATTTCGCTCTGTCGACACACCGATTGCGCGCACATACAGCTGCCGCTCGGGTCAATGTCAAATTTGCTCTGTCAAGCCCGATGTGTAGCATTAGAAAGAGCCCCGGCACACTGCAACTTACGCGACGACATCAACTCACATGAAGCTTCCGAACTCACATGAAGCTTCCGCAAACGGACATACCTCTTGTGCGTGCGTGCGTGCGTGTTTGTGTGAGCAAGTGTGGTCCCAGCGGCTGTGCAGCAGCAGCGACTTGCCGGCTCCCGAAGGACCCATCAAAGCAAGGCAGCGCCCAGCACGGGCAAGCCTGGACTCATGGGTTCATGGAGAAAACTGAATTCTTATAAGTTCTAGTAACATAATGTTTGACCATACTATAGTATCACCATGTAATAATAGCTCAATATCCTAGTATCATAATATCATATTATCATCGTATCATAGTACCGTTACATCATAATGTCAACTGCGTGCATATATTACAATCACCAAACGGTCGCTCTGCTCACAGCAAGGCACCCCGAGTGCGGCTGCACAAGCACAGTCTCCCCGACGGTGACGGAGAGGTTGGACCAGAAGATGCTTCCCTGCACCAGGGTTTAGGGTTTAGGGTTTAGGGTTTCGGGTTTAGGGTTTAGGGTTTAGGGTTTAGGGTTTAGGGTTTAGGGTTTAGGGTTTAGGGTTTAGGGTTTAGGGTTTAGGGTTTAGGGTTTAGGGTTTAGGGTTTAGGGTTTAGGGTTTCGGAATTTTTTTTTGCCACCCGACTAGCCATGGCAATGCGGGGTGCAAGGTCGGAACTTGAAAGGAGAACAGGTATTCCCAGGTATTCAAAAGGCTACCCGGAATACACCACCCCCAAGGGGCAATCATGGTAGGACAACGTTGTTGGATGACGGTATGTGCGGCAAGGGGGGGGGGGGTTGTGTGCCTCAATAAGAAACAACAAGTCCACTACAGATGAACTACAACCCGTAGGATCCAAAGGGATTGCAACCTTCCCCCCGTGTTACAGCGTAGTTGACACCTTGGCCCGCCACACTGGTTTGGCTGCGCTTTTTGAACAACTATGCCAGACCCCTACCCTCCTTGTTCCCTCCTTGGGTACGGTTTAGGTAAATCAGGTTTCGGGTTTAGGGTTTAGGGTTTTTTTTGCCACCCGCCTAGCTGACACTGGGTTTAGGGGTTTAGGGTTTAGGGTTTAGGGTTTAGGGTTTAGGGTTTAGGGTTTAGGGTTTAGGGTTTAGGGTTTAGGGTTTAGGGTTTAGGGTTTCCGGCCAAGCATGTGGTGTTGGGGTCCAAATGATAAGGGTATCCTACAATTTTGGGGTCCATTTTGGGGTCCCCTTTTGTCGTAGACCCCCATGCGAAGGCAGCAGTATCTCCCTCTGCTGCACCTCCTCTTCCGACATTGCTGCCGTTGCTGCCAGGCAGCGGCGAATCACAAATCAACCAACGGCTGCTTACCGACACCTGAGTAACCCATACTTGTGCGCCCCCTGCTAGTATGCAGCTAGCTTGAGCAGGAGATGCGGGCAAGCTGCGCGGTTCTTGCAGACCCCTCACATGCATGCAACCAAGTCCAGAACACAAATGCGGAGTAGGCCCTGCTACAGATTCAGTCTCAGTATTGACGCGCGGGTGAGCGCACCTACCTGGACGGAAGAGGTAGCCACGGCCACCTTCAACACCTCTACAACAAAAGACGAATCGAGCAGGTGTGGCCAAAGCTGGGGAATTTCCGTGAAGCCCCCATCCTTTGCCACCTGGGCACGGTCCCAGATTTTATGGCACACAATTCACAGGACCAGCGCTGCACATGCAGAGCAAGCAGTGTGCCAGTTCTGGGCATTACAGTGAGAAGAACAAGTTCATGGATCCGAAGTTTACGCCATGGTCATGGTAAGACAGCGACTACGATGTTCTCGAAGATGTCGGGTTCATCGTGGTCCACATACCTGGGCTTCGGTGAGACTACCTGCCACTGCACCTTTCTTGCCGATGCAGATGCCACGTAACTGCCAATGCCTGAGATAAGAGCATGTGCCAAAGAGCTTCTCGGTCCTCCAGAACCGATGTCCTGGATGATCAAACGCCACAATCAAGCCCACCATAGCACCCAGCAAAGCAACACACTGAGGACTCCGTGACTGCGTCAGCCGGCGCGACAAGCCAATCGACCAGGACATGGCAAAGGCCGGGCGTTGTTGACGCTGTCAAATTGGGTTTGCTGCGACTGGTTCGCCGAGGCCAGGCCTGACCTGTGCTCCACAAGTGCTTCAAGTGCTTCAAGTGCTTGCCCACACAGCTCGGCATAGCTCAGCGTAGCTACTGACGGAGCAGGCTGAAGCCGCCTATCCGGGCAGCTGTGGCAACTGTGGCAATTGTGGCAACTGCAGGTCGTTCCGACAGGCGGCAAAAAGGACACTGATAACGCCTGCCCCTGACTCGCCTCTTTTGTTCCGCCTCTGTTTGCGGTGTCAGGGCTGTACTGTGACAAAGTTTACGCATTCCGAAATCTCCTTCTCCCAAGCGGGCAGCGTGGCAGCCCTGCAAGGGGCCTGTTGAGCAGGATCTCCCTGGGGAGGCAGCACCGCTATACACAGATCGTCGCGGCAGAGCAGCCGGACACTAAGCAATGCAGGCGCCACCCTGCTCACAGGCAAATCAGGTCTGGGGCCATGACTGGCTTCGCATTGCAGCGGCGCTGTCACTCGCTGCGGCCATGGCTCGAATTCCACGTCTCGGGCTTCTGGTTGCGGTCTCACACCATCAGCTCAAGAAGCTGTGGTCACATGGTCTCGTGCCATGTTGACAGGCGTCAGCGCCCCGCTAGGGATACGGCCGCGTAGAAAATGTTGCGGCTTCCTAGCGGCTCAGACGCCAACGCCAAAAGGATGCAAAAACAGATTCTGAATTAAGCAATACTAAGCGGTGCTGGCATGTGCTGGCATGCGCTGGCTTAAGTCTTGTTCAGGGAGATATGGCAAGCTCTCTGCCGATATCCCTCGCAGCCTGCCCCCAGTTCTATAGCCGCAGCATACCACAGCTGGATGCAAAAAGCAAGAAGCTACATGGACGGAATCAGCTGTCCAAGAACTGGGAGAGCTTTCATAATGCAAAATTCTCGAGCTGCCTTTCCGACAGCCATTGCTCACAGAACTGCCGGCATGGAGACTTCCTGCGCCACCATGCTGTTCTGTTAAGGCATATGGGGGTATGGGGGTGTACGAAAATGAGGGACCCCGAATAGAGACCCCCAAACAGTAGGAGCCCCTTATAACAAGAAGGACCCCAAGAAGGCACCTGAGGTGCAGCACCTCCTAATTTTCTAAACCCCCACATCTGAATGCAAAAAGCAAGAGAAAACTCGTAACTCAGGATCCTATGGATCCCGAGCCCGAGCCTTGGCTGCACTTCGAGCCTCCCTTGCCTGCGCAAGAGAATCGAGAGATCAGATCACTTGACACTGAGGATGCCACCGTCTTGACATCTTCCAGACGTGCCTTTGCTTTCTTGCGCAGCTTCACCTCCCCTGACAGACAAAGAAAGGAAAGTTGGTTTGGCGAGGGGCGTGTGCAATTCGCGGATGTCACAACGTCAAAAAGTCAAGAGAAAGTGACAACGAAGAGAACTGAATGTAGCCTGTGGACTGTAGATTGCTGAAGGCTAGATCTAACAAGATGCAAATGCCACCCCTTTACGAGGGCTTTCAACGGCTCATGGCCAACTCCACTGCTTTGAAGTTTCGCCGGCAGAACGGCATGACCCATTTTTGACCAAGCCGACTTCAAAGACTGAACTAGACCGGGCACTTTCGATCCCTCTCGCTCTTTCTGATGCTCTCTTATGGTGCATTGCCAGACAAGTCGGAAGCCGTCAGAGCCTGGGGGGCATAAGTGGCAACGACCACAGTTGCTCCCATTGTGGCCTCAAGGAGCGCAGCATCGTGAGAAGTTTTTGGGCCCCTGAATTCGCTCCAAACCCTTGCCGAGAGGTGGACATCCTTGCGGCTTCCAGACCCAGGCACATGGGCTGCAGCAACCTGATAGGCCAGCAACGAATTACTCTGAAGCACTTGCCCACTTTCGAAAAAGCTGGGAGGAGGGCCTTTTGCATGCAGCACAGAGCCCACAGATGGTAGCTCAGCGAGCGCATCTGCCTGACGCAGGAAGCTGTAGGCATGCCAAGTTGAGCGTGTAACAGCGTAGCGCTTCAGGCATGCAAGCCAAAGCGACATCGACTACCAGCAGTTACCAGCACTGACAGATGGACTGGTGCATGGGCCTGAATCGCATCCAGGTCTTGCGATGGAAAACGCTCGGGCGCCACTTCTGAGTGAACTCGGGGGCAGGAACATGTACTCCGCGAGCCGCAGATGACGCAGCCATGAAGAGCAGGGAGTCGAAGGGTGGAGGTCACAAAGGTCCGTTCATTGGAAGTGGGCTTCACAGCACCCTCACCAGCATCCTCGAGCTTGTCCAGGGTCTTCTCAGAGAGGAGATTGAGAGGCTGGCGTATGACTTGGTCAAGGCTTCTGCCAAGCATGCTGACAGGCTTCACGGCGGACCTCGTCATGGGCTTCAGGCTCCATTTCTCTGGGCTTTGCTCAAGGCTGCTGATGGGAGCATCAATCGGATCCTCGAGCTGCCCGAAAGGTCGCTCGATCGGCTGCAAAACGATGCCCGTGATCCTTTCCGGGTGCGCCTTCAGCTCTGCGGAACCCTCTCGGTCATTTTCCTGGGACCAGAGATGCAAGCCCTGGCTTTCGGCTCCGTGACGTGCTCCCAAGGACTGCAGCGACTGCAGGTTCGGAGGCAAGGGGGGTGGTGGGCATGGGGGTAGTGGCATCTCAAGCTCCAAGCCCGGCGGGGGTCTCCACATGGGCCCTGACAGCGAAGTGCTGGGGGATTCCTGGGATTCCTGGGATTCCTTCGCTTCCTCGTGGGTGCGCAGCGCGGCCAACTTCACGAGCCTTCGCATCTTGGACTCGCCGGCCGGACACACGTGGCAGTGCCCGCACTCACGTCCATTCCGGCAGCCCTGTGCAGGGCAGATCAGGGCAGGTCTACCGAGCTCCCCCCTACAGCCGTGCAAAACCTGTGCATAAGACCCACCTTTGCAACACAATCCCTTCCTATTTCTTTGTTTCCCGGTTCCGTTTGAACTGTATATGTATATATAATTCTAATTATATAATTCATCATCTGCCCACTTGGGTGAGGCTTTCCGGCCTGCGGCTTCCAGAACCAGGCACAGGGCTTGCAGTTGCCTGTCCCATGAAGGGCCGAGCCAACAGAAGCCAGGACGGAGACCTCTTCAGGTACCTTCTCGTCCTTCAACGTGTCCCAAGTCGGGGCCGGTGGAACCGCATCGTCCAGGAAGTTCACTGACGGGGACGAAGTGGGTGGTGGCACTGGAGGCAAGGAAGTCGCTGAAAGCAGCGGGGTGATCACCGAGGTGCTGGACCCGATCTCAGGCAAGCTCGGCGCTTCCTCTGTCTCCTCTTGCTCCTCCCCCTCCTCATCCTTGCACTGTGCCACTGCCAGCCTCTTCAGCTGCTCCTGCAAAGGCCAAGTTGCCCCACCCAAGTTCTCACCAGTTTTTTAGGGCACTGGAGGGAAATTGAGGGAAGGTCGGAGAGACAAAATCCTTTGCTGGTCTTCTCTGCTAGGGTTGGACTCTGTATGTAGCTCTCGGCTCTTGTGCTCGAGAGCTGCGGAGAAAATTGGGTTTCAGGATGCCGACTTGAGACCCTTTCCGGGGTGATCCCAAGTTTGTGCCATGAAAGAATGGCAAATAGCCGCAGTGAGAATAGAATCAGAAAAGAGGCAGTGGCGTAAGACTGGTGGTGACTGGGTCGAACCAGAGGACCAACTCAGAAAGCAAAGAAACAGAAAGTCAAATAAGCGGTAGAGCGCAATAAAGACAAGCAACAGCATAGTGATATGGAAAGACGGAACAGCCAAGAAGCAGAAGAAAGCTGGCACACAGGGATGAAAGAATGCAAAAGCAAGGTGGTACAAAAAGTTGGAAAGCAGAGATCAAAAGCAGCACGGGACGGCAGGAAGCAGAAATCTGACGAAAGCAGAAAGACACTAAAAAACTCAGGTCGAAACCCATGAGCCGGCAGAACTCAACACTAAACCGACCAAAATTAGATCCCGGCCCAAAACCTTTCTGAACCCCGCTAAACCCTAAACCCTAAACCTTAAACCCGAAACCTACAGCAGGTATTTTGATGGGTCATCTGGAACTGGTGCCTGCGCAGGGCTCAGAACACCGCGACAGTGAGGACAGCAGTCGACGGTTTGTAGCAGGCATTTGCACGGCTTAGAACTAGGTCCGAAAACAAGCGGGGGGGGTTGGGAGGGGCGCAGGCCCCCTATTTGCAAACACCACGCTCGCAGGATTCTTATGACTTTCGCGGCAAGCATTGCGCGACTTAAACTAGGCTCCACAACAAGAGGAGGATTTGGGGGGGGGGGGCAGCCCCCCCGCATTTGAAAACACCACGTGGTCGCACGATGGTGTTTGGAAAGGGTTCATAGCTTTGCACGGCCAAAAACTGGATCCTAAAACAAGCGGGGCGGGGCGGGGGGGGGAGGGGGCAGCCCCCCCCCCCCCCCCATTTGCAAACACGATTCTCGCATGATGGGGTTTGGACTCGACTCGACTCGATTCCGCAGCGGTCTGGTCTGACCTACTAGCTAGCTGTAGCTCACGACTTGTTGTCGCGGCCGCTCTGTGGCGGCGGTTAACAGCTTCGGGTATGGACACGCAAGGCAACTGCACAGGAACCGAAGTTCAACAAACTGTGCAGTACAGGGTCTCCAGCGCTCACAGTCGCTCAACCTAGCGTTCTCGCACTTACTAACTAGGGAGTAGACTGTGACAGCTCAGCTGAACAGTGAATGAATTGTCAAAACGAAGAAATGAAAAACACATCACGCCACTCTGCCTTGGGCAGGGGGCCGGAAACGGCAACCTCGAGACAAGTGCTGCGCAAGCCCTGTACACTGTACAACTTCAGGACTGAGCTACAAAATGGTCAGCTCAATGATGGATCTCACTCATGAAAAGCAGTCAGTTGAGGACCTCCATGGAGGGACGGACTCAGAGTCCACTAGAGCATCGAAATGCACTCCACAGGCCAATTTCAAGCGAAACGGAGTCCACAACAAGCCTCCATGCATACCGCCAACTATTCTGGAACCACTGCTTTTGGGCAGCGTAGCCACTGCTGACAGACACATTGGCACATCGTTCTGTCGTCCTGCCCAAAGGGCAAGCTTTGCCAAAGCGGCAGCCTCCACGAGAGAAAGCTGGCAGAAGCACCCCACGAGGAAAGAGAACCATCAGAGCAATCCCAAGAACACCTCAGCGGCAGGTACACAGCGTAGGGGACCATCACGTTGAGGAAGCCCAATGCACCCACCAGATAAGAAAATAAAATAGCAGCAGCATATTGAATAGAAGGGCCGATAATACGGCGCCCCCGCCCACAGGCCAGGTTGCCGTGAAGCCTGGCCATCGCAAGTGGCCAAGAAAAACCAAGCAAGTATGGGGTGAGTGTGTGGCACTGCTCCATCACATGCATTGTACAAGCAAAGAACTGAGTCAAACATGGTCAGCTCAACGATGATCCAAACTCATAGGGCAGACAGTTGAGGACCTCCATGGAGAGTCTGGTACTACAGTGACTCGTCGCATCGCGCAAGTTGCCTCATTGCCCGAAGACTCGCCATGGGCCGACCCACGAACTCCCAGAAGGGCTAGGTGGGAAACAGGAACGAACTGTCCACAACGAATGTCGTCACATATCCTTCCAGCTGTTGCAACCGAAAGTGAAAGCACCATGAGGTGGGCCATCAGAGCATTCCCAGACGTCGCCTCAGCAAAAACGAATTCATCTGCATAGAGACAAACTGTAGCAGCACACTGTAGGGGCCGAAGACGGCGTCCTGCCCATAGGCCTGGTTGCCGTAAAGCCTGACAACCGCAAGTGGCCATACATTCATCCCAAAATGCCTGATTGCCGCAAAGCCTGGCAACCGTAAGTGGCAATGAATAGTCACACAACATGAAGAACAAAAGCAAATACGAAATAGATAAACCAAGCACTGAGCATAGGCGCGAGCTCGCTGGCAGTGAAAACACTGTACCTTGCAGTCCGCCCCGAAGCGTTGGTGCGTACATAATGCCTGGCCAGTATCTTCGCCCACACATGAAGCCCAGGTGATCACGAACCTGATTGGCTCCCGCTGCAGCACTGGAATCTGCAGCAACCCTCACTTCTACCAGCAATACTTTTGGCCTGTCTTCAGTGGCCCATCCAAGAATGCTGGTTGCCGGACTTGGGACCGGCACGGCTCGCAAAATAAAGAAGAGCGGACCTGCAGTGAGGATGCTTGAAGGTGTCACTCGTGTATCTCCCAACTGTGGGGCTAACTGCGTTTGCGCAACCAGCTCATCAAGTGGCAAAGGCGTCTCCAAAAACATCCAGTAGCAGAATGCCATGCAAATACCATACCAAATCCATGAAGGCCAGTGAGTGCACCGAGGACAACCTGAATGCACGGGTCTCTGACATATCGCCATCGTCATTGCATCTGTGAATGGGTGCCGAAGTGCGGCTTCCCAGGCTCAGTATTGAGACACCATGTGCAAAACCAAGAACTACAGCGTCCGGAGGGGGTCCAGTTGAACAGAGAACCTGTTTGGCCTCGAACCCGGTTGACCCCCTACCAGAAGAAACATGTGATCCGAGCCGAGAAGCTTTGATGGGGTTTGGAAAGGACTCATATGCTTTGCAGCAAGCATTGCACGGCCTAGCACTAGGGTTCTTAAACAAGGAAGGTCTCCCCTTCGCCACCGTGGAGCGTTTGTTGAATTCAAAAAACAACGGGGGGGGGGGGGGGTTTGGCAACAGGGGTCACCTTGGAAAAGCTTGCTTTTCCTCACGCTGCTCTTTGCAGTGCTTTTTGCACTTCAGCTGGCCCAGGGTGCCTCGCACAAGAGCTCTTGGAACCTTGTTTTTTTTTATCACTCCGAAAGACTTGTTCTTGGTTGTTGCTGCGTTTTCTCTTCGGAGGGCGGACAAGAGAAAATGCATCAAAAAGCAAAAAAAAGGTTTTTCGGCGCGATGACAAAACAGCATCGAGCAGGCCAAACGCCGAAAACACCGAGGATTCTGGAAGGACGATGCCCCCTCCCCCTTTGAAGAAGGTGAGAACGGACGAGAAGTCGGCGTCTTTGGCCAACATCTTGAGCAGAAGCCACCAGGCTCAGCAGCAAAAACGCTGTAAGTACCGATGTTCCCGGCTGCAAGAAAATGGACGTAGCCAACCCCCCCCCCATCGAGACGGGCCAGAATCGACAACCCATCCACGGCAGCGAAGGGGAGGCTGCCTGAAAACAAGCGGGGGGGGGGGGGTGGCGCAGCACCTCGCTCGCATGATGGGGTTTGGAAAGGATTCGGATTCACTTGCTTTGTAGCAAGCATTGCACGGCATACAACCTGGTCCTGAAACGAGCGGGGAGGGGTTCGTGGACTTTGGAAAGGACGGCCGGGAAAGGTTTCATATTGTTTTCTGCAAACATTGCACAGCTTAGAACCAGGTCCTGAAACAAACGGGGGAAAGCTGAACATCAGCGAGGAAGGAATCTGAATAAATAATCTGATATTCCAAACTGGCTAGCAAGGCAAAGGGACCAGGAGACTTCAAGACCATGGCACCAGAGGACCACGGGACCAAAAGGAACCCTGCAGACCAGAGGACCAGAACAGCGGGGACCACAGACCAGAAACCAGTCCTGGAGGAACCTAGCTCATTGTAGCCAATTAGCTTCTTGATGTTTATCTATTTGCTTTTGGTGTTATCAACTCTTTCGTGATGCTACTCGATTCTTTTTTGATACCTATGACGCACAGAAACGTCCAAAAAACAAAGCAGGTGGCTCAGAGGTCACCTCTCCTTCTTCCGCCTCTTTATCTCGCCAGCAGGGCACAGGTGGCACCGCAGGCAAAGGGCTCCATTCAAGCAGCCTTGTGACTTCCATATCCAAGCCTCAGACACCCAAAGCCACAGTAAATACTGTAAATACATGTAAACACATGTAAACACATGTAACTACAAGAAAATACATGTAGAAACATGAGAAAATACATGTTTCATACCCCATGCCCGCTGGGAGCCTCAAGTTTCACCCCTCTGCTGCCAGGACACGCAAGGTTTGCAGTTGCCGGTGTGATGCAACAGCGACCCCTTGGATGGCAGCGCGCTGGAGCTGGCAGCCTGGGATCCGTGGAACATCCAGGGACAAGCGCCAGCAAAGTCTAACTTGGGATGTTCCCCCATTTTACTAACAGTCCTTCATAGGGATTCTAGTACCCTCCATTGTAAAATCCCTATAATAAGGACTGCTAGTATAAGGGGGAACAGCCCAAGTCATGCAAGAGGAGCCGCCGCCAGCTGATCGCACCGAGAAACAGCATGGTCTGCATCGCCGGTCTCCTTTCTTGCGTCACTGGATGCTACTTAGAGGTTCATGGTACTTTAGTATCCGACTGTAACTGTACTTATAACTGTATTTATAACTGTACTTATAACTGTACTTATAACATGAACCTCCAAGTAGATCCACACCGCAGATATCACTATGACTACGGTCGCTGAGCCCCCACCTTGCTCCCGAGCTCCCCATGACCCAAGCAACACTTACCAGACCAGATCACATGAGCAATGGCCGGCCCTGGTTCTGCAACAGCTGCCGCTCATGCACACTTGTGCGCATGTTGACCTAAAGGGCTGAGGGGTGTTTGGGCACCCGAAACAGCCGACGCAGGAGTCAAGTGGCACAAGGGCACTGGGCTTCAGGGAAAACAAGAAGAGTCCCAACTTCAGTCTCCTCATCGCTGGGCGGAACGCAGGTGGCGGGCGTTGGCGGCATGTAGAGGCAGACAGAGTCCTGGTGAATGCAGCTTCATGGTCATGCTTCTCCCCCCCAGCATTCCAGCAGCAAGGCAAGGAAGTTGCAGCCAAGCCTCATTCGTCTCTTGCGTGCATTCAGGCCCTAGATGCAACGAAGCCATCTTGCCCTGTGCCATGCTACGCTTCACCTTCTTGAGAGGAGGTCGGCTGCCAAGGCAGTGCATCTCGCGACCTAAAGCTTGAAGGAGAGTGGACTTGCATCTGACGATCTGCTTCCTTTCCCGCGGGTGCTGGGCCGAATTCCACCGCATATGTGCACGAACGCACGCATGCTCCTACGATTCCTGCACTGTCCACACCTATACTGTCGACGGCACAGCATCAGCTCTGGCATAGCCGGCGTGTGAAGTCGGAGACTGGTGCTTCGACTTCAAGCCACCTCCTGACGGCCAGCGACGGAGATCAAAATCTGTACTCCCCGCGCCGAACTGCCAAGCCCATGCTCTGAGCATGCAAAGGATATGATGCAAGGGCACAGCATGGAGCAGCCATCAAAAAAACCTTCACATGGTGGGCTGGTCTCTGTCCGGCCCAACGCAGGGGGGGGCTGCAACAATGAACGCAAGCAATCCTGAGACTGAAACAATGCATGCGTGCTAAACTAGCTTTGTGGGGCATCCATGCCTTTTCGAGGCGTTCCCCTGCGAAGAGCCTTCAACTCAAAACCTCTAGTCTAGGACATGTGCGGAAAATCCTGCTAAAAAACACGTGGGTTTTGGCAATTTCGTACGAAAGCCAATGTCTGGAGCTCAGCGCCAAAAGGATCTACACGAGACTACGCTTCTCTCTCAAGTGCACCCAGCCGACTCAAGGTGACTGGAGTTTTCCTTTCCTATCCCAGATGCAGCGGTGCCAAGCGATTGTGAATGTATATGTATGTTTATATATGTATATATATACATATATATATATACATATATGTCTGTATATATAGATCTAGAAATCTATATCTATATACATATGTGTATATATATGAGTATATGCTTGCTTTAGCTGGCTAGGACTCCAACCACTGGAAGTCAAAGGAACACCATCAGGTGCCTCTTCGGGCTCCCAAGTGGCAAGTGGCTTGCTTCGGGCGGCAGAAGCGAGATGTAGTGAGGCTACGGGAAGTAAGACGCGTAATATGCATAATATTAATAGTAAGAATAATAATCATCATCATCATCATCATAATTTCATAATGCAACTAGTATGAATAATCACAACTTTTGGGCATTTTGGGGGACAATGAGCACAATGCTGCTTCTGCTGCTGCCTTCTACAAGCGCTATGGTGTTGTTTAAGCTTCGGGCATAACGCAAGCTTCGCTTGCAAGAAAGGAAATGGGATGACGGCCCCGCTGTACGGCTCAAGAGCCATCCAAGTTGCGAAGGTCAGCAGGAAACAAGATTTTCCTCCACAATTGGTGAGCCGCAGAAGAGCGAATGCCCGTCTAGATCAGTCCAAGATCAACGGCGAAGATTCAGAGCTCCTGAGCACGTCTCACAGCTGCAACAGCTACTGTAGCAGCTACAGTCAGAAGGCAGAGAGCAGCAACACAAAGCACCACACAGAGCTCTGGCCCTTGCAGCCAAGAGACACAGGATTCTTTGCAGGCTCCTTGGTGGCCTTGCTCTTCTTCCGCTGCTTGATTTCGCCAGCGGGGCACAAGTGGCATCGACCACAGCTGGCTCCGTGCCGACAACCCTGCGGCTTCCAGAACCAAGCACATGGTGAGCACTTCCCGTCTGCGTGCAATGCAGAACCAACTGAGGGCAACGGCAAAGGGGCTGGGAGTACTTGTGTCGGAGGGTGATGGACTGGCTGGTGATAAAGTGGCACGCTGGGCAAGATACCTGGAATGGGCACTTCAGGCACGTATCGGCGCTCCCCTGCTTCGTAGGGAAAGCACCTGCAGCCATCAGAGCCACACCGGCTGCAAACTTTTCCAACGCTTTGTGCAGATTGGAAAGGCAGCGGGTTGCCTAAAAGCACAGGCCTTGCAGGCGGGCTGGAGTGGTTTAGCGAGGAGCAGCACGCAGAATTCGGAGAGTACCAGGGTGGAAGAGATGGGCTGGATTGGGCATGTTGGACTTGCTGAATTTGTTGGACTTGTTGGGCTGGCTGCGGCTGTGTCTGCATGTTTACTGGCTGGGTTGGGTACAACGGCAAGGACTGCAACGGTTGTGGAAGATGGCCAAGGTAGGGCGTCACCTCACAGACGTTCAAGACCAACGTGGGAGCCGGCGTGAGCACTGCAATGGGCTTGATCTCGGATGGCTCCAAGCATGGGTGGAGCACTTGCTCTGATTGTCCCTCTTTGTCGGGAGCGATACCTTCCGTCTGACCCTGGACTTTCGACCTGATGATTGCCAGCTTCGCCTGCTTCCGAGCTTTCGCCTCTCCCATTGGGCACAGATGACAGTGGCCGCAGGCAGATTCGTTTCGGCAACCCTCGGCTTTCCAGAACCACGCGCAAGGCTTGCACTGGCCGCTGCCATGCAGCCGTGAGCCGACCGAAGGCAAGGAGGGCGAAGTCGGATCAGACGCTGTCCAGGAAGGTGCTGGTGGCAAGCCTTCTGTTGTTAGGTGAAGGCAAGGAGCTGACGATGGGGGTGGAACTGTGGGGCCCCCATCGCACAGCGTGGTATCTGGGCCTTCTAGAACTGCATCGGCTTGGACCTTTTTCTGCTTGAGCTCGCCTTTACGCCGCTTGATCTCTCCGGCTGGGCACAAGTGGCACCGCAAGCATGCAGCTCCATTTAGGCATCCCTGTGGCTTCCAAAACCAGGCACAGGGTTGGCAAATGCCCAGTTTGTGATGTGCTGAGCCCACGGATGGAAGCTGAGCGGAGCCGGACTCCTCTTCGGGAGCTCCCAGGGCTTCGCCACTATCACAGGCCTCAGGTGGTGACATCGGTGATTGCACCGTCTCGCCCACCATACAAAAGGATGATGGCTCTGATGATGTTCTCCTGCATGGGTCAACAAAAACTCATCTGCTGCATGGGTCCAGCTGAGGCATCCGGAGTCCTGGCGCGTTCTTCGGAAGGCAGAAGGACCTGCCTCAATGGTTGCAAAGGCATGGCCATGCATCATCTGAAAAAAGAAATTGAATGCGAGCACAAACTCCAGGGTCCCTACTGCTTCTTCTCCTGTCGCTGCATCTTCCAGAACACGCTAGAGGAACTGATGTGCAGCATGAGCCCGTTCCACAGAAATCCTGAGAGCCTGACCTTCACACACATGTCACGCCGAGGAAACCATTTATGGGCAGGAGTAGCTCTCCCACCTTTCGAGCCAGAAGCAAGAAAAGCAGCAATCAACACCTGGCATGCTTCAAGCGTCGTAACGCCCCCACATTCCCGACCACGTGCGTCTGGTCTCCAGGACAGCTTCGTGACTCATTCGTTCATGGTACTTCTTAACCAATTATAACTGTACTTATAGTAACTGTACTTATGGCCATATTAGGGCACTTAAGGGGCTTATAAATGGGTTATAAGTACAGTTAAAATTGGTTAGTAAGTACCATGAAACCCAAGTAAGGAGCTCTTCCCGCATTTTCCACATACATTTGCGAGTCCTCGCGCGTCGGCTCACAGGACCATGCTAGCAGAAAGGGTTGGTTGACACATGCAGGTTGCCACACCCTCTTTTGCCAGAGGCGCCAGCATCGCGCCCGTAATCACAACAGGAACAGGTTCATGATTACACATCTGGGATCGTTGAATGAAGATGGTTAAGCTGCCGGTGGAGGTCGCATCTCTGGCACGCAACACCAGGGGACACGACCTGCGTAGCAGACCTGCGACTCAGGGCAAGGACTTTCTCTCGCAGGGGGCATCTTTAGGCACGCGTCGCTGACCCCCTCGGCTATGCAGCCTATTACGCGTTTCCCATGCATGAATCTACGGCAAGCAACATAAGACGGCAAAACGGATAAGATAGCTTTGACCAGGTGCTAGGCTGCTAGAAGGGAGATCGTCACGTCGCAGGCTTTCCGACCGGGTTGTGCTGCTGGCTTCTTACACTGCGACACCGCTTGTCAATACCAACTGCAGGCTGAGAGGTTTTTTGGAGATGTGGTGCAGTGGTGCAAATGCAGAATGGCATCGACAAAAGAAGTCCGAGCAGATCTACTAATACTAAAGCACATACACAAGCATCCACCTGCAGCGCATCTCATCTGGGCTTGGGCACGCCAGTGCTACACACACACGCACACACGTTTGGCTGCAGGTGGCAATACAAAGGGCAAACAAACCAACGACAAGCTCTTCAGCCTTCCTACTGGAAGAGCACGACCGTGCCATTGACAGCCTTGTGAAGTTTAAGTATTCAGGCCCAGTCTTGCCACACTGGGTCATGTCTATGCGAAGGAGAAGGTCGCATCTGGCAAGCCTGGCCCTGTTCAGATTGCAGAGCCGTTCCAGTTGGGTGCAAGCTTGTGTGCTTGACCCACGGGACTCATGAGCCCAGAAACACGGCCGAGCAAGTGCTGGGGGCACCCATCGGGCTATTGAAGATCATAGAGCTTGGTACAATCTGTGTCAAGCACAAGCTCCAGTTGGCTTCTAAGAGTGGGCTAAAATACACTTCAATCCCAGACACGCCTCAGTGTCCAGCCACTCAGCCATCACTGCTCTTCTTCTTGAGGGCCATGTTTCCGATTTTCTTTCGTCTTCGCGGCTCCAAGCAGACGTGGCAGTACGGACAGTTTGCTCCAGCACTGCAGGAGGCCGATTGCATGAGCTCCACACAGGGCTGGCCTTGCATCTCAGGTTCTCGCTCAACAAGCAAGTCATGCAGAAACATGCGAAACATGCTCTGTGAGGACGGCCCACTGGGGACAGCACATTTGCCGTTGTTGTGTGCCACTTCGCCAGGAGATATCCGCTCCGGCCCTACCAACTTGATCAAATTATGCTCTGCATGCACTTGAAACAGCTTGCCCTAATTACTGACTACAGCTTTCGCACGTTTTTTGGCGCAGGTTAGCGGTTCCAACGAGAACCGTGTCGGTTACATCCTCCACAGCACAATCCCTGCAATGAGCAACGCCTCCAACAAAATTCAGGAGAGGGCCACATATGGGATAAGGGTGCTGCTTGGCGCAGGAGCAGACACGACCATCACCCGTTTCAATTATCGCGCCATGCCACGAGAGTGATGACGAAACACAAGCCTACGTAGTCACGTTGATTCTGCTGCTTACAAGTGCTGCTGTGCCATGTATCATGAACGAACCCGAATCACCTCTTTCGTGAAGCAACTATGTGCAAGGTTCCCCAGGCAGCGAGTGTGATTGCAGCGAGAGATTTGCCAAGCCATTCAAATGTACGACAATGTCTGATGAGCCGTCTCATGCAATTAAACAGCTTCCTTGCGCAGCAATGCTGCAGAAACCCCATCGGCCCCCAAGTCCATTGAAGCTGTGCCTGCGCTGCTCGCGCTTTGGCCCGTGTTCTCCCCGCTCTGCATGAGGTGCTGGAGCGACCGCTCGAGAGCAGGGCCTACGTCGCCTCAGAGCGCAGGCTCTGCAGCTTTTAGGGTTTAGGGTTTAGGGTTTAGGGTTTAGGGTTTAGGGTTTAGGGTTTAGGGTTTAGGGTTTAGGGTTTCAGTACTCATGACATTGGACTGTGGGACACCTAAGCATCTGGCCAGGTGCTCTGGCATCGCCATCCTCTTCCCGCACGATCTGAGGCAAGTCGGGCTCCTTTCCTGCACACCGTCTCAGGAGGGCCCAAGAAGCGCGGCGAAGTATCCAAGCCCGCAAAGTGCCCGAACCACCACCTAGATATCAATCAGCTCGGGCAGCGGCGTCTCGCAAGCGTTCGCAGATGCTGCACTGGCTCTCGTTCGGAGAAGCCGACATCACCTCGGGCACTCACGCAACGTGCCTCACACATGCACGAGTCTCCCCGCCCGACCTGGAAGACAAACGCAATGCGTCACATTGCCACAATCAAAGCACGGCGGTCCATCCACCACCTTGGCGCACACACGGCAGTTCAAGGGAGAGGGGCCAAGTAGGCTGCTGGATTGACCAACCGTCTCATGCTTCGGCCGATGATTCATCTCTAAAGGATTGATGCGCAAAGCGCAAGCGTGTTAAAAGTTTAGGGCAACTGTGACATGACCTGAGGGAACCATCGGTTACAAACAGGCGCTACGGAATCACACGCATCTGTCCACTGGGGGTTCCGACGCCCATGGGCATCGGGGACTGCACCGATCTGAATTCCTTCATCTTCGCAGGAACCGGCTGCCACGCTGAAGCAGTCCTGGATGCATCGGAAGCTTCTCAGGCCACTCTTTGCTCATCCCAAGAATGGTATCTCAGACCCTAAACCCTAAACCCGAAACCCTTTTGAACCCAGACTCTGAACGTCAGCTGGCACGCCTAAACCCTAAACCCTAGACCCTAGACCCTAAACCCTAAACCCTAAACCCTAAACCCTAAACCCCAAACCCTGTCCTATATTGCTGCTGCTGCGGTTGTAGAGGCTGGGGATTTGGATATGGGGCGGTGCCCAGCACCAGCGAAGAGACCAGCCCCGGAGTCATTTGCTGCGCCCCCGGCGCCTGCGCCTTCCAGGAATGGGGTTTAGGGTTTAGGGTTTAGGGTTTAGGGTTTAGGGTTTAGGGTTTAGGGTTTAAGGTTTAGGAATTAGGGTTTAGGGTTTAGGGTTTAGGGTTTAGGGTTTAGGGTTTAGGGTTTAGGGTTTAGGGTTTAGGGTTTAGGGTTTAGGGTTCTGAAGGAGGCTGCGGGGACGGCGACTGCGTAACACTTTTCGGCTTCTAGGTGCTAGCTCAAGGCCTTCGGCGAATACACAAACAACTTAGGGTTTAGGGTTTAGGGCTTAGGGTTTAGGGTTTAGGGTTTAAGGTTTAAGGTTTAGGGTTTAGGGTTTAGGGTTTAGGGTTTAGGGTTTAGGGTTTAGGGTTTAGGGTTTAGGGCTTCGACTTTTGAAAGAACGGGCCAAGAAAGACCAAGAAGTTGGGAAGTTCCCCCTTACACTAAGAGTCCTTGATAGGGCTGGTAATAGGGGGTCATGTAATCCCCATTAAGGACTGTTAGTAGAAGGGGGAACATCTCAACTAAGAAGTATGAAGAGGCGCTCTTTTTAAGGTTTCTCTAGCTTAAGACATTAAGCGTGTACCTTTGCCAAGCTCGCTTGTACAAGCTACGGCCCCGCCACACTTGCCTGGCTTTCTGGCACAAGGCGTTCTGCCAAATTGATGTAGTGCGCTTCTGGCCGATGAGCTTGGTCGGCATTCCGAAAGCCTCAAGCATGTCTGGACTTGTCTCGGCGTGGCAACATGGCTTCCTCAACTGTAGCCTTGAAGCCACGATGCAACAAAATGATTCCCCGCCTGCAGGCGCATTGGCCTGCTGCCTGAGGCCATGGGCAAGGCTTGGCAGAAGTTCTGTGGTGGGTACTTAAGCCCCTTAAGTGTCCTAACATGGTTCTAAGTACAGTCAAAAGTACAGTCATCAGTGGTTAATAAGCACCATGAACCTCCAAGTAGTTGAGGGGGCGGGCTCTTCAAGCCACGGCACCACTCTGGCATGGCAGGAAGCTGCGCAGGCATTGAAGCTGCAGGAGCAGGCATGGGTGTTGGCACGGGCGCAGGCATTGGTGCAGGCATCACCTGCGGCTTCGGAAGAATCGGCATCGGAATCTTCAGGATTGAGTTTGATCAGGTCCCTTTGGCATGATGTGGCGGGCAAGACAGCTTGGCACTGTTCTACACCCAAGTCCTTGAAGTCCTTCTGCGGGACGCATAGATGACAAAATTCACCTCGGTGGGTTGCTTGATGCTGATGCTGTTTGTGCCAGCTTTTACTCAAGGAGAGCAACAGTCGGCTGGAGGTTACTTTCAGCCTTCGCTTAATCGTGCACACAACGAGAAAATCATAGTCAATGCCACAATCTTGTTACGAATCTTGTGAGTCCAGCCGCACCGGTCCACTCTTTTTCATTTCTAGTTCGTGCTTGCAGGGGGCCTGGACAGGGTGATCTTCCCCCTCCCTGAGGCAAAGAGGGCCCAGATAGGTTTAGGGCCTCTTTTTGGCCACCGGCCTCGCGGACCTCTCGGACACACTGCAGGGAACAATCCGGGAAAAGCTTTCAAGTCGCGCCACTAAACTCAGCAGAAAAACTCTTCTCGGCTTAAAGTTTAAGGCGTAGGGTTTAGGGTTTAGGGGCCTCAATCTCAGCAAAGTGGCAATCCTGGCCGTCTTTGCACCCAGACGCCGTCCACTGAAAGAGGCAAGGCCTGGCACGACTTCCAGAATGGAACCATCAGAATACATTCCTAACTAAACGACAAAAACAGAGCATAATTATTTTACTTCGAACATCCCCACCTGAGGGATGTGGATTGGGGTTGGGCATTTCAGGGAGTCTCTTGGGTTGGGCGCTCCACGGAGGTATTCTTAGGGAGACTCTGGGATTGGAGGAGTGTCTGGGTTGGGCAATTCAGAAAGTCTCTGGGTTGGGCACTCCAGGGAGATTCTGGTGGGGTTGGGCACTCCAGGGAGACTCTGGGGTTGGGCACTTCAAAGAGACGCTGTGGGGTTGGGCCTCTGGCTTGGGCACTCCCTGTCTCTGGAGTTGGGCACTCCAGTGGTTGGAGACTCTGAGGTTGGACACTCCAGAAGAGTCTCTGGAGTTGGGCACTGCAGGGAGTTTCTGGGGTTGGGCACTCCGAGTAGACCGGGAGAGGAGAAGTTCTTACGAGCGAGGAGAAGAGTTCCGGGCAAGGAGAAGAGTTGAGATTAAAACTAACAACCCCACACCGAAGGTGGGGAATCATGTTCATAATACTTGGGCTTTTCTTCATCATAAGAACCATCATTCTAATGTTCATGACAAAAAAAGCAATGATGACGGGCATGGTAAATGTCGGAAATTTGATATACAGGCTTTGAAACTATGTAGGCTGTGTAAATTCTCTCACACCGGATCCCTTCAGACCCCGTTCGATCCTGCAGAGCCCGCTGTTGTGTTGCTGAGACCCTCGGGACCAGCGTTGCTGCAGCCTCAGTTGGCACAGCAACTCGGAAGACTGAAAGGGAGCTGACTTCTTTGCCCGACCTCTTAAGGCGGCGTGCGGCATGCATTCTGATACAGAATAGAGAGTATAGAGAGTGCCTCAATCATACAAGTCAGCAACATGTAGATCTTAAGGTGTCAAGCTGGAGGCCAACGTGAGGAAGCCCACCATGCTTATCAGGCGTGTATTTCATGCTCAAAAAGCCTGCTTTCGCCTTCGCCTCTTGACGCGCGAACGGGGGTGGGAAGGTGGGGAATGAAGACGTGAATAGAGAACAGACGAGAGGTGGAGGATTCTAACTTACACAACCCTGCATTTGACGTGTTCAGACGTGCAATGATGTGACGTGCTCCTGTCACATCTTGAAGCTGCGAGGCGCGTGCATAAGGATACATCTCAGATCCAAGAGGCTGCCTCTGTTCTGACTCTTCCTGCGCAGATGGGCTACTATGACCTGCACTTGGGGCAGGCGGAGCAGCAGGCACAGTCCTCGGAAACGTGCGACCCTGGTCTTAAGAATCAATATGAAGAAGAGCCACTTTCCTGCTGCAAACGCTCCGGAATCTAAGCACCCTGCAGCGCATCTGTCGGGGATGGCGTTGTAGGAGGTGGCGGGGGGATTGTCTGAGCACTCTCTATCCACGGGGACGGTGGCTCCTCCGCCTGCTGCCAAGTCCATTCCTGCCTCCTTCGCGGCTCGAAGATTGAACACTTTTCTGTTGGAGCAGCACAGGGTTTAGGGTTTAGGGTTTAGGGTTTTGGGTTTAGGGTTAGGGTTTTGGGTTTAGGGTTTAGGGTTTAGGGTTCAGCAGAGAGGAATGCAAAACGATTCAGTCCTCTTCCCTCTCTGCGGCGGCTGGGCCTTGGCAGGGGGCTCCTTGACAAACTCCTTCCGGCGCTTTCTGCCCGATTCCTCAGCTTGCAATAGCAAGTGGGCCGCCATCTGAATGCATTCGGGCTGAGGTGGTCGTCTTGCATCGTCGCTCACCTTCTCTTGCCGAGGTGCTGGGGTGCACAAGTGGCAATGTGTACACTGGTAAGCATTCCGACACCCACCAGGCTTCCACAACCATGCGCAGGGACGGCAAACGCCACTCGCATGGTCTCGCGAGCCTGCAGCTCCATGCCCTGCAAATGCACCCCTGGTTGCTCGCTTTGGGTCGCCGGCCTATCGAAGGAAGCGAGAAGTCCTCGTCCTCCGCGAAATGTCTTCGGCCTGACATCGGACGAAAAGCAACATGGCTCGAATACACTACGTCACTACGAGATCCCGAATGGCTTGTTGACAACATCACGCAGCCATCAATCCCCCCAGACATCTTGTCAGCCACGACGACATCTACTTCGCAGCAAAGGAGGGTTCCAACATGATCCACAAGTTGCATCGGTGAAGCGATCGCATAATTGTGTTTCAACATGGCGAAACTGAGCGCGAGACTGCTCTGCTCTTTAGAATATTGGTGATTCGAGCTGTAGGAACCTGCAGGCAACGGCGAGAGTCATGCTCAGCCAAGCGCTCATCATTTCAGAATCCAATGCACATTCCCAAGATTCTAGCTCCCTCTGGGCGACTGCCGGAAGTGTGGCAGATGTCATGGCGAGGATATGAACATGCGGTTGATGAAAGGGTTGATGCAAGTCGCACTTACGTACACTTCAGATTTTCCCGTAGGACGTTAGATGAAGCCCATTTGGCAGCGAAAACCTCCAGGATCACCAACCATGATGGGACATGGGCATGTGCACCACAGATGCTTCAACCCCAAACCCTAAGCCCTAAGCCCTAAACCCGAAACCCTCGAATGACCAGGGTACGCTGTCCCCCAGTTGGACCCTCACCCATGCTTCAAATCTTGGAGCTTGAAAACCGAAGCTCGCGTTGCCTTGTGGCCAGTCGTACAGATCGTCATGAAATTGTGCGGAGGAAACCTTCAGCTGGTGACACTTGCAAGGAGTCTCGGCCGGTGAGCAAAGGGTCCTAGCTACCATGTGCCAAACACATCTCCAGCACCTCCCCGAAAGGGCGTTCTGCTTGAGCAAACATCAAGATCAGCTCTGAGCATGACCTGCGATCAGATGCATAGCTTGCTGAATTCGTGAGCCTGGAAAGGCTCCTGGATCCCAATCCACAAGCCCTAAACCCTACGTGCGGCAACTGTGTCAGCAAGGGTAAGAAACCCTCTTTGGACAAAAAAGATCGCCTGGAGCCACGTGTCCTCAACCAGGCTCGGCTTCTAAACTCCCAGCTCTGGTCCCATTCGGCTTTCGACACACATCTCATGCTCCCCTAGAAGGGCTCCTGAACGCTCTTGATGTTCTAGCATCTTCTTGCGCTCTCTCTCTCTCTCTCTCTCTCACACACACAACTCTACTTACCCCGCGCCCCCTGCATTTTCTTCAGGCCTGCAGCCGCGCAGGTTACTCTGAAAATTGCTGCTGCAAACTCGTGGTGCAGGGGTGACACGAATCCATCTTGGAGTCCTGGCCACCTGCCATCACCAGAAGCCTTGCAGACTCTCCGCAGACAGCCCAACAGGCCCTCATTTTTTCGTTGCCGCCGCCCTTGCAGGGAACAAGCATGGGTCTCCACAGCGAAGAGCCACATGGAAGAGCTCAGCATCGGCACCTCTCAGCTTTCTTTGCTGCCAGCTCGTCGGCGGCCTTCTCATAGGCCGCCAGTTGGTCCTGTCACAAGCACTGGGCACTTAGCGTCACTAAGCCAGCACGGATGAGGACTTTGGAGCAAAAAGGCTTCCCCGCCTGCCAGGACTTGTCCTCCGAGCGCGCTCCTCTCTCGGAGCCTGTGCCGAAGTCCAGGGCCTCGCAGGAGTCCCCAAACTGCCCTCCTAACTCTCGATGCTGGTCGCGTGCTCCGCCCATTCGGCCCGCACACTGATGTCTTCTGATATGGGCTCGGCCCAGACCACCTCCCTCCCAGCTTTCCGAACTGACCGGTGGGCTGCTAGTTGGGCTGCTGACCGCACACGGGCGAAAAGAGGCTCATGAGGATCAGTAGCTGGTAGCGCGAGCGAGACTGAACTCGCATGGTATTTCCGTGCCATCCGGCAGGAGAAGGGGCTTTGTGCATAGCTTCTTGCCAAAAATTGCATGGGCACATAAACTGCAGGCACACCTTGATTGCCCACATCACCGGCTCCGGCAAGTTCAGGTCCTCAGAGAGCGGGCTGAACTGAACTCTCCAAAATGCGGGCACCACCCCCATCATGCCCCATCATCACGGTCCTGCCCAGCTCCGCGCTGGATCTTGCCCTCAACCAATGGCGTGTTGAAGCTCCACCTGCGCATTCATGCAGCAGATCTTGCGTCCCAATCCTCGCACATGCTGCCCCCCCTGCTGTCGAGAAGCCCATATAGCCCAGCCAGGGTCAGTAGGGAGAGCCAGAAGGTGGTTGACGCATCCTCCACCCGGACAAGATCGTCAAAGGAAAGCATGGCCAGGACTTGAAAACAAATGCCAGGTCAGTCTGTGTCCTTAAAAAGAATCGGCCCGAATATGCAAACCTCGGTCCACACCCACATCCAATGGCCGTTGGCTGCTGCTTCTGGCAGATCTCAGGCCATCACGAATGGAAGCACCTTGCCGCGCATTCGCTGAGACATGAAGCTTCGTGACTACTTCAAGCCCTTGCTCGCAGAAGGGCCCGCGCAAGAAAGGACAGATCCAGCGCTCGTTTCTCCTGAAGCACGTTTCGGGGGCATACTTTTGTCAGCGAACGAGATCGGAGGATCAAAGGTGTCTATGTATATGGCTTGTGGGTGCTCATGAACTTCTTGAGTCGGATGTTGCAAGGCCTCGTAGCCCATACCGTACGGACCGCCAGGCTTTCGCGCACGAAGGGCTGGCCTCATCCCGCCCACAGCAACTTGTTCTCAGCCAGCGTTTGTATATGGAACTCCCACCGGGCTGAGAGTGCTGCACTGTAAAGAGCCAGAGGCCCCAAACGCCGAACAGTTTGAGCCTTCGAGGGTTTAGGGCTGCACAAGAGCGGCAACAGCGGAGAGGCCGAAACTGCTGAGAGCTTCCAGGAACAGCGTCACGAACCGAGCCCGCCGCGCCAGCTTGGAGCCTTATTAGATGCCACTCTCACATGCATCCCACGCATACAGCTTGTAGTGACCAAGGGAAGCCTGAACAAAAGGTTGTAAAGCTTGGTATACAGTGCAGGGTTCGCTCAAAGCGCTGTCAAGCTTTCCTTTCTGGGAGGAAAAAAGCAGCCGGCCCTCCAAACAAGTGCAGCCACAGGCTCAACAGGCACGTGCAGCACAGCCTATTCTGAAATCCTTTAACCGAAGCAGAGCAACCAAGTTTGTTGATGCCAGCCCAGGTCAGGTCGGGTATCTCAGCTGACAGAGAAGTCGGCAACTCGGATACACTCTTGACTTGCAGCCTTGCCTCAGGTATGGCTCCTCTGAGCTCGAAACCCATGGGAAGGCGTCGTAGCACATAAAGCCAAATGCAAAAATTGACCTCATGTTGCTCCATGACTGGGATGTCAAGCCGTCACGCCGCATGTCAAGCATCACTGATATCTAGGAGCTGCCATCTTCGGGTCGAGGCAGGACAGCTTGCACCAAGAACCTTGGAGCGAAGAACATCTGCCTCTTGGCATCCCGGTAAGAGTTCTGCCGAGCCCGGGGCTCCAATTTGAGATTGTCTGTCATGACCAGCTTCATCTCATTCACAATCTGCGTGAGTTCAGATGCGCGACTAACGAACTACCTCGAAGGATCCCGAAGGTCAACACACCTGAAAGGTGCTCGCATGCTCATCTGCGCACAAAAGAACTTGCCACGTCAAGTCTGGTGATGTCCTTCATCTGCTTCTCTTCGATTTTGTCCTCGAGAGCATGGCAGCAAACATCCTCAGAAAGCACGTTGGTTCGGCAGGCGACAACAGCAGCCGGTGATCAGTATGCACGCACCAAAATGCATATATGACGCAGTCACACGCAGACCTGCATAGACACATACATGCAGCGGCACAACACACACACACACACACACCCACACCTACGCGCGCACACACACACACACACCCACACCCACACCCACACCCACACCCACACACACATACAAACATACACGCATACACGCACATGCACATACATGAACACATACATGCATACATACACATATCCCATCCATAGACACATAGACACATTAGACACATAGATGCATAGACACATAGACGCATAGACACATACACACAAACACACCACACACATGCACACTTGCACACTTGCACACATAACCACATCCAACTCACATAAACAAACGGACACACACACACAGAGACAGACAGACAGACAGACAGACAGGCAGGCAGGCAGGCAGGCACACGCACGCACCGACACGCAGACACACAGACACAGACATACAGACACGCAGACACGCAGACACACAAACGCGACAGGGAACACAGCCACAAACACACATGTGCGCACTAACCTCCCGAGGACCAACTTGTACATCACATTTAAGACGAACGGTATTCTGATGGCAGCACTCACCGCCCAATTCAAAAAAAACACGAAAACAAAGTTCACACATCACCACTTTCGGTCCACCCGACCCACCCGCAGCCCGAATTGCGCGGAGCTCAAGGGCAACTGGAAAACTGCGTGCAATGACTTCTCTGAAGCATCTCGGTGAGGCCCAAAGCTCCTAAACTGGGAATCTTGGGAAGGCCTTGTCACCGCGGCCTAATCGGTTGCACGCGCACGTTGCAACTGCCCCCTTTGAGCTGGGGGTCTTGACAGCCCAAATGGCCACATATTATATAAAAACGCATCAGCCATCTCTGGACTCACACAGACAACCCCTTGTAAATCGCACGATCACATATGGAGAATGTTGAATGTAGGTTGTCCGGTCTCCACTTCCAAACGCAGCCGACTCCTGCAGAGAACCTCTGCATATGAGGCATCCCTTATTTGAACAACTTACAGTGCTGTAGACTAATACCCTTCAGTTCGGCTTTTGAAACAGCCGACTGACATGTTCAATCGGTCCCGAAACTCAAAAAAACGATTGCTCGGCCTCTAGCTTCTTTCGCTTGTCGGTGTCTTCGTCTGGTGTCGCCTCGAGGGACATAAGGCAAGGGACAGCACATGCGTAGAGAGCTTACAAACGGTGCGCAATGCCTTGAGCTGGGCCCGTAGAAGGATCACCTCGCGCTCGGTGTTCACGATCGTGCCCGGGTTCAGGACCATGTCTAACGTCCTTAGACAAGAACGCAGACTGCCCGCCTGAGACAAGAGGAAAAAAAGCGGCAACAGGACCCGGCAGGTTGCTGGCACCGTTCATCTCGCGCAGCCTGTCCTCCAGGTCCAGCACCTTTGTGAGGGCGGCACGGCATTAAAAATTGTTATGCATAAAAAATTATACAAACAAATTATGACACACAGCCCTCAGGTCTGAGAACGCTGCCAGGGGGTCATCACCTGAGACTTCTTCGAAGAAGGGCTCGAGCTCCTCTTCGAGAGCACACCCACAAAAAAGATCTAACAAACCCAAGTACAGGGGCAGGGCTTTGGCAGAGCTTCGACCCCTATGCACCTCCGCAGGGAAGCCTTGAATTTAACATCAACTCTTGGGCTCAGACGAACTTCCGTCAAACCAAGCCCTTCGGCGCACGCGATTTTCATTCTCGATTCGTTTGTCCAGCATGCCAAGACACTACCCTGCCGCTTGCCTGGAGTACAACCCTGCTGATGCCGCACCCCGATACATCCCCACGCTCCCTGATGCCAACGAAGATCTAAACGGGGAGTTTCCCACAACAACATCCTCAACAACATCCTCAACGAAATCAAGGTAGACTTCCTCCAATTGTCCTCCCACTCCCGCCAGATGCTCCAATCCGAGAACTAGACATAAACTCAAAACTCCAACACACCGCCATTGCCGCGACTTCCAAGCTTGAGCTATGCAGTGCTCGTCATTACACAACCAGACACAAAACAAAGGGGCGCCTCCACCTCTGCCACGCTGTTCTGGGACTGCTCAGCCTATGCGCCAAGCTTCAGTGAACTGTACCAACATGTTGGATCAACTTGGACTGGAGTGAGGGCCGGCCGGAGTTTGCTCCAGGAACCAATGGCTTTTGCTTCATCAAGCAGAAGCATACAGCAAAAAAGGCATCGCCGTGTCCGCACACAGCCCCGCCATGAAATCAACGAGGTCCTGGCCCTCATTGCCACTGCAGTCGCCCGCTTGCCCGCCATCCTCCTGACGTTTGGGACGGCTTCAAGGTTCCAGGCATTATGAAGTATACGACCCATGGGAGCCTTGTCCAAGTACACCTCACGCTCTGGAGTCGGGCCACCCCAGACCTGATGGCACTAAGGCACCGAACATACCGAACTGAAAGAGGTTTTCTGCAGGTCAAGCAACTAAATCAGCCAAGTGCACAAGTGCAAAGAAACTGTCTGTTTCTCCACACAAAAAGCAGTGTGAACTTTCCTCTCACTCCTCAACTGAAAAATAGCCGAGGGGATGCCTTCGTAATTTAGTGGAGAGGAACCGGCTACCTGCACACGCTGCATCTTCCGCGCGTTGCCCCGACAGTTCCACGTTATCTTTGTGACCTTGTTTGGCGCATCAATCCTTCCAAGACCCTGCCCTGGCGTGGCCTCTTGACCATGACACCCGTCGCCACAAGCACCGCGGCAGCAGCACGTGGCAATGGCACACCTTAACCCAGAATCTTTCCCACTGCTGCATTCTTTCGCCCCGGTTGGCGAAGCTCCCTGAGGTCACGTGTAACTCACGAAAGCCTACGGTAGCGGAACTTCCAGCTCCAGCGCAAACTCTGCTGCTCCCGAGCTGCCTAGTACTTGCTGGTTACTTTGTACTTCAGGCCCAGCCAATCCAGCCAATCCAGCCTTGCTCTGGCGCTTGACGCGTTGCTCGCAGAGGCGTCGAGGCAATCCTCCAAAGAAGGATCTCATTCACGATGCTCCCGCTGCTTCGGGAAGGAAAAATTGGAGGCGTGCAGTTCATGCTGAGGGCACCGCTATGCAAAGACCGAACCGGCCTCACAGCAGGCGGCGCAGGCAGCGCAGGTGACCCCGCACCCATAGGAAACGCCTTGCAGTGTCTGCGGTGTTGGCACTCGGGGGGCGCAGTGAAAACGAGGCGCCGGGTCACAGCCGTGAGATCATGATAGCGTCACATGGTGCCCAAGTCAGACATGTGGCAATAGATGTCCTCTGCTCGTTCCAATGCTGATTTCGCACACTTAAGGAGCCCGACCTCGGTGAGGGGCGCCATGGCACTTGCAAGGGCGTTGGCACGGAAAACAAGTTCACAGCCTCAAAGCGGGCTGAAGCTCGTGCTAGATGCGGATCGCGATAAGCTCAGCATTCTTCTTTCTAGGGTAGCCATGATGTCATGAAAGCTTGTGCTTGCTTGAGAGAAAGGCATCGGACACCGACAAAGTCAAGAACAGCAGGCTGCCAAGCCATTGACAAGGAGCCAATGACGGTTGACACTGCATGGCACAACCATCCTGGCTTTGAAAACTTCAAACCCATTCAATTCAACAATTCTACATCCACACCCCCACCGCTGTCCACACGTGCCCTGTTCTACAAACTTCATCAAACGCAAAGGATGTATTGGCCATCTAACATCTAGTGCATCCACTGTAAGAGGGATGAGGTTTCACTAGGCTTTAAAGAGTTCATGCCATAACTACCGCGTCTCCTTGCCTTCCAAGAAAAGCGCACACACTCCATGTCCAAGCCATCTCTTCCCTGCGTGTTCCACTGTATCGCCGACATCAAGTTCTGTGTGATTTTCCTTTTGGTTCCCATTGCATGACAATATTGGGGTCTCGACGCGAATCCAGCAGCATCTCGATACTTCTAGTAGAAGACACCGGCATTCAACAATGCCGCATGAGCACTAAACATGCACAAGCACCAGGCACAAGGCACGAGAGAAAAGACAAGATGAATTTCAATTGCCTGGACCCTCCTCCTGCACTCTCGTGTACTCGGCACTGGAAAAGCCCAAGCCGGTGCGCTACGGCAGCAGCTTTGGGTGCTTGCAGACAAGGTGCTCGGACCAAGGTAACGACCGGAAAATGGCCCATCTTCACTGACAACGGAAGCGTACTATGCTGGAAATCATCCGTATGAGTGGCCAAAATGTCGCTCGGCCCTATCTGGCACCTTGGTCACCTTGTCTGGAGGGAGGCTATGCAATAGCCACGGGTGCATTTGCGATAAATGTATCAAGTGATCACACTGCAGATCGTCACGAGCTAGGGCTGTGAGTGGCCGACCCTGCTGTGCCCTCGACATGGGGTGATAGCATCGAGAATCTACATGTTGGCTAAACACGTAAGAGTTGCCGAAACCCAATCGTGCTAGGCCATTGGTCGTGGAAGCCCCTCAACTGAGATCACTTGCTAGACTCACCTGCCTGGCAGCACCAAGTAGCATCTCAGATGTTCAGTGCTGGCCCCGAGCCGGAGCCGGATATGCCAGTGCCACGATTCAACCAGCCTGCACGAACTTCGCCGGATCACCAAGGTATGTGTTGCCTCAGGTGAGAGAACATGGGTAGCACATGCGATACAAGTAGCACACGGATATATGCAGCCGAAACTTTCAGCTTCCCTTGACGGGACATTTCTGCCCAACTGCAATCGTCTGGGGACCCTGCGCTCCTCCATAAGCTTCTGGAAAGCGTGCTTTGCAGCCTGGGGGGTTGCTGCTGAAGAACGTTTCTGCTTTTAGCCCGCTGTATTTCAGCACGAGCAGATTGCTCACGGGCATACGGTGTTCTTGCACTTGTAGATAAGCTTCGGTGAACAGACGTAGCTACCGACATGCATGACATGTATATGGAGAGAGGGAGGGAGAAACAGTGTTGCATGACGCAGTTACGCATTGACAAGTTCCATGATGGGAACCGAAACACGTCGACGCTGCGGCACTGAAAAGATCACGCCTCCTCGCATTCTGTGTTTTTGTCTGGGTGAAGTTGCCTTAGCGTTTCCGTTGTACAGATACACTTCTGTCAGCTACCTTGCAAGGGAACTTGGGCACAATGCCGCTGCAAATCGCGGAAGATCAGCTTCCGCACCTGCCGAGACTCGGCGAGTGCAACAAGCGGCATAAAGCCGATTGGGGCGCAGTACAACCACTGCTCTGCCTGAAGCGGCTCTTTGCAGGTGTGTTGTAGTTGCTCCCGCATTTCCGTCACCAGCAGGTCCGCCTGAGCTTCGGGGTCCTGCACAAACGAAAGCCATCACATTGAAACATGGTTTTTGTTACTTGTATCTCCAAAAGGACACGAAATTGTGCACACTCACCAAAGTTCATAGGGAACCCTCAATACACTCACCAATAACAGAACTACAAACCCTGTTTCACATGAGACTGGCCGGGAGGAAAGAAGGGTGTCATCCTTGCTGGGGGAACTGACGGGTTGATCCTGTCGCCGACGGAAAACCTCAGATTCACATGCCAAGGAATCTCCGCACATGATCGTGAAGGAACAGCAGGCAAAGTTCCCAACCCATGCCGCAGCAGTAGCTGCGCGCTGCTGGAACCTAGCCAGGAGTTGGCTTCTTCGCACAAGGTTGGGCTCGGGATCCCTAATATTCCAAGCTACTGTAGAGCTGGGTCTCGCACGTGACGGGTGGCGTCGGGTGGATTGGCGGGGCGTCACGAACACGTGCCTGGCTACTGCTGAATCCGCTAGTGTTCCGTTCTGAGATGCCATAACCGGTGCCACGACTCGGAGCCAACAAATCCTCCTGGTTCTTAGTAGGGAATGTGGGAATGAGGGCCCTATATCATCCCTTAAAGGGTATATATAGGGCCCTCATTCCCTCATTCCCTACTAAGAACCAGCCAGAAGTTGCTGCCAGAAGCCACAAATCGGCCTTCAAGGGAGTTGGTCGCACAAACCTTGCAGTGCGTGCGAGGGGACGGCAGGGAAATCTCTACAAGGAGACGGCTTGGAGAACCCTTGCATGTTCTCTATGCGGGGACGCATGAGCTATTCAGCCAAAAATCTCTCCGTTGTCTGACAGCCATGCACCTCGGGAATATTTGGAGACACGGTACGCATCATTGCACCATCCAGCGGAGTACGAACATGCATCTGCATGTCCATAGGGTGGATATCGTAAGGTCCCTGCTTTGTGCCGGTTCCGGCCTGCATTTCCACGCAAGCAGATGTGTCCACATGTGTCCAGATGCGGTAGCCACAGGCCATGCACAGCAACACTGATCCTTGAAGCGGCTGTGTAAGTATGTGCTTCACCCTAAGCCATGGAAGGACTGCAGGGGACTGTCGGAGATACTCACTTAGGAGCCACACGGCCACGCTAACCTGAAGGAATGCTTGAAGTCAAGTGGTGCGGTTAGTACTGTGGCCAGCGAGATAGAATTCGGACAGGACCGCATGCGGTCCACGGTGTGGTCCTCACTCACCATGACCAACCCTTGGCCCCTGGCCCCAAAGCAGTGGCTTAGCGTACCCCAGGCCCTCTTTTTAGGTGGTTTTGTGAACCTGTGCCTTGAGTATGTCGCGGTGGATTCTTCGCCTGCCGGCGACGCGCCCCTCTCTGAGATTACTGTACGGACCTAACCTGTTGGCCGCGCTCTGTTTTGCGCGCTGCATGGCGCACCTCCTAAGGATCCAGGAATCCATTGCTCGGAGCCGACCGTCCAAGAACCTCACGCCAGGCGCTCGGTTCCAGATTATTTCCCGCGGGAGACACAAGCTTGAGCTGCACACGCTTCAGCCGCGCAGGCTTCACCTTGCCACTGGCCGGTATGGAAGCCGAACGCGGACCAGGCAATTCCCAGTCCTGAAGCAGACGAGCACCTGTTGATAGTTTACAAAGATAAAGGGACCCCTACAATAGACCCGCTAAATAGCAGGATTCCCTTATAATCAGGACCCCAATAAGGTACCCCTGAATTCGAAAACCCCCTGTTCAGCATTCACCAGGGATTTACGTAGACCGACGCTGTCCTGCACCAGCTCCGGTCTCCACACCTCGCAAAGGTCATTCCGAAGCAAAGCAACCCGACCGGAATCGCATGATTGCTGCCTCGAAAATAAGATTGGACTGGTTGGTGTTTGCCCAAACTTCCTGCGGCAACAACAGCGCAGTAGCAGGTGCGCTGGAGACAGTGCTCAAATCGAAGCAGGAAGCAACCATCAGAAACTGTCAAGATCTCTCAACTGTCAGCAACGGGCCTCTGAGGCAACTGGCTGGGTCACTTTTTCGATCAACTACATGTACTGTACTGCACTGTGTGCAGTATTACAGTAGCTGTCAGGGCCCTGAGGCCGCTGAGCTCCTTGTGGGGCACGTCCTGGCGCCTTCGGGACCTCCAACGGTCGAAATCTCCCCACATGCCCGGCTTGCGCACGGATATTTGGGGGGTTTACGAAAATAGGGGTGGCCCTATAATCCAATCTTCCAAATAGTAGGATGCCCTTATGATCAAGATCCAAATGAGGTACCCCTAGTTTCGCAAACCCTCATATGGTCTACTCTAGCTCCCATTTCGGTGCTTTCCGCACCAGTCTGCCCTGACCTGTGCGATTGCTTGCTTAAGTCTCGAAACAGGCAAACCTTTCCTGGCAAGAAAGAGATGTTCTCTCTACACATACCTCAGTCTGGTCATCTGAAATAGCAGCCCCGTACCGCGACCTTCCGAACTTCTGCACCTCAGACAAGTGGACGAATCCCAACCATCGAGACCATGTCATGACTCAGAGGACACTGTGGCAATTTGTCTTCTTAAAAGGCGCAAATAGGGATATGCATGCTGAGCATGCTACGTTGGATGGGCTGCTGAGAGCCTCACGCTCCTGCGGAGACGGAGCAGGCATGGCTGAAAACATGCAAACAGGTGCTAAGATTTAGAGAGCAGGGTTCTACAGCTGCGGCTGCTCGGAAGCCCCCAACTCCTCCGCAACCAAGATTGCAGCAGCTGTGGCCTTCAACATGCAGAACTTTGCCAGGACATGGTGTCCCCGCAGGTCAGGAGCTCAAAATTCTCGGCCCGCTGCATCTCGCAGATCTTCCATCCGAATCTGGGTTTAGGGTTTAGGGTTTAGGGTTTAGGGTTTAGGGTTTAGGGTTTAGGGTTAAGGGTTTAGGGTTTCGGGTCTAGGGTCTAGGGTTTAGGGTTGAGGGTTGAGGGTTGAGGGTTGAGGGTTGAGGGTTGAGGGTTGAGGGTTGAGGGTTGAGGGTTGAGGGTTGAGGGTTGAGGGTTGAGGGTTGAGGGTTGAGGGTTGAGGGTTGAGGGTTGAGGGTTGAGGGTTGAGGGTTGAGGGTTGAGGGTTGAGGGTTGAGGGTTGAGGGTTGAGGGTTGAGGGTTGAGGGTTGAGGGTTGAGGGTTGAGGGTTGAGGGTTGAGGGTTGAGGGTTGAGGGTTGAGGGTTGAGGGTTGAGGGTTGAGGGTTGAGGGTTGAGGGTTGAGGGTTGAGGGTTGAGGGTTGAGGGTTGAGGGTTGAGGGTTGAGGGTTGAGGGTTGAGGGTTGAGGGTTGAGGGTTGAGGGTTGAGGGTTGAGGGTTGAGGGTTGATGGGATGTTGGTGGCACACCAGAACGCTACTTCATAACACTGGAATGAACCGTCCACACAGCTGAGACTCGCACGGTAGGCTTTCGCGGCACTTCTGGGCCTTAGCAGCCCGCATGTCTCCGAACTCAACAGATTTCCCGTGGCTGTTTACCTGAGATCCCGGGCTCGTGAAGGGTCGCGGCCTCTGCCTCTGCAAGTAAACCTGGCGCAAAACTCATTCGCACAGCCACGCCTTTGGTTCAAAAGGATTCGAAGAGTCTCCGTGCATCGTTTTTGCTACGCCCGAGAAGAAGCACAGCTGTCAGTCCATGTAGCAGCCATAAATCCATAACTCCTTCCTGTCCCAGGTCATGAAGACAGATTCCTGTCCCTTGCACAGGCTGAGCCCATACACCGGCTGAGGACACCGTGGCAGCAAATAGCCGTGACGAAGGGAGGGTCTGCGCCGCAGTACATCTTCGAACTCACCTCGACCCGAGCCTGTGCATATCAGAGCTGCGGTCCCCTCATCCCAGTTGATTTGCCGCATGAGCTCTGCACAACCACCTTGGCTATCTAGGAACTTCAAAACATGTCAGAAGCAATGACAGAAGCCCACGAACACAAATAAAAAAAAAATCCACTTTTGTTTACACCTCTTGGCCAAATGCCAGACCTAGAGACGCATTTGCAGCTCCCACTCCATGAAAGGTACCTTGCGGCGGAAAGGAGTGGCCTCTGGTTGGTTCCTAGATCCAGGGCTCAGCCACGTGCTCAGTTCTCTAACTTATGGCACCCTGTGTCACAGGGGCCGCCTTAGAACAGGGACCCCAAAAAGCGACCACACTTTAGAGAATTGACCACATACCTGCAAGGACGAGAGAGCTCAAAAAAGCCCTACCCTGCGTTAGGAAAGAGAGGCGAAACCCTGAACCCCAAGCCCTCAGCCCTCAGCCCTCAGCCCTAAGCCCTAAACCCTAAACCCTAAACCCTTTTTTTCTCACAAGGGACTCGACTGCTGCCCTTTCTGCCCAGCCCGCCCCCACACCAGAGTGCCTATGACTGCAGGGCGAGAGTAAACCCTAAACCCTAAACCCTAAACCCTAAGCCCTAAGCCCTAAGCCCTAAGCCCTAAGCCCTAAACCCTAAACCCTAAACCCTAAACCCTAAACCCTAAACCCTAAACCCTAAACCCTAAACCCTAAACCCTACCCAAAACCTCTTCAACCTCTTTAAGTTGGGCTCAAGACGGCCGTCCACTGACATCAGCGTCTCAAGTCGGGCACTGGATTACGGATAAGAGTACTTGGCCTCACGGTTGAGACTGCGAAGTGGTTTTTTTGCGCAGGGTTCAGGCTTCGTGGCCTTTCGGTGCGCAGATTGTCGGTTTTTTAAGTCATCATGGCTCGAAGTCAGCCTTGCAAAGCCACTTGGCATTTCCTGCCTTTGCCGTGGGCCACGGGCTCACATGATCCTACATCACCTTTGGGCTCAAGGAGTTTATTGGCAACAATCTCATGAAGTCAATCCGATAAAAAAATAAGAACCAAAAAGGTGACTGGAGGTTTCGTCGAAAGCAAGGGTCGTGCTCCTGAGCCGTCGCCTGCAGCTCCTGCACGAAGGTGTCTGCATCAGGGCAACCGTGCCGCGTGTGCTGCTGCCGCATCTGGAACACCGCCCTTGAGTTGGCTCCTTATCAGTCAGCTTCCTGTGAAACTCGGTGAAAGCCCTATGAAGCTCGTAAAGCCAGCAAGTCCAAAGACGCAAAAGTCTGGCTGCGAAGCAAGTGGCGGAGGTACAAGTCACTCACCAGACGTCCAAGGAGAGGAAGCGCACCCGGAAGGTCCAGAATCCAAACATTGTAGGAGGAATCGCCACTTTCCTGACTCTTGGTATCTGCAGCCTGTCCTACGAAAGATACCCGATACAATGATACAACCTATTTCGTGCCATCATCCCTTGCAGAACTTAAGGCTCATGAAGCTGGGCCGCAAAATCTAACCAATCCTTGAAAGGCAGCTCACCTTCGCTGAACCAATCACGCGACGGCCAAAGCTTGTACATATCTGCCGCCGACCGAGTTTTTTTCATGGGCAGCTGGTTCAGAGACGGGCCATGCTTGTTCCATATCCTCACCAGCTCACCTGAGCCACATGGCAGATGCAGCTCCCATCATGGCGATGGAGAAGTATGAGTCTTGCTGACTGGGCACACAATAAGGCTAGCTGCGCCAGGCTGCCGTTGAGCTGCTGGACATCAAAGGATTGAAGCAACTCATCGCTGTAGCGCCACTCACGTTCAACCACGGCTCTGGCCACCCGGCTGCACCGTGCCACGCGAGCGCACGCCGTTGCATCCAGCAAGCAGGCAACCTTCAGAGGCCCACCACCGAAGTCGAAGCAAGCTGTCGCCATAGGTGTCCGACCAGATTGCGAGGCCAGGAATTTGTTACTTAGTTTCTCGCGGCTTGAGTTGGGAACACCCTTATTTCAACAAAACATCCACCTCGTATTGAGGAAGTGCTTCTGGCTCCTGGGACTACCAATGCCGACATGACAACGTGCCTACCACCCTGAGCGACCAGACACACACTGACACGAGACTGGTGCTTCTTTTCTCGCTCTTGCTCTCTCAGGCCTCTCCAAACCCTGAACCCTAAACTCTAAGCCCTGAGCCCTAAACCCGAAACCTCCCAGGCTGGGATGCATCCAGTGCTTATCTCAGTACATCTGGCCCGAAGTAAACAGGCCAGGAAGGGCTGTACAAAGGTCCTCCACAGTGAAGCGCCCCTTTCCAGAGGTGATACTCGCATTTTGGGGTTTAGGGGTTTAGGGTTTAGGGTTAGGGTTAGGGTTTTCGTCGCTCACTCTCGCACAAGGCAGGCAAGGTCCGTCGGTCCGAATAGGCTAAGTAGGCTAATCTAGGGTTTTAGCGTTTAGGGTTTAGGGTTTAGGGCTTATGGTTTAGGGTTTTTGGGCTTCGAGTATCATGGGGTTAAGATGACAGCCATATGAAGCACCTCAGGAAGCCGGGATGACAAAATATCTGTGGCAGGACGTGCCCACTCGAACTCGTCATCGTCCATAATCTGTCGCACAGGTCATGGCAAAACACCGATCACCACAAAATCCAACAGCAGGAAAAGCAGCGCGGCCTCAGACTCCAAGACTGTGCGGACCTGAAGAATAGCAACTTCACAGCAAGAAAGCCCCCAAAGGTCGTCATGGTTGTCTGCAGCACTTCTTGGGGCTTCGGGTGGCAGGTTGGCTGCTACACACCATGACACCCCAGGGCCCCTCTAAAGAGATGCCTGCCGGCTGCGAGGAAGCCCTTCTTCCTGCTAGAACAAGCAGGAAGACCGCAGGAAATTCACGCATCCTGCAAACACAGCAGTGCAAGCTCTCCGCATCCTGTGAGCAAGCGCTCATTGGTCGTAAAGCTCCCCTGCGGGTGCAAGCATCTGCAAGCATGTGCAAACAGCGCAACCTTAGGGTTTAGGGTCTAGGGTTTAGGGCTTAGGGAGATTTAGGCCACGGTTTAGGGTTTAGGGTTTAGGGATGTTTAAGGTTTAGGGTTTAGGGTTTAGGGTGTAAACCCTTCAAGTCAAACTCACCGCCGACATGCAACTGCATGCTGGGCCAGCTACTTTTTGTGCGGGTGCCGAGCTGCTGAGGCGCCTGTACTTTGTGCTTAAACCCGAAACCCTAAACCCTAAACCCTAAACTCTATATAAACCCTAAACCCTAAACCTTGTGCTTAAAGGAGGCCATGTCTGTGATCTGATCACTCTCTGGGGCGGCTCCCGGCTTTGCCGAACCTGCCCTATGGCCCTGAGCTGCTTGGAGGTTCATGGTATTTACGAGCCAGTTATAGAACTGTATAACTGTTTAGGGTTTAGGGTTTAGGGTTTCTGGTTTGGGGTTTGGGGTTTGGGGTTTGGGGTTTGGGGTTTAGGGTTATAACTGTACTTGTTCCTGTACTTATAACCCATATTAGGGCACTTAAGGGGCTTATAAGTGGGCTTATAAGTACAGTTATACTTGGTTCATAAGTACCATGAACCTCCAAGAGCAGCACGCAAAACTCAAGCGGAGTGTCAACTCGAGCCAGGCTCTGGGATGACTGTGCTCGCCCCCCCAAAACCCCCCCTCCCCCCCCAACATCTACCGGTGCACTTCTTTAGGGTTTAGGGTTTAGGGTTTAGGGTTTAGGGTTGAGGGTTGAGGGTTGAGGGTTTAGGGTTTAGGGTTTAGGGTTTAGGGTTTAGGGTTTAGGGTTCAGGGTTTAGGCTTCCAGATTTCCACCCTCTGACTTGCCAGATTTCCATACTTTCGGCTTTCCAGCCTTCCAGATTTGCACCCTCTAAGTTTCCAGTTTTCCAAGTATTTCTAAACACATATTGCGGGCCTCCACTCCACAGTCCTATCTAGTGGCTCGGCTCCGCTCTCCATGAACGCGCAGGACGCCTCCTGCTTCAGAAAGCGCTCAGCTCGCCCAAAGGCAGCTCGCTCCATTAACGACACATCTGTAGGCAATCGCGGGTCAGAAGATTTCCAACTCGGCGTGTGGTCTGCCGGCTTCGGCCTTCCTCCGAAAAGAATCAAGGAGTTCCCCTTAAGGCTCTTTGTGAAGACATTTTTTGAGAAGATTTTAGAGCTGACTTTAGAGCCGGGCACCCGTGCGGCAAAGTGGCAAACGCACAGAACAACAACAACAGCCAAGGCTACGCTGCAGCTGAGGATCCACTGCTCAAATGTTGCGGCCAGCCCCTTCGTGTATCTCATGTGCCACAGATCCACTTCTTCCTGGGATGGCACCGGGATGTGCGGGCACCTTCCGGACATGCAAAGGTTGCTGTCAGCACACAACAGGCACCAAGGGTTTCAAGTAGCTTCAAGCAGCATAATAATAATAACAATGATAACAATAATAACAACAATATATTCTTGTTATTATAAGAATAGTAATAATAATAATAATAATAGTAACAAGGGTGGGGTTGGGGCGATTCATGCCCCTGCCCAGGCGCTCTATCGCGTCGCCGATCACCGTCAGCATCCTGGCCTTCCCAAGCAACAACGCTACGGCACGGTCTCCTTTCCTACCTGGGGGGTGTAGGAAAATAAGGGACTTAGGGTTTAGGGTTTAGGGTTTAGGGTTTAGGGTTTGGTTGTAGGGCCCCAAATAGTAGGATTCCCTTAAGAATAAAGGACTGCAATATGGCACCCCTAAGTGCGGAAACCCCTACATGGGCCCCAACGTCTCTGGCGTGTCGGGCCTGGCGTCTCGGCAAGAAGGGAGCCGTCCAATCGCCAAAGAAAGCGATCTGCTGCACAGCTGCGTAGGACCACTCCGACAAGAGAATGCCAAACTGATGCAACAGATAGGCAGAAAGAACTATTCTATTTCAGAACTCTTGAGGCAGCAAAGTCGCAGCAGGAATCTTGAATTGGTTCAACCTTAGAACAGCGTGTGGCGGGCACCCCTGCCCCCCCCCCCCCCCCCCCCCCCATGCTGCTCACGCCGTGCTTGTCTTTCTTGGCCCGGAGCCATAGGCGAAAGTCCAGCAGCCCTGGTGCGAACCAGTACGTCTCGTCCTCTCCGAAGGAATACACGGGATGAATCCTATAACCATGCCTCGGCAGGACAGCGTACTGGGTGAACGCCCCCTCTCGCAACCCGAAGAGTCAGCAGAGATTCACTCGGCTCCCAGCTGTAAGCAGTACTTGATGATGCCCTTCCTGGATTTCAACACTACCCGATCTCTTCCAGTTTGGCAGACCTTGCTGGAAGCTTGCCAGATCTTGCACTTGAAGGCATGTACGTACTTCTCACATTTATGCACACCCACATCCCACTGCTACTGCATGTCTGCCTAACATGTTGAAACTGGAACTGGACGGAACTGTGATCCTTCCATCGGTGTCGGTTTCTCAGAACTTAAGTCAACCATTCTCCTCACCTCCTTACCCAGTGTAGCGCAGCCCACAGAGAGCCCCGCCGCATCTTCGCAGTCCTGCCTGTCCCTGAGCGCCCACCCCGAGAGTGCAAGCCTGCGGAGAGTCCCGCTGACTATTCCTGGAGTGCACCAAAACCAACCCTAAACCCTAAACCCTAAACGTTTGTTTTCGGAAATCCCACCGGCGGCCTGAAGCAAGTAGGGCAGGGAAGGGCTTGCAACTACATTCTCATGCATGCTGCCGTGGCACTGTCGCTTCTTCAAAGCCGCCAAGTGCTATCGCTACCTGGAATCAATGACCAAGAGCCGACAAAGGGCCGAGCGAAAGTGCAAGAGCACAATCTTCAATGCTTCTGAAGGCGTTGGGAGATATATTCTGCTGATGACATAGCATGAAACACCCACCGAAGCTGTTTCGGTGTCATATGTGCCAAACACCAAGAAAGGCGCACACAAAAACAAGGAAACAATGCTCAAGATTTACAGAACCCGATCAAGGGCACAAGTGCCACATCATATACGGTATGCTAGCTGCATGTGGGATGGCTGGACCAGGGCAGTATACACACAGAGATGGATTCTTTGAAGTGCCAAACTGTCGAGTTCCTCTCCCCCACATGCCATACCCCGCGGCATGCACGAAAGCTGATACGGCAAGAAGAAAAGTGGCGCGGGCACCACACACCCCAGATCTGCGCAGAATCGATGACACGGAAACTGCCCACAACGGGGCCTCTAGGCCCCTGCACCTGCATGGTGATGGGCATGAACTGCTTGGTCTGTGCGCTAAGATGAGCTGAGGCCGTAAACAAACACTTCCCTGCATCAGCTGACACTACACCAATCTACAGTCACATTGCGAAGGCATCGATTCAACAGCTTGGCGTTCACAAAAAAACCGTTCTTTCGACAGGCACTCTCCCTGTTTCAAATTGTGTATGCGCAGTCAGCCAAGCACGATTTCACATCAACATGTCATAGAATGCTCACAACTTATCAGGCTCTTCATGGGCGTGAGCCCGTTCACGACACATTTCTCGCTTTGACTGGCAGGCAACGTTCGCCCCTTCGGACATCAGCTTGTGCACAGTGGACTTGTTGGCCGTTGACATCTGACAGGGAACACGGGACTCATCCGAACTCTGACCTGTAGGGACAGGCGCAAACCTGGCCTGCCAAGAGCCCGTCGTATACCTTTCGCTGGGGATTTTTGTTACGCATTGAGGACAAGCCTGCCCGACATCTAGATGCGATATTGCAGAACAAACATGCACTATTATCCGTGCAAACAGGGAGCGTGTCGCAGAACATGCGAAAGATGGGGTTGCCGTTCCGCAGGAAATCATCGATCAAAAATGCAATCTTGGCCTTATACAAGCGTCACCCTGCTTTTCACGATCCCTAAAAGCAAGTGCAAGCATCTGCACAGCTCTATGAAGAATACTTGTCAGGTTCCTGAAATTGGACAGGCCAACCATCGAACCCCACTGACAATCTGTGACACCCACACGCGCTCCTCGTAAAGCAAGCACATGCAAGCATGGCCTACTGTGACCTCCTCCTGAGCAACTTGTTTTCACACTCCCCAGGTGCCGTCACGTCGCTGATTTGCCCACGAACTTCGTGTCGAAGATGCCGTTGACGGTGAAGCCAAGGCACACCGCCCCATGTGGATGGAATGCAAATAGCGTCTTCTCCTCGAGAGGTGCTGCTCTGCAAGTTTCTTACGGAGCTCGGGACGTGGCTTGCAGCGTGCAAACTCAGGTTGCAACCGGCTTCACGTCGTCGAGGCATCCGCGCAGCTCACATCTCGCCAAGAACTTCTTGAAACCCTGATCCTCCATCCAGGAGAGGAACCTCAGCAAACTGTGAGGCACAGCACCAAAGAAAGCCACCACGTGGCATCCGAAGCGATCTCGCTGTCACTGCTGTGACCTAGTAGGACCAAGTCGCCAAGGCCGGGCAGGGAATCGCAGGTCGAAGATCACAGGTGCCGCAAAGACGAAGACGCTCAAGCAAAAGCAGAGGCTCAACGGGCCTTGCACGCCAAGCCTACTGTCTCTTTTCGTGTTCACAAGCAGAGACTGGCCTTTGGCTGCACCGACGCAAGTCATCGCCAGCCAAAAACCTGCCAGAATTTTGGAATCTTCTCCAGCCACACCCCTATCTCAAGCATCCGGGCCTGATCTCAACTGCCAGCGCGGCAGTTTATACATCCTCGGGGGCGCAGGCCAATTGCTTCCGCACTGAGCCCGAGGGCCTAAATAGGAAGCCCAAGCAGCGTCAAATATGACGGAACTACGAGGAAGCCCATGAAGTTCATCCTGGCAGTCCCACTGGCACTTGCCAAGGCGGCCCCACCAAAAGACTAGATAGACTCATCGCACTTTCGCAACTTAAGGGTTGGGGGCGAAACAAATCAACGAACAAAGGCGAGCAGGTAGCGGGCAGCCTGGCCAGGAACACGGCCGTCCACACGACTAGAAGCACTGGCCCTGACAGCCATGAGCCCACAACCTCAGGCAGGCAATACGGAAACAGCCCGTCTCTTCACTCTGCCTAAACTACGCCGCTATGCCATCTATAAGTTGAACGCTTTTTTTGGCTTGGTGCATAACGTGGCGTTCGGATCGGATGGCAGGTAAAGCCGTTTCCAAAAACGTCACGATGAGTGCCGACGGTTCCTCTTTCTTTGTGCGGATGCAGTGGTCTCTGGCGTTGGCGATGGGTAGGCAGGGCAACGATTCAGCTCTGTGATTTCGGATCATGGGGTTCCGTGAACTGGCTCGCCGTACTCGGATCAGCCCACCGACGGGGGTTTAGAGTCATGGGAGCAGAGTGGGATGTGTAAGAGAACTCCAAGATCATAGGTTTTGCTTCCGTTTCGGTGCTTCGGGCTCGGAAAACAGGCGCCGGAATCTGAGGGCAAACCCCTTCAAACCCAAGAATTTCAGGGCTTTGCCCCACGCAGATATGCCCTAAGCACCGAAGCCAAAGAACAATTTATGCTCTTGAGTTCTCTTGTGCCCACTTTTCTTCAATGACTGGGAAAGCTTAAACCCTAAACGGTAAACCCAAAACGGATGTAGCGACCTGCGACTGCTACAAAAAAATTGCTCGGAGCTGAAACCCTAAACCGCAACGCAATGTGAAGCCTGCACTACCTCCCCGCCCCCCCCCCCCCCCCCCCGCCAGTGTGTCGGGTTAGCTGCAAGCTGGTGCTATCCGGGATCCAAAACGTGCTGAGCCAACTCAAGTGCAGGCTTGATCTGAATAGGTATTCCGGCTCCGAGCCCTTGACGTGCAGGCATTTGCCTTTGGCTTGCGTGGGTTAAGTGCTGAAGGCCGAGGGGTTAGAGGGAACCGACCCAGGTCTTTACCAAGGATGCATTGGACACCAAGCAACCAGGTTGGGAAAATTGATACTCACAATCGGCAGGTACGTTTCCAGTTTTTTCCGGCCCCTCTTCATCGGGCACTTGACCCAGAAAAAGGAGCAACCCCCTGCAAGAACAAAAACTTCTTCGCAACAGTTGTTCCACACACAGTCTATCTCTTGTTCTTCTTCTGCAGAGCATGAAGGCCGCAAGAACTCTCTATCTCCATCTCTACCACTATCTCTATCACTATCTCTATCTCCATCTCGATCTCGATCTCTATCTCCATCTCCATCTCGATCTCTATCTCTATCTCCATCTCCATCTCGATCTCGATCTCGATCTCTATCTCTATCTCTATCTCTCTCTTCCGCTTCGTCTTCTGCTGGGCTTCAGGGGGAAAACCCCTCGAGCGCGAGCGCACCCTGGTCTCTTTGTCCTCTCTTTTTCTGCTGGGCATTGTGGAGGGGCGAAGGTATCCTGAGGCTTCAGGCCTGACCGGCGTCTCGCCCTGCGACTTTCTTTTGACGCGTAACTCGAACCTTTTGCACAGATCTAGCATGTCAGGCATGTGTCACCACCGTGACGAACTACCACACGCCTAGTGCAGCAAAACAAGGGGAAGTGCTGCATGTTGCTCAGCTTTGGTGCTCTGCGTGAGTGAAGCGGCAGAAACTCCCCCCCCCGGAGCTACCAAAAGCCCGCAGCCCTTCGTCACCTTACCCTCTCTTTGCTGCCTTCTTGACTTCTTGGCGGATCCCACCATCCTACCCAAACTTCATTTGGCAACAAGCACAGGGGCACAGACAGGTGCACCGAAGGTTTTGAACAGCCTGCTGACACTGCAAGCCTTCACGGCGTTCAAGGCTTCGGGTTTACGGGTCGGCTGCTCCTTTTCCTCGACACGCAATGCTTTCCATATCTGCAGCCCGATTGTGCGGATTAGGCGCACCGCTTGGACCGCCGACGCGCATGTCCTGTGCCTTGGGCCTGCTCCCGAGCGGAGCGCAGGCATTTACGATTCATTAGCACGCCTTGTCCACGCGCCCATGCATGGATGACAACGCTCTGGGGCTGCGGCGATGAGAGTTGGCAGTAAGCCCGTGGGGCCGTCTGACGGTCTCTCATCCGGCTTCATGTTCCCCATTGAACCGACTGCAGAGCCTCAGCCTGCCTATGCGGCCTATGCGTCTCTTGGCTTGGGCACAAACATTGCGAGAGTCCGGGGGTCATGAATCTGAGCAGATGCAAAACTTGCGAATTGTCTGTTCCACATGGCTTTCCCATCCTCCGCTCCGGTGCAGTGCAAGGTCGCGTCTGCGACCAAGCCGACTGGCGTGGTATGTTTGGCGTAGGAGCAGTTCCACAGCATGGCGTGATTGCGGAACTCCCCCGTGGTTCTTGAACGTTCATTGCTACCTGTGTTACTTGCATTGCAACGAAGCGAGCCAAGACCCACCCCTGTGCGCGAGCCCCGTGAAGACGGCCTGCTGCACTGATGCTGCGCCAGATGCTGGGCAAGAATTCTGTCGGCTGGCACACGTCCAAGCTTCTTCGCCTAGTGGTCGGACCGTCGATTGAAAGCCCAACGTCAGCCTCCAAAGCAGCAAGCCCTGACTGTGCGACACCTTCTACGACTCCACGGCGCAAGCCTGGCCTGTTTCTCACTCTTGTCTGCAACACCTCACAGGGGCGCGAGTCAAGGGCTGTCTCGGTACATTGGGCCCATATACCAACGGTGCCTCTTTCACTTGGCTTCAAGTCCTGCCGCGGGTGATAAACCCATGCTTCTCAGTGCAAGGTCCACAGATACCCATGCATGGCCACGCTTCTGTCTCGTCTCAGAGCACTCTTACCTCACTCACACAACCATTGCAAGGCACTGCAGTCTGCTCATATTCTACTGATACTCGTCATTCGTCATGCCATGCATTCGCAGCAAGGACTCCTGAGGCGCGTCTGGTTTTCTAACCCTGCTAACTTCCTCTTGCTTCCGTCGGCCAACCTGACCATGAACGGAAGTCCACCGCACGGGCACACGGGGCACACTGCTTACGAAGCCAGAACACGCAGAGTTATTTTAATTCGAACATCCCCACCTCGCTCCTCGTTCAAAGGAACGAGCGCAAACAGGATGTTCAAACAAAGACACATTGATGCAAATACGCTTTCTAAGTTTTTGCTTGCAATTGGGGTTGGGCACTCCAGGGAGTCTACTCTGGGGCTGGGCACTCCAGCAAGACCCTGGGTTGGGCACTCCCGGGAGACTCTGGGGTTGGGCACTCCAGGAGTTTGTGGTGGGCAGTCCAGGGAGTCTCTAGGAGTAGACCGGGCGAGGAGAAGAGTTCCGGGCGAGGAGAAGAGTTGACTTTAGAATCTAACAACCCCACACCGAAGGTGGGGAAAAATTCAGCATGTGGAGTGGTGCATTCACCCCCACCTGCAGACAGTAGCCGATGAGCAGAGCGCCCAGTAGCATCATGACCAGCATACCTGGCGTTCGCCCAGCCGGTTCTCTCACAGAGCGGCTACAGCATCGAGATGCGATAAACACAAGCCGGCAAATGCCCACGCCAGCTGCTGTTGGCCACATGGCCATGGGTGCCTATGCACTTGCACGAAGTCGTCAGGTATTTCATGGTCAATCCAATGAGGCTTGTCGTCCTCCGTTTGCAGACCTCGCCCATGGAAGCTTCTGAGCGCCTGCAACGTACAAACACGTCCCACATGATCCAACTGTAGCCAATGCCAAAACAGCCGAACCCGCCTGCGCCCTGACAGGATCTTCAGCAGGCTGTAACCTGGAAAGCGGTTGCCCAAGCCAATGTCACCGAGCGAAATCTTCATAGTGCACGACATGCATGAGACCCTCCTTTTCAACGAGCTCTCGAACAACATCTGCAAGACACGACGAAGAGAAGCAGTCTCTACCAAGCAAACCTTCCGTAAACTACGATCTTCGAGTCGACTAGGCGCTTCCGTGGCGGCCACAAACATGAGGTGGTCGTTTGCTGGTCAGCTCGGGTGTCGTAGGCATGCAACTTACACTAGTCGTCTGCCGCCTCCGCCATGTCAACACAAATCAAAAACACCTAGGCTCTCAAGCTCTCAGAGATCTCCACGCGGAACCACCCAGTTGATTTTGTGCTCGGGAGCCTGCAGATCATCAGCTTAAGAGACGCTTCCTTATAATCCAAGCCTGCAAATGCCTCCAAGTAGAACAGCTTCATGTCGATGCGGTACTGGCGGTGGGCTTGGATGTAAACCTTTGAATGGAACACAATGGGGCATTCAGCGGCAAGCACTCCATTTTAGCCACATCTGAGAGAGCAAATGAGAGCAACTGAGAGCAAGCAGCACAAGTAGCTCTGCAGATGCCATGCTGAGATCTCAGGGGTCGGCCCAGGCGGCAAACAAACCAACACCCATGCCGCCGAGGAAGTCACGCAGGTAGTGCCTACAAGCTGTCAGCACGACTGGGTAGCGCCTGCAAAGCTACACTGCAAGGCAGCCAAAGCCTGGCAAGGTAATCTCCAATGACGCGTTGCCCTAGGTGGCTCGAAATACAAAGGCCACATTTCTCCGCATCACTGCACCTTCCCTAAGTGCGGTCATGAAGCGGAAAGAGAGCCAGGCTCCCTCCCACGCCACCTCCTCACTCTTCTTCATCTCCTCCGCAGTTCGGTATGGCATCGGAATCAGTGGCCGGTGGATCCTGAGCCAAGCGAGGACATATGCTATACATCACTGGAAACCCCCAATCCGCCACCAACTGCTGCCAAAAGTCTTCAGAGGCTTCGCAAACTGATAGAACATCTCCTCGTAGTCGTCGAAGGTCATCTCGCCATTGATTAGCTTGTCCATCCAAGGCCTTGGAGAAACCAACTTATCCAAATGAAGCGGGACGGGGTCAGGCAAGCCGGAGATCGAAACAGAAAGTCACGCCAGTGTCCCCCAAGCCACTTGAGCTCTGGAGTGTCGTCACCCAACTTCTTCAGGAATGGATAGTACTGCGGTGGGATGTAGTACCTAACTGGACGTTCACTGAATTCTGAATTCGGGGCGCGCAGCAGCACCACAGGATAAAGGGGATGAATGACTCTGGGGCACGTGTGGCGGATTGTCGTCGAAATCTCTGGTGGGATGTGTGCTGGCACGCCAAACTCATCGCGTGGCATCACATCATACTCAAGTTCCAGATCTGTGTCCCAGCCCGGCTTGTCATATACGTTTGTCCACAGAACCTCAGTTGCCATGTCCGATTGCGAAGCTCACCCAAACGGCGAAGGAAGACACCCGCCACAGCGTGCACGATGCAGCCCGGCTGCTGGCCAGCCCGGGTTGACTGCCTGCAACGCGATCAAGGTCCGCAATCCCAGCCGAACACATCACCGAGTGCTCCAAATGACTGAGCCAAGGCGCAGTGTTGAAACGAGGCGTGCTCTGGTGCAGCTGTCTCTGCTGCAGCACCATGGGGCCCAACGGCGAGAGGCAGCGAGAAGCACAAACACCACCGGAGGGAACTGCCTACGGGGATCTTCGGTGATCAATGTGATCATACTTGCACCTTCACTGCCGACATCTGCCATCCTGACATGTTGCAGGCCTTCGCCGTAAGGCGCCGAGCGCAACCTGCAATGATCCCAGCCATGGCTGTAGGGTTCGGAAAGCCCTGGGGAGCTGCGAAGCTTTCTACGCTCTCCTGTCCCGAAGTGCGGCGGAGTGGGGAGATGCGGGGAAGCCATGGCTGATTCAGACTGAGACGACGGATTCTGCGGGAAGCTTCTATTCTAGGGCCCTGGCAATGCTGGGAATGCCCCCAGTGACAAACCTGGGTTGTTTGCAGGCAAAGCCGCCCAAACAATCCCTTGCAAAGGCAGCAATGTGCACGGCACTCGCCCCTTTTGTCTTCGAGTCTGTTGCACCAGCATACCAATGTTCACAGAGTTCCTCCAGATCATCTACATTGGACCTGGCGCCTGTCTGTCAGATCTTGAACCATGTCTACCATCAGTATAAGTCAGGTCCAATCCAGGTCGCCACTCTCAAGCATATTTGCCAAAGACTTGGAAAAGATCAGCCAGGGCAATTATTTTCCCTTCATGAGGTAACACCTTAAAGGTCTCCACGTGGAACCACCCAGTTGATCTTGTGCTCAGGAGCCTGCGCCAACGCTGCGTCAGCTGACACGAAGTGACACCAATCAAGACAAACGATGGCTACGCCTGAAGGCCGACGGCAAAAACCAAGCTTTCCAGGGGACTGTACGGAACTTCCCCCCTCCCCAACCTGCACCGAATCTGCAACGCATCTTTAAATCTGCGCTCAAGCTGCCTCCAGGTAGAATAACTTCATGTCGATTCGGTACTGGCGATGAGCTTGGATGTACACCTGCGGCGAAGACAAAGTTCGATCGGCAACGAGAGTGGAAAGCCCCGGAAGTACACGGGCAGCAATGCTCAGAGTCCAGCCCATGCTGCAAACAGGCCAACACCCATACCACCAAGGAAATCGCGGAGGTAATGCCTGTGGAGCCAAGTCTGCACAGAAGCAGAACTGACGAGGTGATGCGAGTGCATGCGCCTGGCCAGATAGTCGCCAATGACCCTCTGTCCTGAAGTGGCAACGTCAGAAAAGGCAGATTACACACAGGTGTGTTCAATGATGTTCAATGCATCTCTCAAGGCGGCACACAACATGCAGACGAGGAGCGGAAGGAGAGCCAGGCTCCCTCCCATGCCACCTCCTCACTCTTCTTCATCTCCTCCGCAGTTCGGTATGGCATCGGAATCAGTGGCCGGTGGATCCTGAGCCAAGTGAGGACATATGCTATACATCACTGGAGGCCCCCAATCCGCCACCAACTGCTGCCAAAAGTCTTCAGAGGCTTCGCAAACTGATAGAACATCTCCTCGTAGTCGTCGAAGGTCATCTCGCCATTGATTAGCTTGTCCATCCAAGGCCTTGGAGAAAACCAACTTATCCAAATGAAGGGGGACGGGGTCAGGCAAGCTGGAGATCGAAACAAAAAGTCACGCCAGTGTCCCCCAAGCCACTTGAGCTCTGGAGTGTCGTCACCCAACTTCTTCAGGAATGGGTAGTACTGCGGTGGGATGTAGTACCTAAACAGCTTGGACGTTCACTGAATTCTGAATTCGGGGCGCGCAGCAGCACCACAGGATAAAGGGGATGAATGACTCTGGAGCACGTGTGGCGGATGGTCGTCGAAATCTCTGGTGGGATGTGTGCTGGCACGCCAAACTCGTCGCGCGGCATCACATCATACTCGAGTTCCAGATCTGTGTCCCAGCCCGGCTTGTCGTATACGTTTGTCCACAAAACCTGAAGTTGAATCAGCATGTTCAGCACAAGTCCGGCACCGGACCAACGCACCAACAACACACACCCCACACGAAAAACACGGGATAAACAAAGTTGGGAAGTGGGATACACCAAGACTGACCCCGGAAGAATGCGACTTCGGACTCTGGAGTGCGCTTGCGACCTGAAGTTTTATCTAATGCCACCGCCCGAAAGCAACATTGCAAAGTCTTTGAAGCATGACCAAGCGACCGGCCAGCCCGGATTCACTGCCTGTTGTGCGGCACTGGCTTGCATCCGAGGCTTGAGATGCGCATGTCCGCGCAAGACAGGACATGAACGCACACCATTGCCAGCGAGGCACTGTGTTGTGGCGTGGAGCACTCTGATGCAGCTGCCGCGCTTGCAGGACAGCTGGGGCATGACGAGCAGCCGTGACGCGAAGGGAGGCCGCCTCGAACGGCGAAAGCACACAGGACACCAAGAAGGGCCACAAGTACGGCCATACTATCAAGCAATCTTAACAAAAAATATCGAAATAGTATGAAGAGAGATACTATTCATACAAATGTTAATAATCTAAACCATTTATAATTGCATCCTGTCAAGCCTTCGTCAGCAAACCACGACGAACGGAAACGAGCATTGCTTGTCCCCAGGCGTTCAACCACGAGGTGCGAGAATCACACAGCACGGTGCTCAGAGCCACGTGCAAGAGGCCAAGTCTGGGATTTTGATCTAACCCGCCCTGATTCTGAGTGTACTGAATATTCTCAGGCACTGCAAGGCAAGCGATGCAGGCCGCTGGTGTGCAAAGGTGTGCAACCTGCGTCTCAAGACCCTGGCAGAAGGTTTCGGCTATGTTTTTTTGCCGCGGCGGTACTTTTGGTAGAACACAATGCAGCTGCTGGCACGGAAGATCAGCTGGCTCCAGGAAGATGCCCAGGCAGTTTGGACCCTGCCAGCGTGAATGCATTTGTAATTCATTGCCCGGCCATATGGTAAACACCCAGGCCAGGAAGGCTATTTACAAGAATTGTACATGGGACTGAACAGGAGCATGTGAACAGGAAGCCCTTGAGACATGTAACGACCAAGCTGTGCGGGGATGTTTGGCACACTGACACTCAACCGGAAATTGTCAGAGTCGAGGGCTAGCTGCATTCCTCCTGAACACGTGCAAGAAACATCTGCTGAAGGTTCAAATAGTTCAATTCAAAGGAAAATGCATCCTTCGGCAGGCATGCACATAGCTGAAGCGAATTTGGCCAGAGGCAAGATTGCACTTGCCCTGAAAAGGTGACGCATAGAGTCACGCCGGTATTGCTTTCTGCCACCACGACTGCGAAGGTTGGAGTCCTACTCGCAGCCTCAGGAAGACAAGGGCAACTCGTCTGACATGGATATGCTATACGAAGCACATTTGCCCTGGCGGCCTTGAAAAAGGCTCTGGGCTAGGCAAGGAAGACGACCTGCCTGCCAAAACATCGCAAGTGCTCCGAAGCAGAAGTCTTTTTCAAAACACTGGCCACGGCTTTCCCCGACTGGACGTGAGACCCCCCAAACGCCCAGATGCCGCAAGCACTGCTCGACCCAAAAAATCTCCAGCTCTGCCAGCTTCACGAGAACCCCACCTGTGTGACGGGGATGTAGAACAAATCATCACTCATCATCGGGCCGATCCTGGCAGCTGCAGGGAATGTATGGCAATTGTGTAACCAGGACATGCAGTATGTACATATAGATATATATAGTTAGTATATACATATAGTATATACATATATATATATATATGTAGTCAAATATAGTATCATAAGTATCATAGAGTATCATATAGTATAACATAGTATAATATAGTACAGTATAGTAGAATATAGAATAATATAGAATAATATAACATAATGTAATATTATATAATAAGATATAATATGATAGAATAGGACATAATATCATATAATATAGCATAATATAATGTAATATATTTCAGTTTAATATAGTATAGTATAATATAAAATAATGAGATAATATGGTATAAGATGGTATGATATGGTATAATATGGTATAATATGGTATAATATGGTATAATATGGTATAATATGGTATAATATTGTATAATACTATAAAATATATTATGTAGTCTAAGATAGTATACTAGAGTGTGTACATATATATATAGCATACTACATATTATATATATATATATACTATATATGTTTATTTATTTATTCATTTAGTCTAGTGCCTCGCCTTGTGCTGCCCGTTGCCTCCAACAAGCTGCCGGCGCCTAGCGCGGTGCTCCTGCATGCATCACACCAAGTGAAATTGTCCAGCGTTGTCAGTGCACAGCGTGTGCCGTGCCATGAACAAGAAACAATACAGCCACAACAAAGCGAAGTCTATCCATCAACGGATGCATATCTGCTGGTCCATCAGCCGAGTTCTGACGTTGTGCAGGCAGTATCCTCACATGCCCTGACCATCGAGTGCCGGACCAGTCACAGTAACCTAGGATAAAACGTCTTTTTCAGCAGCTGTTTCTCCAGCGTTCAGACTGCAATCAGTGTCCTGTCCGGCATGGATGCCAAAGACGCCAAAGATGCAGACTGCCCGCCAGCTTCCAACCCCAAGAGGCGCCTGAGCACCAGGGCTGAAGGCTCAAAGGCTCTCACCTAAACCCTAAACCCCAAACCCTAAACCCTATAAACCCTATAAACCCTCCAAACCCTATAAACCCTATAAACCCTATAAACCCAATAAACCCCATAAACCCTATAAACCCTAAACCCCGTTTCCCCCCTAATTCTCCCGACTTCCTGGCGCCTTGTAGAACCGCGGGCGGCTCGAGAGGCTACTGCCAGGCCGCGCATTGCCCGATTGCCCTTTGCCCAAGCAAGACGAGGCCCCTTCACCCGCAGCTCACGACTGCTCTTGGAGCCAGCTGCCAGGTATGTCATAAGAGTCATAAGTGTCAATAATAGCAGCACAACCACTCTGACGCGAGCATGTGCCCACATGGAGGCATTAGGAGTCCCTTGTCTTGGCTACGGACCCAGTGACGCCATTCCCCGGGGAAATCATCACCTTCCCAGCTGCAGCGTCAGCTGCAGGGCAGACTCTCAGATCCAGTGCTCCCTCTGGAGCAGACATACCGCAAAAAAACATTGCTTTCTCAACAAATGTCCCTTTCTCGGCCTGGTCCAGGAACCAAGCTGCCGTGTGTGAAACACGGGGAGATGCGCTGCAAGACTTGAGGTCGCAGGCGATATGCATCATGCGGCAAGCCTTCTCAACGCCCCCCGACGAATCCGACGCGTTCGGACCCTTCGCTTCCAACAGACAAACCAGAAGCAGCATCATGTAGCAGACAGCATGCAATTCAAGAGGGCCACCTTAGAGACACGTACGTGACAAATTGCCAATTTGCAAGTACCCGTCTGCCGTGTCCAGGTTCTGTCCTTCCCTTTGTTGCTCTAAAAGCGCTCCCTTCAAGCCAAGCACCTTGCACTGACCATCCTCGCCGCTTAGCCACGCTCGCTGCCCATGGTCTTCATACTGACGTCAAAAGGACCGGCAAATGCAAAATCTGCATCGGTAGGCATCGGAACGCAAGTGAGAAAAGAACCGCCGAGAGACGGGAAACACGCTCACCTGCACCCAAGGGCAAAGACGGTGACAAAAAAAGACAAAGACAAATAGTCGACGTATCCTTGCTGTTTCCTGGAACCCGTTGCTTCGCTGCTTGGCTGCAAGCCACATTATCAATGCATGAAACCTGCGTGCCACAAAGTATTGCGTCCCTGATCTGGCTCACCCTGAACTGGCTCACCTCTGTTTGAAACGACTCCGTTTCTTTGCAGTCGACTAGCATTCGACCTCTTTTGCGCTTCTCCCGCTATGCTCGCCTGACACCCATGGCGCGCCATTTGGCCGCGGGGTGGTGAAACTTGCCACAGCGCTTCACGTTTTCGAGGCGCCGGTGGCCACTGCCAAGATATCCTTGGGAAGTTTTAGGGTTCAAGCACCGAGTGTTTGCTGTTAGGGTCTTTTAGCAGAGTGGCGTTCACTGTTGTCACCCATGCGCTGGCGAAAGCACCCGCCCTGCAGGGCAGCACTCGTCTGCGAAAATGATCGAACACGCAACTATGCCACATTCTGCCACTACTTGCACTGCGAGGCGCGCAAGAAAAAGCATGAAAAAGCCAACCCCCCCTGCCTATTGATGGACTCACGGCTGGCAACTGCAGAAGCCTGGCAGGATTGATCCGCGGGGTCTCCACGGTGACCGTCGGGCCAGGAAGAACACGACGCACGCGCTCTACCTGGGAAAAGCACGAAAAATGCGAATCTTCTTGGCGCTCGCCGAGGGCCCGTGCCTTGAACTTGGGAGGTGCGGGCTTCTGCACCGGCAATGTCAGCCTGAGTTATCATAAAGATTCCATCCTTTTGGTCGCCCAAAATAATGCCCTCATGCGTGAGGAGTCACTCAAAGTTGCTGATCTTGTAATCCCGCCAGGCTGTGTCCATACCCATCTCCTTGGGGTCTGACATTCAGAGAAGAAAACATTGACGGATGCAACCCGGGCTGCCGACGTCGACCCGGTATGGGGCTTCATCCAGTATATACGGTTCGTACTCCTGGCAGAAAACTGCCACTAGTCAAGCATTGAGCAGAAATGGTTTTGATGTCATCCCTCACACGTGGGCGCTCATCAAACGACGCAAGGAAAGTCCTGAAAGATGTCAGCCATATCCTGAAGGCAAAGAGAATTATTACGCAAAGCCCGTGGAAGAATCGAGAATACCTGGAGCTGCAGAAGCCCCTCAAATTTGGTGGTTGTCAAAATTATGGTCCCTTTTTGGATTCCTATTGTAATACGGCACCGAATATTTAGGGCACCCATGGACACCCCAAAAGGGATCATAATATTGACAGCCACCCAAATCCTTATGGGCCTCTTCTGGCGTCTCCTCTCCGATACGATGCGTTGGCTTCGTGCGTGCCCTGATATGCTTCTGCCGCTCTTCCTCCATCTGCTGGAGAGCCTTCAGGGTTTAGGGTTTAAGGCTTAGGGTTTAGGGTTTAGGCTGTTTAGGGTTTAGGGTTTAGGGTTTAGGGTTTAGGGTTTAGGGTTTAGGGTTTAGGGTTTAGGGTTTAGGGTTTAGGGTTTAGTGTAAGCACGAAAATTTGGGGTACAAGGGACTCCTACTCTTTGGGGGTCCATATTCGGGGCCCCCCTACTGTCGTAAACCTCATGGTTGTTGCTGCTGGCCGCGGAAAAAATCCTCTGGCCTCCTTCAGCCTACGGTTCAGAATCGCCAAGATCTGGAGTTGGTCCGACGTCTTGTCTTTGTACCTCCGGCGCCAGGTCAAAGCAGGCGTAGACACACCGTCTCGCAGTGCTACTTCTACGCCACGCCCGATTCTTAGGCATTCCGTCACGCCCGCATCAGGACAGTCTCGGCGAGCTGGCTGCGCGGAGGACATGCCGTGACGCGTCACAACGGTGCAAGTTGGAAGCGCGAGGCGTCGCAGCGCCGGCGCCATTAGACGATGCACCAAATGCAAGTCAAGGAGCTGCTCAAATTGCTGGGCATACGTGTGCATGTGCTCAGCGAAACGCTCCCTTAGTTCAGCGCATGAGTGTACCCAGCGCCACAACCGGCGACGGGGCTGTGAAAGCAGGCTTCGGCCAGAGAACTGCTGCTGCTGCAACTCCTTTTGCAGTCCTTGCCATCGGCTCTCAGCTTCACGTCTCTCCTGCAAGGAGCTTGGGTTGAACCTTGATAGAGCATGACAAGAGCTCCAAAACCCACCCCCCCCCCCCAAAAAAAAAAAAAACAAAATATATATATATATATATAACAATAATAATCATGATGATGATGGTGATAATTATAATGATATAAAAAACTAAAAGTAAAATAACAACTTCGGCCTCCTGTGCTGTCACCTCCTGGCGCTTCAACTCAGCCTCCAGGCTGGAGGTTTCCCGGCCAAGCTGCTTCACCAGCTCGTCACGGCCTTATACAGGGGGGCCCAAGGAAATCAAGGGGGGGAGGGGGGGGGGGGGGGGGGGGGGGGGGGAGGGGGGAGAGGGGGGAGGGGCCTTGGCTGGATGTTTCGCTTGCTTCGAGGAGCAAAGAAGCAGAGGCAGGGGCAAGAGAGCTGATGCTTCAGCTGGGCGACCTCACCTTTCAGGCGTGCGGCACGAAAGCAAGCTACAAGACCTTTTTGGGTCAAGGCAAAAAGCTGACCGATTGCAATGAGTTGAAGAACGCGAACGAGGGAGGATGCACATGGGGTGCAACATGAACAACAGACACTCAGACAGCGACTCAGACCATCAGAGACTCAAAACTGTACCCTTGCAGTGAATGGCGGAGGCTGAACTGAAGCCCTGTGGAATGCTTGTGCCGGCACTTGGAACAACATGGATCACGTCATTTAAAAAAGAATAGGCACGCAAAGAACGCACGACCAAAAGTGAAGGTCTGTTCCCTGGCCGAGCTTGTCGTTTTGCGCAGCAGCAGCAGCAGCAGCAGCTTTGATATCTTTCTGCGAAAACACCTCCCCTTGTGGAGGCATCTGATTTTTGCCCTTGCCGGGGAGAACACGGCTCAACTGGCCAATGCTTGGCACCCCGCCGTATTTCAATGTATGCCGTTTAATCCAAGCCGAAGCAGAGTGGTTGCGCAGGCTGCTAGCTGCCCGGCATGTTCCAGGATCTTCAGAGGTGGCATGCGCCAGCGCACCGAAAGACACGTGTGGTATCAAGGGGTGCTGTTCTGGGGATGCAGGCACCTTCAGCAGCATGTGTGTCATCACATTGATACCAGTGCCATTTCACTACAAAGTGAGAAGACCGATTGTACTACGCAACCTCTTGAGTTCTCCAGCTGCTGCTCCAGAGAGTGGACTTGTTCCTCGAGGTGCTCCTGTTCCAGTGACATCGCGAGCACTCTTGAGATGGCAAACTATAAGTCCAGGGTCCTTGTGCTTGGCAGCCGTAAGGTACGATTCTTGCGAAGCCACAACACCTCACTGACCATCAGACCAGCTTGACAAACACAAAAATACAAAAAACACAGATCTGTAAGCCACCTTTCAGCTGCGTGATTTCGGCCTTCTGGGCCTGAACCAGGCCCTGCACCAAACGAGGATTTTAGACCCAAGACGTGCTTTTTTTGCAAAATCCGGTGAACCCGACGCCTCCGTATCCAGCACGTTCTCACGTAGCTCTCCCAACATCTTGCCGTACTTGTCCTGCCGCGCAAGCAGGGTCAAGCTGTTGCTGACAGCTCCTTGGCGCCATGTCAGTGCCCACAGCACTTATGTGGCTGCAACCCTAAACCCTAAACCCGAAAATGCAGCTGCCTCCATCTTCTCAGTCATCTCGTCCCGGATCTTTCGAACCTGGGGCAATCGCCATAGAGCGACAAGAATGCCCTCGTCCCGAACGCCTTCTCGCAAGCTACTTTGCCTATGTCTGGCCTCTGTCTCGACAACCACCGCATGATTCCTGAACTCTTGGAGGAAGGCAGCACGCGCCCTTTGCAGATGCGCCTCCACGAAGAGCCAATAGCACATGAGGAGTGTTGATTAAGCTACGGCAAGGCAGCAACTATCACGCACAAAGGCCTGGAATTTCTGTTCGATGTACTGCACGGTTCCTTTTTCCCGAAAGTTCTTCATTTCCTGGCTTGAAAACAAAAGGCAGCGAGGACTGATATCCAAATAGGGACATATGACAGTCACAAAGAAAACGCTGAAGGCTGTGACGCAGTTGCCTTGGGGTCCAATTCCACCTCCTGTGTGGAGAAGGTCTTGAAAATCTTGTCCAAACTGGCACATAACCTGAGACAACATCGGACATGAGAGTCACGAGAATCAGCAGGAAAGCTCTCAAGTGTGCCAACACGCGCCAACACGCGTTTCGAGATTGCAGCCCTATGGCAACTTTACAGCCAGCAACTAGCAATTAAAAAGAAGTGGGTCAGCTGCAGGCACTCAAGGATTCACACTCACTGACGGGCTGTTGGCTGACAGGTCCCATATTGCACTGAGAGGCTTCGCGACATCTGCTGCCATGAGGTCGTGGCGGGCGAAACCAAAGTCTGATCCATCTTTCGAGCACGATAACGCGCCATGCCAATCCGCATGCGCAGCAGCACTGTCAGGACTTGATGAGGACTTTCTGCATCTTGACCGAGCATGACCGAGCTTAGACAGGTTACAACGCAGGCAACACGGAACGTTTTGCTTAACGCGTCCACAGTCGGCCCGTCAAGGAAAGGCACAACCCTAACAAGCTTTGCTTGAAATGGCTGGCCACTGAAAGTGCCTGAGGAGGAATGTCCAGTGCAATGAAGTTGTGGACGCTGATGGCCTTCCTAGTGTTCTGCCTTTTACGAGGCTACTCGACTTTCTGACCTCTGCTTCTGTGCAGTTCAACATTGCTCCCCGACAGATTTGCAGCTATGCTCTTGGCATGAGAGCATGTGACATGTTATGTCCCATCTGCAGCAACGGACGTGCATCCGGTCTTTCAGGCCATCATGTATCATAGTGCATCACCGTCAAAACCATGGTGTCATCTGAACTTCGAAGCTTCTCCAGAAGAATATCCGTAGCCCCCGAGTGGCCATTCACCGACACGATACCTTCAGCTCATGTCCCTTTGCAAGTTGCTGCCTCCCCTGTGTCCGATGCGAGCCCGACCTGCGACTGCTGCCGAGCCACGATCGTTGGCCGCCACTGCCATCTCAGGCTTTGCCTTGTTCCACTCAGCCACGAGACCGCTGCCAACAGACGCCTGAAGCAAAGACATCCCAATGCTGGTGGCATGATGTCCCTATGCAGCCGTACTGGCAAGCACAAGAAGCTGGACACATCGTAGTCATCGAAGTGATTGGTCTTGCTCATCAAGGTTCAATCCACGGCTTTGCCGACGTCTTCCGGTAGTTCACATCAATACCCAAACGGCCTCAGCAAGCAACAAGGAGCTGTAGAGTGTGTCCCTGCGTGCCTCTGTAACTCACGCCCACGCGCCTGGTTTGTGCAGAACAAGTGTCCTCTCTTCGGGACGCTTCACTGTTAAGCGTATGTCCTGCAGTGCGACAATTATTCACTCACAGCAAGCTGTGGCCTGGCATTGAATCCGCTGATGCAACTTCGGAATGTCCTTCACGTCTCTGTCCTCAAGCTTGCTGGAGATGTCCTCCCCACTACAGGGCTCGCCGTTTACTTCCAGTATCTGATCCTTAGTCACCATTGGATGCTTGACAAGATTCTACTGGACAGGCAAGAGACACCAAAAGAAAAAAGCCGCACAACAACACAGCCGAAGTAGGCCCGCCCTGGCACAAAGAGATTCCTAAAGTTGCTTTTCTGTTGTTGAGAAAGCTGCGGCCCGAAGCCATGTGGGTGTATAACAACCAACGAATTTGCCGATGGACTGGTGCTAGGTGCTTAGTGTTACTAAGCCACCGCTGCAGGGGCAAGATGACTGCAACAGCGGCACTCTGGTTGTGCACTGACATTTCCATGAGCCGGATTTTCATTGCCTCCTCGTGCTGGCTCAGAATTTAACCGGCTTCTTGGCACTTTCCCGGACTACCGCTCTTGACAAGCATGCACTGGAGAAGCCTGAACACTGCGGCGCGGGCGTATTTTGCAACCTCAAACTTGTGGTGGTTTTCGTGCCATGATGCGCAAACAGAATTCGCTGACCTGGGACGCCCCTCTTCGCACTTCAATGCAACGATTGCACGTGGAAGAGGTGCGCTTGCCAAACATGTGCCACTCGCGCAACTGTATGCATCACTCATCAGAGACTTGGGCAGCGTGAAAGTTTGCTTTCTGTGCCTGGCTGCTGGACACCGCTTCACAGAACAAATTGACACGTACGATACGAATGGGGGGCTTGTGGGTGTAGCTGAGCTAGAAACGCTGCACAGTGGTAGTGAGTGTACGGCACTCTCTACTTTGCATCATGTTCTGTGGCTGGGTAAGAGATAGCAGCCACCCTTTGGGCTTCGAGAAGTTGTGCAGAAAGCAACCACAAGTTTTCAAGATGCATGCGAATGGTACGTACACGAATACTTCAACAACTCACCACACATGGGCAACATCAGCTTGACATTCAGAGGCTGAGAGAAGTTGGATGAAGTGCAGCTGTGCAGCAAAAGGCTTAATCTGCTTCGTCGGGTTGGACTCATTCCAGATCGCCGCGGCACCTCCAGTGACGTCCTGCTCAAGAAACAGCTCCACGTGAACCATTCGAGGAGTCAAAGAGTTGCCACCACGCGAACAAAGGCAGGCAGGAAAGAGCATCGAATTAACGTGAAAAAATCAACTTGCAGCTGAGCGTCTCTCACAATCACGCATACTGAGTTTGACCGGTCCACTGACAAGCCGAATGACCCCGTGCCGCCCTTCAAGACCACGATGAAACGACTGTCGTCTTCCTGCGCAAGGCAGTGCCAAAGAATTGCGCTCAGCAGCTATATGGCATGCAAAAGTGTGTAGCTCGCATTCCCTCAGTCACATTCTGTCGAAATCAGCATGCACCTGTACTTCGTCTGCAAGGGTGCCAAACGCTTTCGGTGTTGTCTTCAACTCTGGAGCCAAATCAAGTTGGTTCTCCTCACGGTGGTGAGCACCGGAAATTGCTGAAAACAGCCTGATGAAAACACAGCGAGGACAGCACAAGTGGCACCACATCCTTGTCATCTGAAGCGCAACAATGACAGAACATCGTCTGAAAGTTGCTGCGGTCTGCCGGCAGCAAGTACTGCCGACATCAATCTTGAGCCAAATTTCAGCCAGAACACCGGATCGCTTGCTAACTGAAACTTACACGGTACGTAGTGTGCCTTCCCTTGAGAGGCTCGCCTTCCTGTCACTTGCTGGCATCGGTGATTCTTTGCCCTTGAAGCAGCTTCCTCATGCCAGGAGCCACTCGAACATAAACATGAGGAAAGGGTTGTCCTAATTCAAAGACGAAAGCTTACAAACGACATCGGCCTGCAGTGAACAGCTGAGCTATGTTGAACTCATTTACTTCTGATTCAAGTCCAGGCGCGCGCGAAAACTCTGCTTACAACCTCAAACATCATCCCGTGCGGCAGCTTCTTCAGCCGGTTGTTACATCCACACTTGATCGCTAAATTGCTCCCTTGTCAATGCTCATCGACGTACAATGGATCGAAAAAATTAGGCTTGCCATCTCTTGTGTTCCCACATTGGGGCTTCTGTCCTAGCCAAAAGTGCACAAGAAGTGGAGACATGTGTGGCGCACATGTCCAACGCATCCCTTTCCGTCGTGTTCGGCGCGTCCTTGCAGCAACTGAGGTGTCCTCCTACATGACACCTAAACATTACCCCCTAAACCCTAAACCCTAAACCCTAAATCCTAAACCCTGAACCCTAAAGCCGTTAATCCGATAGGCACCCTTCAGGTGCCACACAGATTGCACACGTCGCAAAATCTCATCTGGGTGAAACAGTCAAGAAATCCCACGCTATGGGCGCGTGGATCTATCCCCATAATGCAAGAAAGTGATGACCATCCCGTGTTGGACAGATCGCAGCTTCTCCACCACTTCGAGTGGACCGCCTGTCCAAGTCTAGGCATCAATATGCCAACTGCCCTACGACAAATCACACTGCAGTCAACACAGCACTTTTTTGCAACGGTTTTGTTTGTGCTCCTTTGGCCGGGGGGGAGGGAGGGGGGAGGGAGGAGGGGTTGTGTATTCTCATGGACAAATGCCTGTTTCCTTGGCAAAAACGGAAACCTCTATTTCCAGGTTCGCAGCAGCCGCTCTCCCCAAGTGGCAAACATAATGATCGCACGATGGGTTTTCCAAGGGGTTCTCATGTTTGAAAGCAATTCCTCTTTAAACTTTAATTAGGCCTTAGACTCTATGAAATCTGATCTTGAATGCTGATGTTTGTTGGTTTGCTTGCGCGTTTCAAACTAGGATATTCAAGTGATTGTAAAGGTGGGTTGCACCTCTTGTGGGCTTTCACATCTTCGATTGTTCTATCGGAACGTTGTTATTGTGAAGCTCGCACATGGTTTTTCCCCAATTTTTTGCCAACACAATGCTCGTACATGTCTCGTTCTTACCTTGCAAAACAATGCTCACATGAATGACGGGCTTGGAAGGGGACGCACCAAACACAATTCTCGTATAACTAAGGGATTCGGATGTTTGATGTGTTGAACTGGCTCATATGGATGTTGAAGGAGTGGTTGTTGATGGCGCGACATTCTTTAGAACAAGTTGGTCCATTGATGGCGCGACGCTTTGGACGAAGTTTAGCCCGGCTTATAACAGCAGGAGATTCCTTGGAGCAACTTCTGCCTGGCTCGAGAGAAGGGTTAGGGAGGGCGGCGGGGGTGTGCTGCGGGGTGTGGACGTGATGTGAGTGCTAGATTTCCTGCTCTCGCAGCCAAGTAGGGTGCGCTGAGCAAAGGCGCCAGTCGGTCCCACATAGTCCCAGCACATACCCTCTTCCAATGCATATTGCTTGTTGCATATTGCTTGCAGCCACCAACCTTTGACAGGGCCTCATTGCCATGTATGGATTCGGAAGGACATGATTTGTTTCCACTGTTGTTTTACCTACTCGTATTCCTGACAAAGCCTCACCTGCACATGTTTTTGTTTGATGTAATGTTAGTGTTGTGTCGGGAGGATAAAGGTGATGACTTAAAAGTCGGAGTTTTGTTTTAATTATGGGGCGGCCTTGTTTGAAACTTGTCGTGTACCGTACATACACATCCGCAACTTGTGTTGGATGGGCCCAGGCTCTCCAACAGAAACCAAAAGGGTGAAAAACAAAAACAATACTTGACAAACACGCGCTCTGTTTCCAGGAACCACACACAAAGCATGCATAGTTACGAACGCCGGGTCGCCTGACACGCCGTTGACCGACAGAATCCTGTCATGCACGTCCACGTTCAACTGCGGCTTGTCCAGGTTCCACTGACCCACTGCGCCCCCACGAACACCGGTGACCCATGGCCTTGGAACAATTCGCCATTGCACCACAACACACTTGTGGGAGCATGCCTGTGCAGGGGAGACCCAACATGAAGCAATGTCACACCCTGCCTGACAGAAATTCCTTTGCGAAAACTGATGTCTAGGCCAAGGCGATCATTTTGAGGAAGAACAACCAATCGCTCTTCAGGCCGTTGGACAAGAAAAGTCAGCTGATCGCAACCGGCATCTTCCATTTTGTGCCGCAACATGGTGCCTTGAAACGGGCTTGTGTAGTGACAAACGAAGCTGTGCTCACAACTTCAATACATGCTGCGACGACACAAACTATGCAAACAAGATTCTCGAACATGGTTCCTTAGTCTGAAAGAAGCGGAACATGTTCTTCAAACAAGCAAATGTTTTTTGGCCTGTGGTGTTGACATGCATTCTGAAGCAAGATTCTCCATTCACTTCCAACAACCGATCAAAACGTTGTATCTGCACGTTGTCCACATCATCGTTCCATTGCCGCAACGCGCCTGCAATTTCCTGTCAAATTTCATGTCATGACGCCTCACGTTCGCCATGCCCGCCCGATTTCACAGGCCTTCACGAGAATGCACACGGGGTCCGACATGTCCAATGCCGGAATTAAAGAAGCCACATCATTGGGCACAACCATTGTGAAGCTGCTCTCGCCAGCCACATCTGGCAATGCTTTGGTTTTTTCGTGAAAACTGAAAACTCCCATGTCCCAACTGATCAAAGCCGCCTTGTCGATCCTCATCACCATGAAAGACCGTGAGATGAGCCTGCCAGCAAGCCATGAATGCCTGTCGTCAAGTTCACGCTGCGCACGTGAAAATTTTCCAGGACGCCTTCCCGATTGGCAGCAAGTCTTCGCCGGTAGGCGGTGCTTCACAACATGTGCAAAACATAGTCTCGGTGGCTAGGGGCCATAAAACTCTCAGAGCATGGCTTCGAACCCACACAGCAGCAGTAACAACGAAGGTTGGTGCAGGTGGCCACCATCTATTGTCTTCTTGTTTTGCCTGTCAAACCGGTCTGACCCAAGTGTGTGCTTACGAAGGCATCGGTTGGGCGGCGAAGCGATCATCGGCGATCACTACCCAAGGAAATCCAAGTCAATCCTCAGTGTCGATAGCAAGCAGCGGATGCTCGGCGAAAAAACGGCTGATGAGCAACGTGTCTCCTCCATCGACAGCACGCACGCACCAGCACACGCGGCCGGCTCGATTGCCATTCTGGCTCAAGCTGGTGTTGAAATCGCCCAGAGAGAGAGAAACTCGGATTCTTTGTTGGGCCTGGGTTTTTCCTTTAACTTTGTGTGCCCCGAACAGGTCCGACTCCCAACCTGGCTCCTTAGCATCCTCAACCTGCTGCCCGACTCGTGCCGATAGGCCGCGGTGCACGCGGCGCTCGCCCCAGTACTACTCGTTGCGGGGAGCGAGCTTGACTCTTTGCGCTTGCGGAAGCAGCTAGCCATCCGCAAACATCGGAAAAGATGGCCGAGTCTCCCACGCGCGGCTCCTGGCGCCACTCAAGCAAGCGGGGGGGAGCGGCAGGGCGGCCATCTAATTGCCGCCAGCATTGTGCAATGCCTCCTTCCCCAGGCCCTAGCTTGAATCCGGTTGCACTACAACATGCAAACGCAGGCCGGAGCACCCGGAAGCAAGACCCCATTCCACGACTGGGACCGCTCACCGCTCTTCTATTCGGAGGTTTCCGTCTACTGTACATCTCACCTGCACGCCACACCTTTGCATGTTGGAGGCAAAACTGACTGCCCTCTCGTGCCCTTGCCCAAATGCAGCTGGTCCGTTCTCGCCCCCCCGGCGGCGCCGCCACAGCCTCGATCGGAGACCGATGGCGCCAAAGCACCACCTGCTGTTTACTTGCCCAGCAACGCGCCCAATCACGTCAAAGAACGGATGCCGCCGCACACGTTTGACAACATCACGCCATTGCTTTGGCAAAATGCTCGCCAGCCGAGCGCAGTGCCCGACAAGCGAAAATCTTGGCTTTTCATCCCCTTGCTTCAAAGGGCGGGCACCTCACGTCGCGATCCGGGCACGGATGGTGAACGTGCTCGACGTTGGGCACCCGGTTTGGTGAGCTCGAAGTGGTGCTCCGCAGGGCCCGGCCAACTTGTCTCGCTCGTTCTTTGCTCGCGATTGCGGAGTGCGAGGCCCTCGTCGCGACATTGGCGAAGAAGACCGGGCGACTGCGGCGACGTTGGCTGGGCTGTTCGCGGCGACATTGATTTCCCTTAGGCGCAGCCGTTCTGACGTGCATGGGGCACAACAGCGCCGACGATGCCCGACTCGCGCGCTGAGGAAGTGCATAGCCGGTGAGCGTTCACATGCTGCCCGACGCGGACGCCAAAAAGTTAAAATTGTATTGATGGAAGTGCCAGCTCTTGACCTCCTCGCTTTGCCTTTGCAGCAAAGCAGTTGGCGAATGCCCGAATACCGGCAGAATCCCGCAAACGTCGCGCCGGCCCTGGCTCTGGCCCGCTTAACTCCGCTGCGCAAACCAAACGGCGGAGTGCGCGGCATCGCAACGGGCGACGTGTTCTGCCGCCTTGTGTCGCAATGGGCGCCCATTTTCGATCAAGCAACACGCCCAATACGCTCTGCAGGCGCGGGCCGGAACCGACGCATTGACCACCCATGCACGGACGGTGCTAGAATTTTGCGACGATGCGGTCCTTGTTTCCCGCGGGGCAGTGTGTATGACAGCATGTCCCGAGCATGCGTCCACGTATTGTTGGTGGGATGCCGAAGGGCGAGGCCGGATCATCGCCCAAGGCGAGGGCTGTGAGCCGGGCGATCCGTTGGCTCCGGCCCTGTACGCTTTGGGGCACCCTTATGGGGCTCTCTGCAAAGCCGCTTCGTGCCTTTTTATCATGCCTTGTTGCGACCGCAGGGGGGTGTCCAGGTTCTCCTAGCCCGCGGGGCGGCGGCTGTAGGTGACCTGCTCAGCCTCGCGAGCCTGAGTCAGGAGGTCTCCCTGCTCCGCGCTTACAAGGAACACCTTGCCACGGTCCGGCAAAAGGGGCTTGCTTGGGAGGGGAGGAGGGGGCGAGGAAGGTCGGTGCATGTCTTATCAGGGCATCTGCGAGTGTTCTCCTCCCCTCCGCGGCCCGTCACGCGAGCAGGAGGACGCACGCATATGGGATAGAAACCGTGACTACAAAGGGGTGCTGCACTACCTGCTAGCTGACGCGGATGGGATTCTGAAAGATGCCGAACACAGCCTGGTGCTGCTTTGGCAGCACTTCAATGACAGTCCGGTGTGACTACCCCGTGCTGATCTTCCACGATGGGCTATAAGTCCGGCCAGCCGAGCCCGTTTGCTTCATGCGGCGGGAGGGTCGAGGGTACGGCTTGCTTTTGTGGACGATTTCACGCGACCTCCCCTGATGTTCTCAGGAGGGGCATGGGGGGTAGGGGCAACAGGCGAGGGTGGGTTGGGGTACAAAGCCATGTGTCGGTGGCGTGCCCTGTCCGTGCTTTATGAGCCAGTGCTGCAAGGGTTCGATTACGGGGGGGGACGGGGAGGGTAGGTAGGGTGAGTTGGAGCAGGGGGCAGGGAAGGGTTTGATAGCTTAGGATGAGTAAGGTATTGCAGAGTAGTGCAGGTTTGGTTGGCAGGCCCTTTCGCCTCTCGTACGAGTGCGTCGCAGCGAGATTGTCGAAAGCAGCCAGTTGGTGTGGATGCTGGCCCACCTCTGCTCGGCACCCACTTGATCGCTGCCCGCTGTATCGATATGCCGCCTACGGTGTAGATGCCCAAATTGTTCTAAGAAAAGGGGAGTAGGGAAGGGAAAGGGAAGGTAGGGCGCAGACAAGGTAGAGAAGGCTAGGGCTTAGAGCACCTGCAGCTGCTCCAGGAAGTTCATCATCTTGAGCCTGACCTTGTAAGGCTGCTCTCCGTTGAACAGTTTCTTCGGAACATCTCGACGAAGCTCGCTGCACCTCTCCACATCGCGCTGGTACATATGCTCGCGCACACCCTGCCCCTGCCCCGTTTGCTTGTGGTCGATATCCACCACGGTGGGCAGCGAGCAGACCGTGGGAGTAACGAGGCGCACGCGCGCTACGCCGCCACCGCCAACAGTCCCGTCCATCTGTGGACGCTAACTTGGCGCGTGGCGGGTCTCAAGAGGCCGCATGGGCGCGGGTATGGGGAGCAGACGGAAGAACGTGACCATCTCCGCCGTAAGCCTCCCGCCCACCTCCAGCGCAATGACGACCAGCTTGCAGCGGCGGGCCGCCAAGAGCTCCGGGTAGGTGTTTCCGGCTAGCCGCGTTGGAAGCGGCCACGCCTGGCTCGTGATCTGCCCTCGTTCGAGGCGTGCCGTCCCGTGAGATTCTGCTCACCAGCGTAGTGTCGACCGTGCATTCACGCATCCGATGGCTTGCTGGCATTCCTTGCGATCTATAAGTGATCTATATGTCGTCACTACGCGGGACCGGGCGCTTGCCGCTCGCGACACTGTTGGATCGCCTCCAACGAGGGGAAGACCCGCGCGCACAGCCCCTCCGGCATCGACGCACTTGGGGCAGATGTTTGGCGAAGAAACAAACCGCCCGCCCTCCCGCCGAGCGAGGGCTCCTTGTGCTGGGCACTCATTGTCCATCCGCCGTTTGCTGCAGAAGTGCTGCATCGTAGGCAAACCTCCGCACGCATCACCTTGAATGAAAGCCGTCAGCCACTGAGACAACACCAGCACCTGCACGGGCCGCAATGGGCCGCAAGCGCAGAAGCTGGCACCAGGGAACGGAACGCAGTGCAGGGCTTAGGGTTACGCAGGCTGCAGACCGAGCGGAAATTTTTACAGCAGCTGCCTCAGCTTGTTCCAGGCGCCTTGCTGCCTGGCGGCTTGGGCCAGTTGGGGCCGCGAGCTCCAGCACCCGCTGCAGGGGCGGGTCTGCGCGCTGGCTGGGGTGAAGCGGGCCGGCCACGCACAACCAAGGGCTGTGTTTTTCTTTCCCGCACCTTTTTCAATGCAGCATGTGTCTCCAGTCAATGTCGGGGGCCCGTCGGGCGAGCGGGGACCGGTATCATGCCGTCAGCGACAGGCGGCTGGCGAGGGGAGGGGCGTCCTCCCAGCGCTCGTCGGCAAGGACCTCGCTGAGATCCGCTGTGCTCCTGACCGCGTGCTGCACGGCTATTCCGAGAATGCCCCACCAGCGGCGCGACCAGCCTGCGCTTGCTGCTACTTGGGAAATCATCAGGGGTGCCAACCCACCTCGACCATCTGACGAGGGCTTGGCCCAAAGTGGCTTAAAGCTGCCATTTTTAAGGTGCCATTTACTGTTGGTGTGCCGGACTAGTGAAAACGTTGTCTACAAGGGCCTTCCAGTTCGCGCTGCTGACTCGCACTGGCACGGACAGTTCAGGTGCGGCGGGAGCGTGCGGCGCAGGAACATGCGGCGCGGGGGGTGCGGGCGCAACGCGGCAGCACGCGAAATAGCGGTATTCAGGCCCTGCGGAGTGAGAGGCGATGAGAGGCGTACATGGGGTTTGCAAGGTGGCTGCGCCTGCGTTTTGGCCACAGTGACCGCAATTTTGTCAGTGCCACTGCTAATCGCAAAGCGCCATTCAGCGCCCCAAAGATCCAGAGACAGCCTTCGCAGCTATCTGCCTCAACAA